CGTGAGAGCTGAGGTCAATTTTGGATTGCCACTGTTCTAGAAGATCTAGGCCAATTAAACCATCGAAATATTCGTGAAATCGGTAGACAAAAAGTTTTATAGGGTTTTGGTCATTAAATTCGGGAAAACAAGGTATGGTGACTGAATAGTCATTTCGAGTCGTAGCGTGTATGTTCGTGACGATAAAAGGGTCGTAATTTAATTCGAAGTTTGAAAAAAAAATTCTCACCGCTTCAGGGCTAATAAAAGATTGATTAGCGCCGGTGTCTATGAGAAGCTTTAAAGGAGGATCATAAATTTGAATAAACGGTAGCTGTCTTTGATTTTGGAGATGTAACTCTATTCTGGGGATGTCTGATCCGGAGTCAACTGAAAATTTCCTTGGTCATCATAGTCCACTGTTGTGTCAGTCATTTGCTCATTGTAGTTTTCAGCTTCTAATGCGTATGCTTGCTGGTCATAGTCAAGGTCGGTATTGTAAAAAGTTTCAGGGTCAAGGAATTCGTTGAAGTTTATTTGTGGTGAGTGCGTATTTTGATGAGTGGGGGGTAATACTCGAGCAACTGGATGGCTAATGCCGCTCATAGGCTTAGGAAAGTTTTGATAGTTCTGTGCAAGATTTCCTCGAGGGGGGATTCGGAAACCAGTGGACATGTTAGAACGCGGCAAGGCTCTCATCATCTGCTGAGTCCTTGAAGGTCCTTGTTGATATGTAAAATTATTGTGTGCGGGGGTAGGCCTAAAGCTGTTATTAGAAGAAATATTTTTCGGTACAAAATTATTAGCAAAATTGTTAGGGAAAGTGTCTTGTTGCATGAAAGGGTATTTAAAAGGTTTAAATTGACGTGTAGGCATTCCAGAATTGAATTGTCTCGGAGGCATAAGTGAGTCATGCGAATTAAAAGGTGAGTAATTAAACGGGGCATTGTTAATCGATTTCTTAGAAATTAGCGGGTTACTGGCTTTAGATTGTAAGTATAAGACGTTTAATTCTTCCTGAGCAAATTCTAAGGCCTTTTCTAGCGAGTCGGGGCGCATGCACCTGACACGTGAGCCTAAAGGCTCGGCTAGGCCTCTGGTATATGTTTGAAGAGCTAATTTTTTGTAAAGTTCACGTTTAGCCTCAACTGTTGTTTTAATTTGTTCGTGTAATTCTACATAAGTCATAATTATACTAAGTAAATTTTGAACTCGCTCGTAAAATATTTGCGGTGTATCGGAACCTTGAGTTAACATAGATAAATCGGTGTATAGGGCGGACTCGTCTCTGTGATCCGAAAAGCTGTTAATTAGCGCATTTCTTATGCCATTCCAGTCCTGGGGGATGCCATTTGTTGCTAATGTTTTAGCAGCAGGCCCGGTTATTTTATTTAAAATTCCATTAATTAAAGCGTAATTATTTAGTTCATTTCCCGGAGCTGGATTAACATATGTTAAAATCAGTTGGTCGCAAATGTTCAAAAATCTAATTAAAATGTTCGAATTTCCATCAAACTCAGGGACTAGTCTTAAAGATTTCCAAATCCTTTCTGTCATATCGTTTGAATAAGCTACAGATTGTTGTTCGGTCGCCATTTCTTCTTCTATGCTTTCTAATGTAGATAATTCGATTTCGCGATGAAACCTTAATTCTCTAGAATTAGGACGAATACTGCGCCGCAGATTCGGTCCTATATCTCTACTTTTCTTTGGAAAAAAAATCTTGAAAACTTTCTAAACTATTGAAAGAAAACTTAATTAATTTACTTATTAAGTCCTACGGGAGACAGGAAAGGGGCCGCTGTCAGCCAATAGGAATAACTAGCAATCTTTCTAACTAAAAAAAAATTAATTTACTTATTACGTCCTACGGGAGACAGGAAAGGGGCCGCTGTCAACCAATAGGAATATCTAGAAATCTTTCTAACTATTAAAACAAACTTATTTAATTAACTTATTACGTCCTACGGGAGACAGGAAAGGGGCCGCTGGCAACCAATAGGAATACGTAACTTATATAATAAAACTCACAGGAGCAGGATGCTTAGCTTAGTGTGGTGATGGGCCATCGATTTTTGGATTAGCGCCGGTTTTCGAAGTTGATTCTTCTTTCCCGTCTGACGACTGCTTCGCGTAGATTCGTAGAGATAGTCGACACGCCGACGACACGACTATCAGGCTGATCGAAGTATGATGCTCGCACTGACTCGACTATCCTACCGACTGCGCCAATTACGGAATTGAGCCGTCAGGTAGGGTTTTTAAAAACTAAACTTTTAATTATTACTTTATTTATTTAAATGTTATACAAATTTACTTATACTAATTGATCCCGATGATCCGGTCTTACAAACTATACGTCAAGATGCTTCCACGATTGAAGCTCAAGCAACTCCCAAAACTGTCCGAAGGTTTTACATTAACTAAATCTGTCTAATAAGCACTTTTCAACACGATTGCTCAATCGAGCCACCTGCACTTGGGAAACGCATAATGTACGCGTGACGTATGAGTGACGTAGACGAGTCTTGTACTCGTAACAAGCTTATAAATAATAAAAAATTAAAAAGAAACACTTTGTCAGGTGTGGGGTTCGAACCCACGCTCCCTCTCGGGAACCAGAGCTTAAATCTGGCGCCTTAGACCACTCGGCCAACCTGACTTGTGAGAACATGACGAAATAAGCAATAATACCTAAGGAAAATAAATCAACACTGATATTATTGTTATTACTGCCTATTATATTGCTTCCGCAAATTTTTCTTCCGGATATTATTATTTTCGAATGAAAATGTCTTCAAATTAACTCGCAATTTCTGCAATTATGAAACCTTAACCGTTATAAATTGAAATAGAACTTCTTTTTGGATCTGCGTAGGTACTTTAAACGGAGAATTATTCCGTTTTACTATATTTTGTAAACTAGCTAAATCAACATTTTTATGGAAGATTGTATTGTATGGAAGTGTAACTTACTGAGTGGTTTTCTATATAATTGTCCGCACTATGTTTATTTACACGTTTTTAAGTTTCTCGGGTTACTTAAAATTCACGGTGTATCTGTATAAATATGTAAGTAATATTAAATCTGTTAAAATAAGAAGTTTTATTTACTTCCATTTGATAACGTTCGGATTTATTTAAATCAGAAAAAATAATGTTCATTGTCCACGCACGTGCACGTAAAGGTGCTGCCATCTCTTAATTCTAAATGGAGGCAGCGTGGCAAGCGCGCCACGGTTCTGTTTCCGCAATGCTTTCTGACAATACTTGCGCTACCTACTAAGTTTCAAGTAAATTCACAGATGTCGCTATAATATTCATTTCAATGCTTTTGTAGTGAAAAAAAAAGTTTAAAAGTTTTACACAAAGGATATTAAGTAGTTATACTTGTATGTTTTGTTTTTTTGTAAATGCTTATTAAATCTCCACACTAGACGTAGGTATGTAGTGGTGATAAAAATTTGTTTATTTTTGGCCTTTTTCAAGGGCTTCTAGTTTCTAACAGTAGTTTTTTTTTTAGTTTCTAGTTTTTTTAACACCAGTTATCGAAGAAAAGAAGACAGGAGCATCGAATGAGTAAAATTATATTTTATGTATGAATGGAGTCGAGAACGTTTGTAAGTTTGGAAAAAACATTGCGCGTCTCCCCTCTTAAGACTAGTAAAGGAATGGATAGATTAACTAATTCCTAAGCAATCTTTGTTCTTTTAAATTTTTACTGAAAGTCAAGAGTGGAAATCTCATTCACAATAAAACACGTTTTCAGGTGGGTCATCTCTAATATCATTAAAAATAAGGATCTATTTTATGAAAAAAAAAAACTACAATTACTCCGATTGAATAAAATTGTAATAGCTTGTTCCTTCTTCGACGAACGCCAAAATCGAAAGTTTCAACGTGAAATATCGAAAAAAAAATGCATTTTCGGGGAAAACTCAGAAATTTATTTTGAAGTGCTATAAAAAGCTTTATTTTAGTTTATTGTTATGGAAGTTTCTTGCGTGAAGCAAGTTATAATAAGGAGATTTTTTTTCTCTATTTACTTATTTTTAAATTTTTATTTTTTAAATCATTTGTATTTCTGTTTCTTATAAAAATTAATAAATTATTGTCAATCGTGGCCTCAACAGAAGATTTTGAATCAAGACGACGACGGTCAGTGCAGCCTGTAGCACAGGGCTGGAGTAGTGATGCGCGTGCGCCGAGTTGCAGTCGTCGGAGAAGCATTGCCAGACAGTCTAACGTTTAATTCATATCTTTTAAATAATAAATAAATTGCAATATTATTAGCTTTATTAGCCTAATACGAAGATTTTAATCGTGATGACGGCTAGTGCAGCCTTTAGCATAGGGTCGGCGGCGGCGTAGTGATATGCGTGGGCTTAGTTGCAGTCGTCGGAGAAACATTGGCAGCAAAGAGTAAAGTAAGTATATTGGCAGACAGCCTTTAGGGTTTAATTTAGACCTTATTAGAAATAAAAAAAAAAGTCAACCGAAATATCTTTATAGCCTAAAAAGAAGGTTTTAATCGTGACGAAGACCAATGCAGACAGAAGCACGGGGCCGGCGTAGTGATGTGCATCCGCTGAGTTGCAGTTATCGGAGAAGCATTGGCAGACAGTCTTTAGAGTTAAATTTAGACCTTATTAGAAATAAAAAATAAAAGTCAACCGAGATATATTTATTAGCCTAAAAATGTTTTAATCGTGATGACGGCTAGTGCAGCCTTTAGAATAGGGGCGGCGTAGTAATGTGCGCGGGCTGAGTTGCAGTCGTCGAAGAAACATTGGCAATCAGCCTTTAGCGTTTAATTCAGACCTTATTAGAAATAAAAAGTAAAGGTCAACCGAAATATCTTTATTAGCCTAAGAAGAAGGTTTTAATCGTGACGAAGACCAATGCAGACAGAAGCACGGGGCCGGCGTAGTGATGTGCGTCCAGTTGCAGTTATCGGAGAAGCATTGGCAGACAGTCTTTAGAGTTTAATTTAGACCTTATTAGAAATAAAAAGTAAAAGTCAACCGAAATATCTTTATTAGCCTAAAAAGAAGGTTTTAATCGTGACGACGACCAATGCAGAGAGTAGCATGGGGGCGGCGTAGTGATGTGCGTGCGCTGAGTTGCAGTCGTCGGAGAAGCATTGGCAGACGGTCTCGAGGTGGTCTTCGTTGTCGGCCTTGTAGCAGTCGCGATGGTGGCGCACCCAGCCGCAGCCGCGTACCACACGCACCTCTGAGTCGTGGTGCTTATGTAGAACTGGCGAAAGAAAGCGCATGAATTAGGGCAAAAGGCTGTATCCTCCCTCCTTCAGTAGCTCACTGCTGAGCGTCGAGATGTTATTTCTACCGACTAATATTTCTTTCACAGAGCTGCTTCCATCTTTTGCGCAGTCAAGAGCGTGAAGGTGGTGCTGAGATTCTTTGAAACCTGGTCGGTGCAACTAGTAGGGCTTCGCAGCCGGAGCTCGAGGGCAAAAGAGCAAGAGGTCGACCTTCAACGTAACAAATTATTTAATTCAAAAGCTTTATACCTTAATCGTTATCCCTTTTTGGCCTCTGCTGGGAAAGAGAGATAAGGCTATAACCCTTCATGTGACACCAGCGGGGTTCTAAAGACTGCAGCCGTAATCGGTTCCAATTCCAACGGCTAGCACGGACGAGTTTGATATAGCATTTTTGGACTGACATGCTATGATCGGCCATTGCATAACTTTAATTTCAAGATCACAGGCCGAACGCGCTTTCCGCTGCGCCATCGAAGGCCAAAGAAGTTGGTATACATAGGATAATATTTTCTCTCTATGATGAAATCTCTAAAATATCTCTAAAATATAATGAATGGAGGATAAGTATTTTGATAAAAGTGAGTATTGGAAACCAAAATATTATATTATATGAAGCCACAGAAGAAACCGCTCCATGCAACAAATACAAGACTGTCAGCTTGATTATAACAGCGACCCTCATTGCCTGACCTTCTTGCTTATCAGAATCTCAGAGTACGGTTCAAGATCAATGCGGAAACTAACCTTGCTCTTCTTAAATAAAATTTATAATTTCTATTTGTTATGTTTTAACGCACATCAATCATTTATTAATTATTTACAGATACTGTACTCCGCGGTCTGAGATTGACTTTATTTTATGGCTTTTTAAATCGGAGCCTGTAAAGGATCCGAAAATTCAGGAATTTACAAAAATGAGCCTCATTCTAAAAATGTATTTTGTAATTATATCTTTAAAACAAGATCGAACAAATGGACCGGAAAGTCTACCAAAAATTTTCAGTTATTTTTTATTCCTAAGTGTCGCCGCACATGGGCCACCGACCACAACCACAAAACGCCGCCACCGGCATATTTCTTGTAGTTTTCATACATTTTATATGGATTCGCCACACACGGTACGCCCGCCGCCCGGCGTCCCTTCTTATGGCCCGCACCGGCCACTTCATGCGCCGATACAAAACTCCGCCACACGTCACTCGCGCGATTCTCCACCCCTCTCTCCCTTACCTGAGTCGGCCGCTGTCGCGCGCTTCAGCCACTTGCGTAGCCGCTTCTAGCTACTCTTGGCGGCGTTTGTGGCTGTGGCGTGTAGCCCGTGTGCGGCGACACTTAAGCGTAGGGTGTAGGCCACATTGAGAGTGAAGCGAAACGATATACATAATATGATTTGGATTAGCTCATCAATAACCAAAGTACCAAATATTAAATTGAGAAATATCGTTTCGCCTCGTTCTCCATGTACTGCACCTGCTCTCTCTACAGGGGCGGATCCAGAGGGGGGGTTATGGGGGTCATGACCCCCCCTGGGCTGGGTCCACCTGTACCCATTTCACAATCTGTACTTCACAATCTGTGCACACTGTGACTTGACCAGGACTATATAGGACCCCCCCTGGCGCCAAAGCTGTATCCGCCCTTGTCTCTCTAGTGTATAAAGTGATACTGACTGGTCTGCACGATCTTCCTGCAGAAGAAGGAGTGCGGTCCGGGCGAGAACACTCCCTGCTCGCAATTGGTCAGACGCAGGTACTTGCGGAGAGTCTCCTCGTCGTAGCTGGTGGGGTCCAGGCACATACTGTTGTTGGCGCTGTTGCATTCGTAGCAGCGGATAGAGGCACCTGCGTTGTTAGTGTTTTGGAAAATTAACAGCTTTTTAAACTTAACTAATAATTAGAAGCCTGCCAACAGGGCCGTCTTTAACCTATTGGAGGCCCTGGGCATATTAGTTTTTTGGTAATTAATATTGGTTATCGTTTGGTGATCTGACAGATACTAGTTACTTTGTATTTGATCTGAGGGGGGGCCCTATCGATCGCGGGGCCCTGGGCACTTGCCCAAAGTGCAAACTGGGAAAGACGGGTATGCCTGCCAATTATATGTTTTCATAATCAATGATAGAAAAAGAATGCCAATAAAAAGAAGTAGAACATTATTAGCACAGGGGTAACTAGGCTCAATCCCCAACCTGGCGCTAGACACAGACTGTTCCTTGACAAACGTTTAGGGAATAGCGGATTTTTAACTTGTATGGAAAGGTAACCTCCACCTTTCCACTTTCTTTAGGATTATGACAGACTTTTACAGACTATGTATTACTGAACTCGTTAAGGCCTCAAGCTTGAAGTTAAAGGCCGCACTACAATGGTACGACGAATGCGACGCGACGCGATCGGCGCAGTACACGCAGAAACGTCTGCAATGCATCATGTCATGTGTCTGTGTCCACAAAATAGCCAACGCATCGCAGTATTCGCCGTCACCGTACCATTCCGGCCTCGGACTAAGGGCTTTGACTTTGACTTGATTAGGAGCGATTGAACCCTAGGTAGGGGACGATGACTCACGAATGAACGTTACGTATTACTCGATGATATCGCAATTGCCCACCCTGCAATATTTAACCAAGGTAGGAGACTGCATAGTAGTTTCTAGCTTAGAACTAAGCTACGCTCTTTGAACTTAAGAGAAGTTATAGGAATGACTTCCAGAGGACCTACTGAAGGTCTGACGGCCGAAGGTTTTAAAAAGCCTCAGCTCGCTCCCTTTTCTTTTCTTTTGCACTGGTAGGTAATAAGAATATTAAAGAAAATGAGAGTGAGGAATTTGAAAACCTTCGGCGGTCAGATATAACAAAATGAAATCACAAGCGATAGCTACAGTCATAGCAATCCCGATAGGCAGTAGGCCTCCTGGTGTTCGTTTAGGTTCGATTCACACTGGTGCAGAGTCGAAGCTACGCCAGTGGTATTGATTCTGGCATGATTCTCTAAAATTAAAACTGAATTTAACATCAGTCTCTCCTTTTCATTCAGTATAGAGAAATTCAAGGATACAATGTTGTCAAATTTAAGTTTAAGTTTAGAGAATCATGTCAGAATCGACACCAATGTTAGTTGAGCTTTATGAGATACATACCTCGTCAACTATGTGCCAATTCTTTTATATGAATCCCTTCATCCGTGACGACATGGTACAATGGTAAAGGTTCGAATGTTACAATGGACTTTGTCTACGTTAATATATACTGAAAAGAAATGGTTTTCTCTATGGATTTCCCTCTCGAATTGGAAAGTAGATCTGAGGATGTCCACTCTACTGAAGACAACAGTGAAAAAATATTACTTTTTGGTGGTGATATGTTTCTGTTAGTGAGAAAGTTCTAAGCGTGGGCTCCACGGGGTAGGACGGCTCCACATCTTCGATCCACTCACACTTAACATCAAGGGGGGTGGGGTTATTTGTTGCATCCTGTTATATTCAAAGAACTCTGTATTAAAAAAAATATAAATTAAAAAAATCAAAAACCCCGACTGCTAATATATTACTTCAAAGAAAAACTGAAAATAAAAATAAAACAAGTCCAGTAGTCTATAATTCTGTTAAGTAAGAAGCAAAGCTACTTTAACAGTCGGGACCCATTAGATATTCAATTATGGATAAAAAAATTCAATAATGGGTCCCGATTGCTTAACTACCTATACCCTGTCTGCGCGTCGCGCTTCGCGCTCTTACATTGCGCAGTCGGGTAAAAACAAACCAATCATTAAAAAAAGGATTGGGCTGGTAATCTGAATGTATAGTTCCGGGAAATACCTTGGAGGCCATTGAAGGCTCTTAATGACCATTTATCTGAGAGATATCTGACATATCGTCTGATTTAACTGGATTAGATTTAGTAAATTTGCTGTAAGTGCGCCGAATAATATCACTTCTAATTCGTCGTTGTGTGTGTCAAACGCAAGGTGGTGTGTACTTATATTGTTTATTTTATTTTAATGTATTTTTAATGCGTAATTATAAGAAAATATTAGCTTTCTTTTCCTTCTCTATATAAGCTTTTATTGAGCAACTCTTTCACTGTCTACTATTATTATGAGTAAAATAATCTTTCAAATATATATACTTATAGATTATTTGAAAGTTTTTTTTTACCCCTAGTACCTATGTACTAATATCATATCAAATCATACACACACATATATATATATAAGATGTCAGGTTAGTTCGGTTGTAGGAGATAATCTCTGGATTTACTGAAACGATTTTGAAAATTCTTTTACTAATAGAAAGCCACGTTATTTTCGAGTGTCATCTATACAGTGTCAGCTATATTTTACAACAAAAACTATAATTGACACCGAAGCGAAGCGAGGGCAGTTCACTAGTTTTAATTAACAAACTAAAGGGGAATGCAAAAAAGAAATTATGAAAATTACTAAAATGCCAAGACAGTGGAAAAATAACAATTGTTTTTACTTACCTAAGCGCATGCTCAATGAAAACACGAACAGTGCACCAACGACATTCATTTTGTAAACAAAAACAGCTTGTCTTAATTTACTTAATCACTGTATATTTTTTATACATTTGTCATTAATCAGGTCAATTAACAATCCAGACGATATCAACGGGTTATATTCTCGACTGGTGTGTTAATACTGAACACAAAGATCACCGCAATAAATTGTCCATTCAATGATTATTTTATTATTATGCTGTTGACAATTCATCTGCGGCATTATTCTGGACGAAAATGTAAAGTTGCAATTTAAACGAGACATTTAACCTAAACAGCCATTTAAAAAGTTTGAGTTTGAAAGACAATTTTTAAAGATTTTCATACAATCTCATACATAATTTCTTTTTAACACTGATTTAAATAGTAGTTACAAGTCAAGTTTCATAGTGACTTCTGAGAACTTTTTTAATCTACAATTGTTTATGTTATTCAAGGATAAAGATTATTTTGTTTATGTTATACATGAATTTCCTGCTATACCATTTGATCTCTACCCAGAATAGGGTGAACATCAATCACTTATTAAGGAAAATTTTAAATAAACATTTATTTTCTACATAATAGACATACCCAGAATTATAGCCAGTCTTTATAAATACTTATACGCGCGGTTTTCACTTATCGAAAAGTAATTGAAAACTTATTGACTCAAACGAAAATGGATATTTTTATTTACATTCGATTCAATAAGCATTTGATCATTTCTTTTTTTCTATTAATTCCTAATTGAAAATAAAATATACTCGTAGGTAGTTAGTCTATGCATTCAGTTTATGTTTTCATACTTTTTCCCGCCAGTTTCTGTAAACAAGTAGCAAGGAACTTAGAACTCCTAAAACTGTTGTCTGAACGTGTTTCAAGACCGAAGCACCATTGCACATGTCCCCGAAGCACTGGCAGACGGTCTCAAGGTGATCCTTGTTGTCAGCATTGTAACACTGCCTTTTGTGCTTGACCCAGCCACAGCCGCGGGTCACACGCACTTCCGGTGATTTCTCAGGGTGGAGAACTGAAAAAAAAACGTAGAACCTTAAATTAGAACTTATAACTTAACTTATGCTGACAGACAAATACTTGAGTCGAGTTGAATTTTAAAACAAAATACTTTGTATTACACAGACGATGTTTGGATGTAAATTATCATGATTTTGGTTACCACGGTAACCCTCAACTTTCTTTTATCTGTTCGAATACTGTGGGTTCCACTTATTAATAAAGAAATATACGAAGCAGTTTTAATAATAATTTGGCTTTTTATATCTTTTTTAACGCTAATAAATTAGGCCTAATCAGAATATATTATTATAACTAGTCTCGCAGTGCCTGTTAAAAGAGTATTTTTATAGAAAAAGTTGTATAAAAAATAAAGTAATTTAGAGTCGGCTATTCTACGTATTTTGTAAAGAATCCTACTACTACATTACCAACTTCTTTTTTAAAGTTAAACTTTTTTACTACGCCATAATTTTTCCGTTCATCTTTAGCATGTCGCATTAAATTTTTTTTTATAGATCGGTCAGAAAAATGAATCCACCTGATGTTAAGTGAAGGTGAAGTCCAGACGCGAAGATAGCTGATACAGCAGTTCTACCTGCCACATCAGCCATCCTCACCCTGCCGGCCTGCATGTTGCTTCTTCACGCCTCTTTTAAAGGATCCCAGGTTGTAAGAGGGAGGGAACACGTGAGCGGGCAGAGTATTCCATTTACGGATAGTACGACAAAGAAATGAGTCACCAAAGGAGATTGCTCAAATTGGCCTAAATGCACAAAAAATATTGACATACACGGTAATTCTTGGCGTAATTTGTAATTTAATTTACAGTCATTAGATTTCAACGGACACCTTTGTATAATATATTTACTTTAAAAAGAACTTTTAATTTTACCGGTTTGGAAAACATACGAATCATTTTTAATGGCTATGGGTGTATTAACATTCAGCCAAAGACTGATAGAAGTTGTTTATATAACATAAAAACAAATCTATTTTGTAAAGATCGATAAAATAAATCATTTATTTTATTACACTGTGGTATTCATATCCACAACTATATTATCATTTTCACTAGATGCAAATGTGCTCAGACAATTATTATAGATGGTAGGCGACATCATAAAGTCTATTGCCATACATTTTTGGCCAAACACCTCCATAAACACATTATAATCTGTACATATGTTAGACTTTAAGGTATCTATCTATGGGCCTGCGTTCCCTGACTATAAATTAATAAATAAATAACATTATAAGGTGTGATACTGTAAGGTAAAAAAATTAAAAAAATTGTGTGACTATTTATATAGTTAGTTATTTCAAAAAAGAAAGAAAAAGGCTGGAGGTGGTGGCCGGTTAATGGTAGCCGATTTTAGCTTCTCAGCTTCCATTTAAAGTGAGAGTTGTAACGGGCGCCGGGAAGCTGGTGACATCTCCAGGTGTCCGGAATAACTTACGGGAACATCAGCTTTTAATCTCAAAGGCAGTTTTGACTAGGGTTGAATGATAAAGGTGTTTTCCTCTTCAATTATTTATTGTGAAAGTGTACATACCAGATTGGATTCCAGGCGTCAAAGTACATTAAGTATTGGATTTACTTAGACTATTATGGCTGGTCCATGGTCAAAGATATCAAAATGATATTTATAAAGATATCATTAAAATTAAAGATGAAGCTAAAGAAATTAAGGATTATAAAGACCACTTAAAGAGTATAAAGAGCTGAAACAAAAGAGACATTTGTGAGACCAGGCAACATGGCTAGATATATGTATGACAATTTTAATCTTAATTCTTACCTGCAATCGCAGCTCTTTTAAAGTTTTACTAATGGGCCATGGGCACCAATATTAGTTTGCAAAAATGCGATGAGCGCATTTTTGGAAAAAGAAACCGAACTATAAATTATTATTATATTTCACATTTTTAAAAAGTGACTGGTCGTGTCTGCAAAGAATCGAAAAGTAATGTTGCCAGGTCGCACTTCCAAAAACGCCGCGAGTCTCAGTGTTGGCGCATTAAAATTTAAATTTGGGCATGGACTAACCATAAATTACAAAAGTTTACTTAAATTTAGAATGACAATTATTACGTATTTATTTTAATGTTTTATAAAATTAAGACAATTTTTAAAGATGTGTTTCGTTTATTAAAAAAAATAGGGAAAATCCTTAAGTGACGGATGTCAAACCATATATTATTTATTTATGTATGTGACGGCGTAGATACGACGTTACAATACACTAAAAAACTAAAATATGGTCTTTTATCATTTCATCTTAAAAACATAACAAAAATAATGAAGCTACTGAATATATGGCTATATAACCTAAATCTCTTAGCTTTCTTTGGTTAACGAGAGCTTAAAAATTCTCTCTAATCTGTGGCTCATTCACAATCATCACACAGTTTCTGTCACAGAGTACCAATATTATAACCGGAAATGACACCTGATTTTAAAAGTTACTCTTATGCATTAACTTTAAAAATAGGCAACTATCTGTTAATCTACATGCTCTATATACCTGAATCTAATCCATAATTTCTGTACTTGGCTTGATTTCCCTAGTTTACTATATAACTTATTTGATTTTTATTATTTTAATATGTTCAGTGTATTCAGGTTTGAACCTGAATAATAAAAAATAATAATAAACTACCAACACATAATGTGGTTTATAGAAGTTCTCAGGGGTGTCCGTCAATAATATTCGTTTCTACAGTAATTTATATATAATTTCGAATCTAGGAAACAATTTTTCATGATTATTGGTATTTAGGCCAAACATGTATGGAAGGTGAGCAATCTCCTTTCTTTGTACGCGTTGGAATTGTGGTCACAGTTAGTCGGTGACAACGTAGGCCAGCGCGCGTTGTCCTCTGAAGGAAAGGGGAAGGTGGGATAAGAGAGAATAACTCCTCAGAACACTCGACGCGGTACAGACGATAGAACGCGCTTAGTGACGCCACGCCAATTGTTATTGTTCAATTATGAACTTAAAACTAAGTTCAATGCAATGATAGTACCTACAGGGTTCAATGGTAGAAAGCTCGCCTGCTACACGGGCAGCCAGGATTCGATTCCCATCCCCCCAGGAAGGTATTTTTAGGGTTCCGTAGTCAGTAAGAGGCTGACATGAACTTGCAGCCGGCTGTAGGGTATCCATGAGGATTACACACCCGCCTCCCCGCCTTGGACGAAACAAAAAAATAGGCGGTTATCATTCGTGTTTAAAAAAATAATCATATCGAATATTTTTTTAATTTGAGACTCAGTTTGACTTTGATTTAGGTATTTTAGTTGAGATACATGATTGATATTAATTGCTTTTTCTAATTTCCGATACAGAAAGTAAAGACTCCAAGACAAATATATTAACTACAGGCAACTACGGAACGACACGCACTTGTCCGGTTTTATATCTTAGTGATTTTATAAGTTTTACATACTTAGTGTTTTCATAAGACCACACCAGTTTTGTTTTTGTTTAAAGTTAATTGTAAACGGATTTACCTATCTGTATAGAATTTGTCATCGCATCCTGCGCCAGAATAGTCCGCCGTCATTTTTTTTCACGCACTGTTAATTTCAGTGTCGTTTTTTTGTTCCCATCTGTGGCATTCACGAGATGTTTTTTGTTCGACCTCTCGTACGACACGAGGGCTGTCGCGCCTAAATGAACTTTGATGAGAATAATATAAAACGCTTTTGTTGTGATAAGTAGTTCAAATACAAGTTAATGGATTATAAATACAAATAAATAAATAATAAACAAATAAATATTTCCAACACTCACACCAATTAGCCTAGCCCCAAAGTAAGCGGTATAAGGCTTGTGTTATGGGATACTAGGGTAACGGATAGAACCGCGGGAGGGAAGAACTAACCCCGCATTATAAAAGGCTTTCCATCGAGTTAGGGCATACTATCCAGGCCAATCTGCCTGATGATGCCCCCAGAGAGAGACGGACGGATTCCTCAACGAGTCGAGTCCAGAACGTCCCGCGGTTCGTGCCAATGCACACAAGGGGAGTTAGTGCAAAGAGGAGGGTCCGAGAGGGCGCTTTCACGGTTGGGGTCTGGGGCAAAGGCTTGCTGATACCCTTCCCCCATCGTGTGAAGATGGAACCGCAGGAGGTGTTTTTAGTGGGTAGTCGCGGCGCGGCGTGAAGTATGCCCCGTGGAGTCCCACATACCCCCACGGCAGGGCACGGTCGTGGGAAGTGCGTAAATGCATTTTTACCTTCCCCCTCCCCAAAAAAAAGGGTAACGGATAGAATACATATACTGTACATATATAAGTATATTTTTATAGAAAATACATATTAAACATCCATGACTGAGTACAAATGCTCGTATTCATCACACAAACATCTGCCCCCACCGGGATTGGAACCCGGTACCTCTCGAGTCGGCGACACCATGAAACCCGGCGTACAAACCATTCGGCCACGGAGGTCGTCAAAACAAACATTTTATTTTTTATGTTATTTTGTATTAGATGTGTACCAGAAATATTACTATTTTTATTAATACATAATCAACCAAAAAAACTTTTTAGAAGAGGTCGATGGCGCAGGGGGCTAGCGTGTTCGGCTGCGATCGTTGAAGGTAAGCAATTTCGCAATGATCGGTCATTGGATCACCAAAAATTGGGTGACCAAAAATCTTCTATCTCGAGTTCCTCCGAGCTTCGGAAGGCACGTTAAGCCGTTGGTCCCTATCACTCGTTTATAATAAAAATGTCTTTGACTTTTTGACAGTTCTTGTTAGAAAAAAAAACACAAATAAATTGCATTTATTATTTTTTAAGTATAAATAATATCATTTTTGTTACTTTATGTTTTAGTCACAAGAACTGTGACAAAAATCGATTTAGATTTGAGACACGATTTTACTATCGAAATGTTCCGGGCGGACGCACTGACCAATTATGCTTCTTGCAATTATTCGACACGGCCATCAGGGCCGCGGTCCCGTCTGCTGCCTGGTCCGCGTGGAATTTATTCTAGAATTTTTTTCTTTAGATTTAAACATCTAGCAGTTAATGCTTAAAATTAAAACATTATAAACTACAATTGCTGTTTCAAATATTTAGAACTGGTAAAGGTATTTCATTTGACATAGTTTATTACCTACAATGCGAAGAGATGGCACTACCTTGCAGCCTAAGAAATACTAGAGAAAATTCGACACGGCCATCAGGGCCGCGGTAGCATAATAGGTCAGTGCATCCGGCGGGATTGCGGAGGGCGCGACTTCGAGTCCCGTCTGCTGCCTGGGCCACGTGGATTTTTTTATAGTAAATAAAATTCTTTAGACTAAAACATTTAGCAGTTAAATGCTTAATAATTAAAATATAATAAGTTTTGCCTAGGTACCTATTTACATGTAATATAATTTCCGGCATTATTTGTGAAAAATACTGTACAAGCCTTGGCCACAACAGAACTAGGCATTGATGGACTTATGTATGTGTGTTGTACACATGTACACGTTCGTTCGCCTCTTTTGCTGGCCGCTGCAGTAATGTATTAATCATTAAAGTTCCCACTTGTTTTTCAACTGTGTTTTTTAAAGTTTTAAGAGAGTTAGATCATAGCTAATTTTAGTACCCAAGTAACCTCCGCAAGTAACCCTTAATTTAACCGAACACCTAGTTTCGTAGTACTCACTAGTCTGTGTGATCTTCCTGCAGAAGAAGTCTTGGCTGATGGCGTTAGGTAAATTCCTCTCGCAGTCGACTACCGGCACGATGGCGTGCATCTTGGGCGTACGCAAGTCGAGGCAGGCAGAGTTGTTCGCGCTGTTGCAGTCGAAACACTTTATCGCCTCGCCTGTTAGGAAAAATACGAGTTTGGTGATGGAGTCACTGAAGTCATCTGATTTACCCATTAGTACCGGATCAGCAGTGCTATGCTGTAAACAAGCTCAATTTTTATCGAGGTATTCGGCAGTGTGCTTTGAAATAAATATATATGAAATTCGTGTTCTAATTTTAAATCACACCGCGAATTCCTAGCTGCAAGGTGAGTTTTTATTCTTACTGAAAAGCAAAGAAGGAACGAAAAAGTGTGTAAAATCCTGGATTTGAGGTGGTAATTAAAAGAAAAAAAAGTGCGCAGTGTTGCCGAACGTATGAGAACTCTAAAGCCCACCATTCACTACACGCACCGCGAGCCGAACCCCGAGCCGTACCCATCCGTGGACAAATCCGTCATTGCCCACACACTACACGAGCGTCGAGTTGCAGTCCAGTCGCTTGTGTACTTTGGTGAGCCTCGCGCGTATCGTTTTTCGCTGTATGGATAAATTCTTGCCAAAACTCTTTATGATCGCCGAACGACATGTTATTATACTCGTTCATGATACAAACAACACAACTGCAGGCCAATTATGCTCGCTAATTGTGATATTGTTTTGATGTCAATTTCACATTACTCATTACGCTCTCCGAAAAATGCGATATCAAAATGACATCAACTTTAAAATGATATCAACTTAAATGCGTATTACGTTCAACTTTTTGACATAAAACAGTATCGCATAAACGTCAAAAATGTGATACAGACTTAACAAGTTAGGAGGTGGTTTTTCTGTATCAAATTCCTTTTTTTTTTAATAAAAAAGAGTAAAATGGCTCGTTTCGGGTTAGTAATGGACTATTTAGAACGAGCTCATGCCGAGGACATGCGTAGAAGAGATAAACCCCTTGTAGAAGAGATACAATTAGCTCTTTATGTTCGCTAATTGTGATATTGTTTTGATGTCAATTTCACATTACGTATTATGCTCTCCGAAAAATGCGATATCAAAATGACATCAAATTAAGCGTATTATGATCTACTCTTTAAAATGACATTAACTTGATATCAACTTAAATGAGTATTATGTTCAACTTTTTGACTTAAAACATTATCGCATAAACGTCAAAAAAGTGATACAGACGTGATACAGAATTAACAATTTAAGAGGTCGTTCTGCGTGCACGCACTACAAATGACTGACAAGTTCGCCGACAAATCTGTGCAAGCACACACACGTACGGATTTGTACGGCGCGGCTGGGGTGCGGCGCGGCGCTCGCGTCTCTCGACGGCGAGCGCCGCGCCGAGCCGCGAGCCGCACTCACCAATACATTCACACGCGGATTTGTCCGCGGACTTGTCGCCAGCGACAAATCCGGCGGATTGGCGCGCCCGTGAATGGTAGGCTTAACGTTTGAGATTTAGCAGTCTCTGTACACGTTACGACGTAAATAGAAATCTGGTACACTTTGCGATGACATAATGAAGCTGTACTTACAGAGTCCATCCTTTGTGGACTGGACATTCATTTACTTTCTTCTATCTATTCTATTTACCTCGTATCATGTACAGAGACTGCTATATCTCAAATGTTAGAGTTCTCATACTTTTAGCAAACCCTGCACAGTGCGGTCGCGCCTGCGACACAGGCCGTCGGACAGCACCTTAATCGCGACATAAAAAGTTAAGAAGTACAGGTAGAAATTTTGAGCCGCTCTTACATTTTGTCGTCACGTCCGGGACAAATGTATCTGTACATGTATGTCCTATTCAACATAATTTTAAATGAACTTCGTGCTATTATGATAGCAAAAACATTTTAAATGCTTGATATTGTAAAAAAATACTTACATGGAAAAATTAAAACACTGGACAAAACCACTGGTAAGACATAATAAATTGTAGTGAACGCCTGCATTATATAAGACGCCTTATTAATTAATTAAATTTGTTGTAAGTTTTTCTACGTTATTGCTATAAATTTTATGTCAGGCACTCGTCACTTTGTTTTATTATTAATTTAAGTATTTAAATTCGACAGGAATACTAATTATTTATGTATATTTATATTATACTTATGTGTAGTTTACAAACTCGACAAACTCAAACGTCAAAAATTCGTTCTGCTTCGCGTGATATTGAATGGTAACTGCTGTGTATTTGAGCCCAACATGAGCTTATAATGGGCCGCCCCTTTGTGATTCATCTGCATTGACACACAAAAGGGAGAAACTGGATTAATTCAGTTAAAAAACTCTGAGAAAGGTACCAACGTTGTGTTGATTGAGGAAGCGCCTTAAGTAGTTCGCAGTTAGTGTGTGGTGTGTTCTTGAATCTTGAAGTAACCGCATGAAATAGGTATACCAAGGGTGTGGATAGGTTTAGCTTTTTTTTTCTATAATATTTTTATTCTATTATTTATAATATGTCTCTTTAACTAGGTTATTTTTATTCAAATTTCAACGTGTTTATAATATACTGGCCGTGCTCGAGGCTGCTATTTGATACAGCCAGGGGCGCGGGCAGAAGTCTGAAGGAGGAAGCATAGAAGGATAGTAAAGATAAAAGTAGGTATACAAGAAAATAGGGAGGTGAAAAACAAAGTAAAGAAAAGTTGATTCACATTAGTCCCGTTAAATACTACTCGTTTGTTACCATTCCATTTTTTAAAGATAGGTAAGTTACTAAGATATTTTGCCCCGAGCGCCAAAAAATTATGGGCTCTAAATTTTTTTTTTTTATGTAGATTCAATTTTAGAAGCTAGAATTCGTTCAAACTTCGGGAGGAAAATCCTCTTTTACCCACATTCGTGCAACGCGGCATTGTAGGGAAAACTCCCATATAATAGGTATATAGGATGTCTCATGATTGAAATAATTATAGGAATAATATGAACTGTGTTCAAAGAATTTTATATAATCTCTTGGTTGAACCGGGAATCGAAGCACATTTAGGTACCAAGTGAAGCTTTTTTGAGTCACTTCGGTATCCGGTTTTGGATAAGTTCTAAATTGTATTTAAATTCTAATAAAATACAACTTCACATCATTAAACAAACACGTTTTATTTGTATCGTATCCCAAGCCATTGTATGAATGAAAATCCTTGAAATCCTTTTATGCTTCATGGCTCTCTTGTCTGAATTAAACTGTGTGCCGCTCCTGAATTGCACCTTGCTGTCCTTTGTGTATTGTGGGATCAGGTTGGACTTCCATTTATATGTTTGCCAATCCTTTCATATTTTCGTTAAATGTTTAGTCTCGTACACAATATATATCTTGTCAAGTAGAGTACGTATGATAGATTTTGGGCATAATTTTTGAAGTGAAAACTTCTTTAGCTAGCGGCGTTGTACACTTTTTTTGTATGGGTAAAAATGTTAAATTCGCGTCAGGTTAAACACGTGGGCTGATCGCATCATGACACGCAATAAAATTGGAAAGGTTGTTGACTTTCAATATATTGGACGAAACATAGTAATATTTTATTTTACCGGATTATAATAATAAGTCTCTATCTAGGACGTCCACGTGGCAGCTTTATTGTCGCTAGGTGCGCTTTAATGTGATTCATGTAAGTTGATTTCTTTACAAAAGATGTCGCTAAGTGCGCTTAAACGTGATTCATGTAAGTTGATTTTTCTGAGAGATAAACTTTTTTAATGTAATATAAATGGTCAAGTTTGTGTACGATAGCGCAATAAATAAATATTGTATTCTACCACATCATGATAATACTTTTATACTGATAATTAAAGCAATTTAAAATATCAAAAATGTACAACGTTAATATTCAAGTTTTCACTTCTGCCGGCACTCCCGGAGTGCAACCCGTCGTTTTTTTTATGGTCTGTATCCATAACAAAGGTGAAAAAAAAATTTCGAGTACCTAGGTAGGTACGAGTTTTATCCTCCAACGGCCAAAAGTCCTTCGTCTGCGCAGGCCATAGGCGACTTAATTGATGATCTTTCCATTCCTTTGAACCAGAACATAGTTTGAACTCGATCCATTTGGTTCTGTAATCAAAATAAGCTCCCTCATATTGTGTCGGGAGTTGTATTCGAAATTCGGGACACAACAATGACCCCAATTACGTTCTCGTCAACGACGCGACGGTCGACTCGAGACGGTCCAGCCGACCGCGTAAACGTACCTAGCTCTGCATAAATGGGTACGTGTACGGGAAGTGTGCGTGCGGCTTATCCTCCAGATTGGCGGAAGTCCGCTGTTCTACCAATCTCCGCTCCGTCCAAGCGACTTGTGGAGCGCACACTTGCGACCACGACGCAACGCTTAGATCCGTCAACATTATGTCCTTACTACAGGGGCACAGCTCTTTCAGAGTAAAGCATTGGAAAAGAGAAAACGGGCCATACATAAGCCCAGTGGGTATCAGTGGGTGTTAATGTCTTATTGGAACAATTGACAAGGCAAGTATATTAGAGTCGTAGCCATATTCATTATAGCACGCTGAATATTTCGTAATCTAATCAACGATATTAAATACCCTAGATACACCAACACGAACAAAATCTTGCCAGAAGCCTGTCCACAAGGTACATTGGACGATCCACGGAGCTCCGTAAGATGATCGCGTAGTCTTAACAATATTAGGTATTATTTAAACATTTTGAAAATCACCTTTAAAGCATACTGTGCAAGGTCTTAATTAAAACGCAGGCGTCAAAGAGTTATGACAGTCCGAAACGTAAGCTCGTAAAATTTTACGACTTATTGATATTATGCGGACGAATATAAACCTTACTTCTTTGATGTTAGGCCTGTTAGCAATATAGCAGGTACACACTGCGAGGAAAAGAGACAGCTTTATTACTGACCATGAATTTGAATATCACAAATATTTTCTATTAAATCAGTTTATAATAAGTATTAAAACTTTACTTCAAATGCGTTAATTATACAAACATTGATTAGATACCTGTCGAGAAAACGACATTTTACATACTATAAGTATTTTATTTCGAGCCCAGCGGCATGTTGATTTTACAACTGTCCGAGCGTGACTGTGATACAAGAAGTGCTTGAGTCGTGTTCAAGCACTTCTTGATTGGGACACATTTTGAGAGCACGTGGTGTATCTAGAATCTAATGTAATAAAAACCGCCTGACTGACTACATTACTCGCCATGTGGGAACACAAACCCAACAAATTAAAGAGTGTTTGTACCAGTGCAATGTAAGGGGAGATTACTTTCCCAGATGGACGCTCCAATTTCGAAAAACTCGCTTCGCCATACGTAGCGTACTCGTAGCAATACCGCAAACTCAATCACGTCACTGTGCTCACGTTAGCTTTGATTCCCACTTACCTACCAAAAAGCGGGCCACAAGCTTTGTTTGTAACCTTCAGAAGCCCAAGCACGAGCTTTTAGACAGCTCCGTACCTTAGCATATCGCATCGTCAAACTTTCTATGCAAACTAAGCACCGCCACTATAGGACGTAAGAACAAACTAGGTTTTTCCATAGAAAGTTAGACTTTTACAATACTTTACGGAGCTGTCACAAACTCGTGTTGGGCCACTGGACTCTACCAGAATCATCGAAGAACCTTGGTGACGGAGATTGCGCAAGTCCTGTCCGCATTTTCTTGGCATTCTATGGTATTTTTTTGAGTGTGTATGCTGTTGGTCGCAGATGACCTTTACAGCGCCACCGGGTTTGGCGACGGCGAGATCCTAAGAGGACCTCAAGCCGAGAATTGGCGAGTGCCTCTAGAGGTATTGCCAGGCGGATGGCATCTCCCCACGGGGGAGTCTCCTCCGCGTCTGGAGCCTCTAGACCACTTGAACCTGAGAGGGTCGGCTCAACTAGAGGGCGTCTCTGAGACTCGGACCTCGGCTAAAGTTAGCCGTTGTCGTGGGGAGATTCTATCGTTCGCTTGCGCACAGACTTTATTAACGGTGCGGGGGCAGCTCAGCTCAGCGCATTTACTAGCCCAACCTAGGATGTTATGCTATATTATGCGTGTTGTTACATAACTGCTTCAATATTACTTCAACATTTTTCAACACATTTTCAGGATAAAGATTATAATAGTTATTTTGCTTTCACATTTAGTTCTTTATAAATACAATAATTTCATGCCTTCATGTGCAAGAGTCTTAGAACAGGTGTAAATGCTCTAAGGCAAGAGTCTATTGTACCCAATGCCGGGGCACAAGCATTTAGTATAGGTACACTAAAAAGCTCGATATTTGGATGCCTTACGAGCTCACAGAAAGAAAAAAAACAACAATAATAAATCGAAATCTATAAAATCATTCATATAATTGTTAAACAAATTCACGGTCTTTATCAGTAAAAGTTTCATGAGTCAAATACGTAAGTGGATTTCAACAACTATAAAATTTTATATTTATTTTCCGAAATTAAAAAAATAGTGTTTTATTTAATGCGAAAACAATGTATTTTATAGAAAAAAACATTACAAAATATTGTTTTCAAAGCGTTAATATTTTGTATTATTTATGTCACCGGAATTGTAACGACACCAAAATTGTAGGTACTTCTTCCACCATGATAACAAATCATAACTCCAAAATTTTAAAGTCCCACGTTCAATTTCATCGTCGTCGCCAAATTATAATTTGATAAATTATCTTATTCAATTTGGAGAATAAAATATATTAATGAACATAAACAATTTCTAGACTTAGATATTATAAAAATTAAGAGGGAAAAATATATTTTTAATTGAAAGTGACATGAAAAGTATTTTTTTCTAGTATGGCGTAGCTTCTTGACCTTAGCCTAGCCTAGACAAAATAAATAACTTTTAATTTAATTTCAGTAAAATTGTCTTTAGATTAATAAATCTAGCAGCTAAATGCTTAAACATTAATAACCAGAAAAAAGCATGATAAATTACATTTTAATAGTCGAGAAAAAGGATAAAATAACTAATAACTGTTTTTATTTATGCTTAATTTTATACTATAGATTAAAGATTAAATCAACTCTTAAAATTATAAATTTACTATTTTTTGCTCCCTATCATAGGTACTTAGTGTTTTTCTTAAATTATACTAACATTTAATTAGTCTTTGAATTAATGAATGATCACTTTATTATCTTTCCAGGCAACTGTATGTTAACTGGACTGTTACATAGAGAGAGTGGGAATTAGATGGTGTCATTTAAAGTGAAATTACCATTAATAATACTTATAAATAACTAGTGACCCGCCCTCGCTTCGCTTCGGTATTTTATCCCCTTGGGGGTAGAATTGATCAAAATCCTTTTTTAGCGGATGCCTACGTCATAACATCTACCTGCATGCCAAATTTCAACCCGATTCGTCCAGTGGTTTGGGCTGTGCGTTGATAGATCACTATGTCAGTCAGTCAGTCACCTTTGAGTTTTATATATATATAGATTATGTATAACAAAAAATAAAATAAAATACAAATACATCAACATAATATATCTGTATCGAGTATAAACTAACATTTTAATTTGGATTTTAAGATTTTTAAAACAAGCTAATGTTTTAGCACCTCTGATCGTTTCCGGCAAGGCATTCCACAAACGAGCAGCCTGAACTACAAATGACTTATTTGTTTCTTAGGTTTTCACGCACATCACTCATTAAATTAGTCTCAGATTATTCTGACGATGCAGACCTGAAAAGGCTGCGAAACGTCAATAAATAAATAAAGTTTCGTGCATTAACCCGTAAAAACTAGTTTTATACAAATGACTTGTCCATAAATTTCGTGGAGTGCATTTGAATCTCGATTGTTAAATTCTCCGATGATCTCAAAACACGAACATGTGTATTATGCAGGAAAATAAAACGGCCCTTGTCATAAGATGGAGCAAAAGGATTAAACAATATACTGTAGAGAAGGGAAAGGATATGCATGTTCCGGCGACGACGAATTGGCAACCACTTGAGCTTAGTGCGGAAATCGGATACATGATCATATTTTCGCAAGCCAAATATGAACCTAATACAAAAGTTTTGGAGCCGCTCACGAGTTTATTCAGTTGCTCCTCAGTTAGGTCTAGATAGCTGACATCGGCATAGTCCAAGATTGGTAGGAGAAGAGATTCTGCAAGCGCAGTTTTAGTAGTTGGAAGAAAATTAAGTAGTCTTTTCAAGGAACCAGCTGAAGCAAACAAACATGTTACGGCTTGCTTCCTGTATTTGAGATCCATCACAAAGAACGGAATAGTTTAATTCTAAATAAATTAATAATCATTTTGGTTAAAATACAACACGAGTAACTTAGAAAAGATAAAAATCTATTTTTCATGATATAGGTACCCAATAACAAAATTACAATCTGATACCTGGACTGGACCTACCTAGTAACCTAAAATTAAATTTCAAAAATAGATATTATAATTTCCGTCATTTTTGTCATTATTGTAAAACAAGAGTTCTATCTACTATCGAAATCTTTTTACTGCCCTACACAAATCATCCTTCCTAACTCAAACTTGAATTAAAATTTTAATAAATTTTAAAAAGTATGCATTACAATGTTAGTTTCATTGCATGTACTTTGTATTGCATGTTTTTAAGATAATAATAAAATTAAAAGTGGGTGTGTGGGTGATTTTCCCAGCCACGTACATTTTCATGTGGTTCACTTAAAAAAGAATATACTTTTCCTTTTTCTGGTAGTTATGATTTCTTCGTCATATTTTTGGCTCTAATTGACAATAGAAAGGATTTATAAGTAGTTGGGATGGTAAGCAATTAATTCCAAAGTTTGCCCTGTACTTTGATAAGATTTTCCTAGTTTTTTTACGCTCTCCGGCCAGCGCACGAGACAAATTCTTAACCTCATAGTGAACATAATTATACACAGGTTTGGCACTGAAATATGACACGAAATATTCGATTGTAAAGATGTTTGAGGACGGCACGACCTACCCAGGTACCGACGGTGGCATGCAATATCCTATATCACAGTCAATTTGTGGTGAATTAAGGCAATTGAATAAGTGTTCAGCTATGGATAGGCCGTGGGTTGGTGCCTAGGCGTTCCAGCGCGCGGCAGCGGCAGTCAGTGGGGCGTGGAGAGTCGACGGCGCGGTTGGTACGGTGCGGCGCGAACTGCTCATATCCGAATCGAGATGGCTGGTGCTCTAATTTGTTTTCTGGCGGTTGCATGCAGTTTGCTACAACAAGGTTTGTTGATGTTGTTCTTTTTTTGAAAGAAAAGACGTGGGAACTATTTGTTGGTGTGTTTACGTAAGTTAGGTCTTTTTATTGGATGAGTGAGGGAGGATGAGGATATTGTTCTTTTTTTGAAAGACATGATGTCGGAACTCTTTGTTGGTGTATTTACGTATTAGGTTCTTTAATTGGATGAGTGAGGATGAGGATATTGTTCTTTTTTTGAAAGACAAGATCTTATAACTCTTTCTTGGTGTGTTTACGTAAATTAGGTCCTTTAATTGGATGAGTGAGGATGACGATATTGAGGATATTTGAAGTAGTCATGCTTGCAGTTAATAGTTGGTTTTCCATTAATGCTGGTGGAATTGGATTAAATTGCGATGCATTAAGTACTTTTGTTGAATAGTATTTTATTTCTAAATTAATTATTTTTTTAATAATACGATGCCTAATGAATACACTATACTAGTAATACCGTACATACCTATTCGTTTTGTGTAGAACTTACGATTTCTCAAAACAATTATTGTTGGTGTCAAGTTTCGTAATTATTAAAAAAATATTCAACTCGAGGTATACTAGCCAAAATATCTGGCTGTATCTGAATTAAAGCACCACTATTAGCACTAGGCTAGTATTCTATAACAACCCTACATCTCACTACTACAAACAGAAAAAACCTTACAAAACGCTTGTGTAACGATGAGTTTAGGAGCTTTTTTCAACCACTTTTAATAATTTTATTAGTAATTATAAAATAAATAAATATTTCTAAAACACACACCCAACCTAACTCACACCAATAATTAGCCTAGCCCCCAAGTAAGGTTTGTGTAATCGGACACTAAATTAACGTATTTAAATACATAATTTAAATGATACATAAATTAGGTAATTATTTTTGTAGAAAAAAACAGCTATAACTTAGGTACAAAAGCTCATAATTCGTAATTCAAACATTTGTCTCATCGGGATTCAAATCCAAGACCTCTGAGTAGGTGATACCTAGAAAACCAGTGTACATGAATCTACACCGGCTAAAGTCGCCAATTAAATTTACTTAAACAAGATGATGGACTTCTTCACTATGTTCAAACCGTGATGCTTAAAATTTCTTACAAATGACAAAACTAAACAATTTACTCCGCCTCATTACAAAACTTAAACTAAAGTTAAACCTCGACTTGAACTGATGCTATCACTTTTGTTCGCTAAAAAGAGGACATAGACAACATAAGGTTTAAACCAAGACTAACTTTAGTCCGCGTTTTAAAATAAGAGGAACTATGTTTTATCATCGCTTTAAATAAAATTGTCTGATTATTTTTACTATGTAATTAATAATATTTTTATTATTTGTGATATGTTTTCCAATTGTAATTATTTGTGATTAATTAATTGTGATTTTTTGCGAGTTTACTTTGCATTTGCTTTATTATTATCCTTCTATAATGAAAAAAAAATACACTTAATTAATTAGCCAGAAATACAGTTGATTCCGTATAATATGACCGACCGATATAATATGATGTTTGTTATGTAGTAGGTATAACTTTGGTAATCTTATATATATATATATATGTATATATATATAATGTCATGACCAACATGACCCCCCCCCCCCCCCTGGATCCGCCCTTGCTCAGTGAGATAACACTTTGGTTATTAAGATATACATGGATATATGAAAGGCTAAGGTGAGAAACAGGCATTGTCCATATTCTCTAAAATTGATTTTTGGAATCTATGACCACATAGATTACTCATTTCATCTTATGGCTATCACAAAAAATGGTTTTTTACCTACTTCTTTCCTAGACTGTTAAGTTGTTTTAATGAAATAGCAGTTATTATTTGTTATTGTGCAATTTTTATTTAGATATTTATTTCATGTACCTGTAGTGTACTATTAAATTTAGTTTTAAAATCAGAGAGAGAGCAGATTTGCTGAGTCAGTCATAAAATGCTGTCATAACTATAATTTATTTATTTGTTTGTTTTTTTTTGTAAATTAATTTAATGTTAATTTACTGTTTGGTTTTGTATGGTTGTTATGGGCTGCTGTTGTCTGAAATAAATAATTTTTATTTTATTTTATTTTTTTATTTCTTATTTATAATTGTTCTGTAAAATTTTATTAAAGTGACTTAGCCTGTTTTCCCCCTTAGCCCTTAGTATTTGAATTTACAGCATACACGTCAATTATGATTACAAACATGTTATACAATACGGGTCAAATTGATAACCTCCCTTTTCTTAATCGTTGGTTAACAATAACTATGCTTCTGTTTATGTAAACTGTAAACATTGTAAAGAATCGAAGATATTTATTTTCTCGTCTGAAACCAGAGTCCAGCTGATGGATTCAACAACGGTGGTCGATAATGCAAACATTTGGCGTACGTTAAAGTACTGGCTATTTATAATTTTACAAGCTCTTAATACATACGGAAGTCTAGCAGGTACTTTACACCTAAAGAAAAAATTACTAGATATAATTCCACTAGGTCTAGAGAGGCTACTCTGTTTCTCCGAAACGAATTTCCGTTAAAGAAGAATGAAAGAAAATTTCATTTCGTCAATTTGAGGTTAATACTTAATTTTAACGATAAACTCATCATCAGCCTATTAATGTCTCCACTGTTGGGACACAGGCCTTATCTATAGATGGAATAGGGAGATTGGGCCATGACCCACCACGAGGACCCAGTGCGGATTGGCGGGTGCTAACGACTGCAGATGAAGCCGGAACCAACGGCTCAACGTGCCTTCCGAAGCACGGAGGAACTCGAGATGGAAGATTTTTGTTCACCCATCCAATGACCGACCACTGCGAAAGTTGCTTAACTTCAACGATCGCAGCCGAACGCGCTAACCACTCGCACCATCGAGCTCCTCAACGATAAAAACGATAACAAACGATAAACTGTCAAATGCAATTTTTCCTTGAATCAGTTTCGAGAATCTAAGCCACAATCTATTTTCGGGCGAATAAACATTATTATAATTATTAGAAACGAATAAGAAACATAGCCGGAAACGTGCTAAATTTCAATCGAAATTTAGAGTTTCGTTGAATTAGAGTAGGTCTCATGGGTTCAGACTAGATAGATTTAAACTTTTAGAAATTAAAAATAAAAGTACCTAGGTACTTTACTTATTATTTTTAGACGTATATTCTCTAACGGTTATTTTTCTCACATTAATGATTGGCGTATTTAGGTATTTTCTTCAATTGTCTACTCAACATTTTTTTTTCGTTAGAATTTTTGCAATGCATAAGAAAACTGAAAAAAAAATAGGATGAAATTGGCAGTCTCTTTTAAGTTACGGTGTGACCAAGGGAAATACTATATAGGGTTTATTTTAATAGGTATACATAGATATAAAGAACTAGGTTCTGCCTACGACTTCGTCCCCTCCAACTTTCGATTCATGTAAATTTCCTTAATTTGTTCCATTAAAAGCTTTTGATAATATATTAGAAATTAGGAAAGAAAAAAAGGTTGGATAAAAATTATAAAGTCGTTCTCAAGTTACGGCGTGACCAAGGGCAATTGGAATTAATTTTATAGGTATACTAGCTGACCCAGCGAACTTCGTACCGTCATAAAAAAATAGGGGTTGGTGGAAGAAGGGTGAAAACTTAGGGTTGTATGTATTTGTGTATAATGTATAAAAAAAAAATCTAAAATTGAAAAAAAAAATTAGGGGTGGATTACCCTTAACATTTAGGGGGATGAAAAATAGATTACATCCGATTCTCAGACCTACCTAATATGCACACATGAGAATCGGGAAAGCCGTTTCGGAGGAGTTTAACCACAAACACCGCGACACGAGAATTTTATATATTAGATTAAGACAACATAAATAGCTTTAATAATATCAGCGCTGATGCGACCATCGTCACAGCAGCTCATGATGAGACAGGGTCCTGGTTAACCCTTAATATTATTGTTCTTCTATATTTTAAACGATTTACCGTGTATATGAAATTATGGTTAGTAAAATCTTTTTCTCTCTTTTTTTCTTTATATACAGGTCTAGCGATCACATGCTACCAATGCAACAGCCACAATGACTCCCGCTGCTTGCTACAAAAGCTGCCCGACTCACTGCGGTTGCCGTGCGGGCCCAAGGACACCATGTGCCGCAAGATCTCCCAGGTGGTGGAGTTCGAGATGAACGGAATGCCACCAGATAGTCGCGTCATCAGAGGCTGTGGATGGGACGAGAGCAGTTACAAGGTGACTTTATTATATTGATTAAAGGTCTTCATATCATAATCTTGTTCTCATGTCCCTCAAATCAGTTTATGATACCACCAGTCCTTCTATGAGGTAACAACATTAGTATGGTAACGAGATGACACCATGTGCCGCAAGATCTCCCAGGTTGTGGAGTTTGAGATGAACGGAATGCCACCAGACAGCCGTGTCATCAGATGAGGATGGGACGAGAGCAGTTACAAGGTGACTTGCTGATTTTTATCTAAAGTCTTCTAATGGGTTTTTCTATTAGCCTCTATACGAAGCGCTACAACATTAGTATGGTAAAAAGAAAACACCACGTGCTGCAAGATGTCCCAGGTGGTGGAGTTTGAGATGAACGGCATGTCACCTGACAACCCCGTTTTTAGGGGCTGCGGCTGGAACGAAATCAGTTACAAGGTGACTTTATTATTTTGATTGAAGGGCTTCTAATCGCTGTATTGTACCAGTAGCCTCTAAATGAAGATCTCCCAGGTTGTAGAGTTCGAGATGAACGAAATGCCGTCTGACAGTCGCGTAAATAGAGGCTGCGAATGGGACGAGAGTAGTAACAAGGTGACTTTATTCTTTTGATTGAAGGCCTTCAAATCGCTGTATTGTACCACCAGTAGTGCATTCATAAAGATTGCACTACTGGTGCTGTAATTCTTACTTCGTTTGGTTCGAACACTAGCGTCCCGCCCTATTGAACTCTGGACTACCTTAGTCCTTATTATTTGTCCTATTACTAAGTTTTGTTATAAACCAAAATCAACTGTAGGGCCGCCTATACATGAAGGCTAATGCCAACGTATAGACAGCATATTTGTTTTGCCTTGCATCGCACGGTGTCTCTTGCCTAATCTGCCGAGTAAAGGTAAGCGCCATGAGTAGTATACCTCATTTGGTGGCGCTTGTCGGCACTAGCTGTAGCTCGCCAACATTTGTCTCAATTTGTCCATAATAACTGATAACGCCCCAACGTATGGGCAGCCCACAAAGCTTGTCTATATTGGCCAGTTGCATTGGTCTCCCCCAACGTCTAGGACTTGCCTTGAATCAGTTTTCCTACGCAGCTTTGGGTTAAGCTTGGCCAACATGTGTTGGCGGTTGGCGGCTTTACGTGAATTTATATAATTATGTCATGTATTGCTAGCTACTGCTTATATCTGAAAACAGCATCTTCTACCAGATCTTTTTAAGGTAACCAATCATCATCAGCCTATTAATTTTCCCTTTGCTGGGGCTCGCCTTCCCTATGGATAGAATAGAGCTCATGACCACTCGGGCACTGTGCGGATGGCTGAATGCTAACGACTGCAGATGCAGCTGAAACCAACTGCTTAACGTATCTTCCGAGGCACGAAGGAGCTTGAGATGACCGACCCTTGGGAAAGATGCTTCACTCTCACGTTCCTAGACTAAATGAGCTAAACACTGCACCATCGACCTTCTCAAAGGCCATCCACTTAGCTAGATGATTAAAAAAATGTGAGACAATAAGATATTAAAAAATCCATATTGCAATTTATTTAGGTAGGCATGTAGGAGCTGAATAACGATTTCCAGCACGTACGCAACAGTTTAAAGGGTTTAAGAGGTTAAATGCCCCTTTAAGTTAAGTGATGGTGAAGTCCAGACGTGAAGATAGCTGGTAAAGCAGTTCTACCTGTCATACCAGCCATCCTCACCTTGCCGGCCGGCATGTTGCTTCTTCACGCCTCTTTTAAAGGATCCCAGGTTGTAAGAAGGAACACGTGAGCAGACAGAGCATTCCATTTACGGATAGTACGACAAAGAAATGAGTCACCAAACTTTGTACGCGTTGGAATTGTGGCCACAGTTAGACGGTGACACCGAAGGCCAGCGCGCGTGGTCCTCTGAAGGAAAGGGGAGGGTGGAATAAGAGAGAATAACTCTTCAGAACACTCGCCGTGGTACAGACGATAGAACGCGCTTACTGACGCAACCCAAGTTAAAAAAAGGTTAAAGTTTAAGGGGCATTTAACCCATTTAATGGGGCCATTCAAAATTATAAACTGACCTGAAACAAATTTGTATTTTCGTTTTCAGGGCCGCTGTTACCAGAGATCCGGTTTTGGTGGCCGGCAAGAAGTCTGTTCCTGCATAGAGGACGGATGCAACTCTGCAGCTATCCCTGTCGGAGCCACCGCACTCATGCTTCTCACATTCGCGATACTCAGGTTTTAGAATCAGAAATTCTCAACAGTCTAAGGCATGTATTAATAAAACGCTCTCAACTCTGAGACTACGATATTGAGCCATAAGAGTTCAGAGCGATCTATTAATTAGGGCCTAAGAGCTAAGAGACTGGCTTCTATTCAGGTCTCCGAAGACCGAATTAACATCTACGCCTAGCACAAGGGAAAATAGGGAACAGATCAATTAGTATGTTTGTAATTATTAGAATGGCTAAGTTCCCAACGTGTTCGTTATCAATGTAGGTAGAATGTGCATAGTGTTAATTAAACTAAGTCGGAGCGTTACCTACGTTAAATAACTTAGTGACATGTTGTAAATAGGTGGTAAAATTCGCCATGACACGTTCCACATTCATGCTCTATGAAGGCATTGGAGTAATAATAGAATAGGGTTAGATATAGTTACTGCCCCTTCGTATGTCACAAGAAGCATCAAAGTGTTACCATATTATTTGTAAGTAAATAAAAAAATCTTTGTAAATTTGTTTCGTTCGTGAGAGACTATTACCTACATTGTTTTCACTTTGTTGTTGTGTTTGTAATATTGCGAATGTATTTATTAAAAACTGTTTTACATTAAACTGGACTTTCATTGTTGACTCTTTCCTCCGCTTTCAGTGTTCACCAGATTGCATTTTCAATTATCAAATTAATTATAAAGTAAATTTTAATAAAATGCGAATAGTAAATCTGTAACGTGACCCAAACTGTCGATTAGGTAACGTCAATTGTATACTTCCTCTTGGTCGCTGAGGTTTCAATGAGGCACATCCTCTCCGCTTAAGGATGGATGACAAAATACTCAACAATCGTATATTAGCGTGATATTATTAAGTCAGTCAGATGGCTGATATACTTGCAAGTACACTGTGATCTCAGAGCCATCATGGCTACCGCCTTAAGTGTCATTTTGCTTCTTACTATATTTGACATTGGTAAGTGGTTATTATAATTTTTTTAGTTCATCTTTAGCGTGTTGCATTTACTTTTTAATTGTTATTCAAAAATCTTAACACCGCGCTTTAGACAGTCCCTATTAGTCGACCTTATTGGACGATGATACCAGTTGATGTGCCTGTGATTGGCTATCGACGGCCAACTCGAAGCAAACGAGTAGTATTTAACGGGACTAATGTGAATCAACTTTTCTTTACTTTGTTTTTCACCTGCCTATTTTCTTGTATACCTCCTTTTATCTTTACTATCCTTCTATGCTTCCTCTTTCAGACTTCTGCCCGCGCCCCTGGCTGTATCAAATAGCAGCCTCGAGCACGGACAGTATATTATTAAACACGTTGAAATTTGAATAAGAATAACCTAGTTAAAGAGACATATTGTAAATAATTGAATTAAAATATTATGGAAAAAAAAACTCCTCAGACCTTATCGGCAAGCGTCGTTGGTTCAGTGGTAGAAAGCTTGCCTGCCGCGCGGGCGGCACGGGTTCGATTCGGAGCCGAGGTTTTTTTTCCAGTGTTCATAAGCCGGAGTAACATCAATTACGAATAATTTTCTGAAAATTTTCAGTGTAATGCCTACAATCCGAAAAAAATTAAAGCACTTTAAAAACTACACTTGCATCGTGGCTTCGTAAAACCACATCATTTTTTTTCACTGAAGGTTTTATGACCTATATAATTGTATTTTGCTACCTGCATATCTTATCTATTTTTATAATATTATCTAACACTTTTATAAATAACAGTGAAAGTAGGTAGTGAATTGCAAACCACATTGAATTGATTTGTAGAGTGAAGTGAAAATCTTTTACCGGGTCTATTATTATTTCATCTCTCGGTTTTTATTAGAAAATTTAGTAAAAATAAGAATAAGTATTTTAAATCTTTCACAAATTTTATTTCAATTAAAACTTCGTAAACATATATAAATTGTTTACGAAGTTTTAATTGAAATAAAATTTACAGATTAAAATAGAAAAATAAATATTTACATTAAGAACTTAAAATTATTTTATTATACAAAAAATAGCTGCCCTAAGTCTTCCCCGTCGGAAAGGTTCCCAGGATGCTAACGGCATTTCCCGGCTGAATGGCGAGGCTTATTTTTTTGTTTTGATTTTTACTTAGAAGTAACGCTCCTAAACTTTGATTAAAATATTTTGGTTGATTGTAAGAAAAAATAAGTATCCATTAATTTTTGTTAATCTAAGTGACGAACTAAATAGAAATTCGTTTAATTTACTACCTCATCATCCACTAATAGGGTAATTTCTATCAGCGTCGAAAAGTTATCAGCCAGCTCATTCCTCATATTTTCTTTCATTCCCAGTCCAACATAGTTTAAGGGCATAAATTAAAAACAAAAGAGTAATCATTTACACCTTATAGTTAAACATGGTTTACCAGCATAATATTTTAAACGTGATAGTTTAGTAATATCGTTACTCAATCAAGAACGGTGATACAACGGGTAAAAAGAATACCGGTGGACCTGCCAGGGGGCAAATTGGTAGGACCAGAGCATGGTGTGTTGCCGAACTATCGATATTTAAACTATCAACAGTTTACATCGAAAATCATGTACCCTATCGATAGAATCTTTGTATCATTTGATAGTATTGCCTTGTTCTGAGCTATCGATACTATCGATACTTTCGATAAGCCGATTGATTGTCATACGATTGGCTGGCTATTGATAGACTATCGATTAATCATCGATAGTCGACTATCGATCTGCAACACTTGGCCAATGATCACAGGTATAATAGCCCACCGAAAATAACGGCTGCACGGATTTAAATAAAATGTCACACCTTATACTTGGATTAGAACATAGAATACATTCATTCCCGGAAAAATGTTATGTTGCTGTGGGATTATTAACAATTTTACTATAAAATGTATCGGTAGTTAGTCTAGTTGCTATACGGGTGTAAAATAAATGAAATGAAATGAAAAATCCTTTATTGGCCATCATTCAATAGCATATTTAAAGATGTCTTAACTAGATTCAATAATCTCCAATCGCGGGTAAATAATTATACTTACAAAGTACTTATATCGGCATGAAAAAAGCGGCGCAATTCGATCAAAGACATTTAAATATACAACAACAATAAATAGTCCGCTTCTCAGTATGAACCCGTGACCCCCCATTTGTATCTGATTGATTCACCACGACGTTTATACGCTTTTGATAGCGTTGTAACCGAATTATTAATGTTTATATTGCCTATCTGATTACGAAGTAGGTAACCATACTTTACAACCGTTTATTAGACACAGCGAATTTTATTGTCATGATTAGGCACATCATCATCATCATCAGCCTAATAATGTCCCCACTGCTGGGGCACAGGCCTCCCCTATGGATCTTTCGGAGATTAGGACATACAGAGGTAGTCATTTAACTTTTAAATGTTTCAATGCTTAAAAAAATAAAAATTACCGTTTTATTGAATGTTGTCACATGTCTTCAGGATTAGCAATAACCTGCTATGAGTGCAACAGCGCGCTGCACCCACAGTGCGAGAGTGGCGCCCTTTCCGTCAGCTTCAGGCGAAACTGTTCCGACCATGACCGCGGCGTCACCCACTCACTGTGCCGCAAGATAGTGCAGCACGTGGACTTCGGCAGCGTCAATGGGCAGCTGCCGGCCAGCAGGGTAGTGCGTGCTTGTGGATGGGACGACACCAAGTATAAGGTCTGTATAATATACCATTACGATCGCGGCGACATTCACTCGTGATTTGGACATTAATAGGTTGATGATAATGGCATCGTGGCATACCGAGGACAGAGAATGCACTGAGCGACATTCGCGAAATTGACAACTTTCTAGAAAGAGAGAAAGAGGTGGTGCAGCCATCGCTTCAGGTGAGAACTTTCTAGAAAGAGAGAAAGTGGTGGTGCAGCCGTCGCTTCAGGTTCTATAGGAACTATTGGCCGCACGATCGTTTTCTCTCTCTCTCACACACATTTTTGCTTAGTCAACTTTTCGTTGGACATAAAATGCTGAATCCATTCTTTATGTCTATAGTACATAGATTTATATACATATTTAATAACTAGTGGCCCGCCCGCGCTTCGCTTCGGTGTAGAGCTGTAGTGTAGACTATAGTTTTTGTTCTCAGGCTTGTATTATACACAATGACATTCTTCTAATACCTAATTACAATAGGCACGCGCCACCAGGCGCCCCGCCCGGTAGCGTCGGAACCTCTATGTCCCTGCATTTTAAATCTGTAATATCTTCGAAAATATTCATTTAAATTACATGCGTTAAATAGCCAAATTGGTCTATATTAAATGCACAATGTATTTAAGGTACTTAATTGGATAAGGAAGAATGTTATATTGCTGAAAATCGCTTCGTAAATAATCTATTATTTCTCGTAAAAAGTATAGGATATAAAATGGTTATTGTGGGTTATCCCTAAGAGATAGACAGATACCATGGCGGACTTTTTTGTAGACATTTTTAAGGTATACAATACTGCAGTACATTATTTTGATCGATCTCGTAGGGTTCAGCCAGCGTTTGCAATGTAAGCGGAAAAAACTGTGTTTATTTACGACCTTACATTCAAAACCTCTAAAATTATCAGTGTTTCCAACCGTTACACAAAAATAATCCTTATAGCATGATTCAGTATTCACGTGCGACGGCGCGATGGCTTATTTCATGTATAAGTTTGGTGTTTATATACCGATTTCTATAATTCTTTTTTTATTGAATAGGTAATAATGTTAACTTTTTTAAATTAGGGATGAGTGAGAGTATTATAAACGTAAGAGTAAATAAATATAATCAGAATGCTCCGAACTGCTAAGCTATCAGGAGTTACACGTGTTATTGTGAGTCAACCATAAAAGATAGACATATGCTGTTGCGGGATATTTTTTAGACAATTTTATGTAAAATATTTCCGTCATACATGATTTCTATGTAACTTTAACCATTAAATCTGCACACGTGACGGAAGCTTAAAAAATGGAGTAACTTCTCCCGTTTTCCCAGTATTTCCCTTCACTACTCTGCACCTATTGATTGTAGCGTGATGAAAAGTATACTATAACCTGCCCAGGAGTATGAAGAATAATTGTACCAAGTTTCGTTAAAATCCGTCGAGTAGTTTTTGTTTCTATAAGGAACATACACACAGACAGACAGACAAAAATTTTACTGATTGCATTTTTGGCATCAGTATCGATCACTAATCACCCCCTGATAGTTATTTTAAAAATATATTTCATGTACAGAATTGACCTCTCTACAGATTTATTATAAGTATAGAAGATATTAGCCCCCATTGTGATTTAGAGAGTTAAAATAACTGGCAAATTCATTGTTATTTTTTTTCTCTTCCTTTCCAGTCAATGCAATATAATTATATCTCCCTCAGGGTTCCTGCTACCATAGAGCTGGGTTCGGCGGTCGCCAGGAAGTGTGTTCCTGCACCAAGGATCTCTGCAACGGGTCCCGTGACGTCAGAAGCGCGCCATTCGCAGTCATGAGTACCGCACTAATGGTGCTAAAGAAAATTGTTTGCTAATGACAGACTTGGCTAATAGTGCCGACCTGATAACCGAATTTGTAGTTATAAATGAGTAATCGAACACGTAGATTAATAGCCGAAATCGTTAAAATTTTATTATTTAATTATTATATATAAACATTGTAAAAATAATCTTTGAGTGATTTTAAGTAGGTCCTGTATGTACAACCAATGTGTCTTCGCTAGGATAAAGGTGTCCCAGAAATTATATGAGTTCTGCAAATCACAAACAAAGCTATTAGAATACGTAAAAACCAAAACCTGTAGCATTACTATAGAAAAGATGGAAGGGACAAATTTTGAGGTCTCCATTTAAATGAAAAAATCGAATAATTGCTTTTTCTTTCTGGTAAAGTGACATTTTCGATATTCGAACCAAACTAAAGAATCGATGCAAATGTTATTTAATTTTTGTTTTAATTGTAAAGGGTGATAATGATAATTAAATGTATAGGGAAAGGATGCAAATTTAGAACACTACTTTAAAAAAAATCGTATTAAACATGGATGAAGAGATAAATAAGTGAACACTGCATTTAATGTTAAAAGAACTTATATTTTATTCAAGTTTTACTAATTAACAAACTTCGATTGTGAATTAGGATCAATTGTGGTTTAATTATGAAATCACAGATTGGCGTAGTTTTAGTTTGGAATAGGGTATTCCAAATTACAATCACCTAATGGTTAACCTGAAATACCTATTTATTTGGCTTTAAATTAAAACATTTCAATTTAAAAATAACTTTAAGCTTATATTAAAACAATTATATTTTTCTAGACCTCGCAATAATCACAAACGTAACAACCAGAGTCATAGTGTATTCCAAATTAGCTACATAGCCAATTCTAACCTAAAATGTTTTTGTGAATTTGTGTTTCGATTAATTTCTAAAATAAGTGTTGATTTTAACAACTGACATACTAGACTTAAGATTTGTACAAACATAAACACATAAATATAAGTCACACTCAAGATGCAAGCCGACTTATTACTTACTTGGAAAATTGTCTCGTCAGCACTTTCACTTCTGAAGGAGTTATACAGAATCTATGGTTGCTTCCAAGCGGTACTTTCGAACGATTTTAATTATTATCACAATATAGTAGGGAACATAAAACACAATAAAAAAAATATTAAGTCCGACTTTTTTGTTTTATTGCTGCGATAATTTTCGTTGATAGCTCAGTTCAGTATGCCTACAATCATTTAGTAACCTACAAACACCATTTAAATTTTAGTACATAATTTATATTCGACATACAAAGAAACACCCTTTTTATGCTCAAAACGGTGGCAAACAAGCGTATAACCCGCTACTTGGCAGAATCACTAGGTTACAGATGAACAAAAAAAACCAATGGTGGTGTAATCAAAGTTTCACTTTAAAATCATTTCTGCTTCCTACAAACTCGAATGAAATTCAAGTGTGAAGCTTCATCCCCACAATTCATATTTTTACACCCTTCATTTATGTATATGTGCGCCGCCTTTGAAGATTTGCACCCCCCCCCCCCCTAGCTGGTACGTTTAAAATTAATGGTATTTAACCATTGTATCAACTACCTTCAAACTTGCTCCCCCCTAGGGCCGTAGGCTGGCATCACCCTTGTTCATTATGGGTAATAAACTAAATTTTAAAAAAATACCACCCATCACCCTGGGCCCATCCATTGTACCATTGTCCCTATGTTTTTCTGGACATAGTGAAAGTCAAACCAGATATCGCAACATTATCAGAAAAACCTGCTGCTATATAACGTTTATTTATCAAGTACCGATATGAGTGAAGTGTGAGTGACATTGGAGAAAATCAGGGAAGAATTTTATCTACAATGTCAATATTTCCTTGCATTTTCTCTTCTGCGTTTACCGTTTCCGCAGATTATTTGAGTCGATAAGTAGCTTAGACTCTTGAAACAAACACTGCGAAGATTATATATCACACAATATATTAATGTAATTGGCGAATAAATAAATATGGATTTGAACTTAACATAAATGGCTATTGACTTAAAAATTTTACATGTATTCTTTTAATTTTTCAGGTCCGTCTGCAACTGGTATACAATTTAATTTAGATTTTTTTGAATAATTTATAAGAATTTTTGAAATTGTTGAATGCTCTTCCAAGTGCGAAACATATAGAACTATATATATCATTTACCAACTGTAACAAACTATGTTTCATGCAAACACACTTTCATTTCATTTCAAAAATATAGTACCTTATAGCTTAAACAATAAGAAGAAAAAAGAATAGATAATGTGTATCATATCGCCTATATATTGCCGCTCAGATTAAAAGCTGTGCAAAAAATTTGTTATCCTATCAACTAAACTGGAATTGAACCAGTATATTGATTCAACGACATTTTACAGGGTTATGAAAACTTAAAGAGGTTCCGTCATTACATAATAGGCACTCAAATCGCGAGAAAAAATCAAATGACAGAAACAAATGAAACGAATCATATGGTTTTCAATTTGGCAACTCGCACATAGCTCAACGCACAACGAAGGAAGTGAATATGAAAAAACTCCCAATCTAGTTTAACAAATTGTTAGAGGATAAGATAGATAGATAGATAGTGCCCCAAATCATCCAAAACTAGTGAAAAAATCATAATAATAACGCTATTAGTAAGAATAAAATAATAATAACGGTCGGAGATTTTTGGCAGGCGACCGAAGTTCAGTGATCTACCTTTTTTACTATGTTCTGAAAGCTACTATACAACCTTAAAAGGGATAAAGAAATTATTCTAAGGTTAGTAACCATAACATCAACAAAAGCCTATACTTAGATTAGAAAAAAATCTATATAGAATCTTAGAATCTTAGAAGCCCCTCTGCAAGCAGAAGCACAGCCATTCCTTAATTAGTTCCATAGATAGGGAACTCCGTAAGGAACTATGACGCGGATATATTTTATTTCCTAGTAAAAAATTAGTGAGTACCCATTATAGTAGCAGACACCAACTAGATCGTAAGGGAAGTAACGTCACCGATATCCGTGAAAATCAACCGTGAAAAGTTGTAAAATATCTATTCTTCAAATCAACTAATTTCCAACATACTACAAAACTGCATACTACTAAACGGTTCTGGAAGCTGACATAATACCTTTTTTGTATTACCGTGAATTTTTTAACCAGGCAATTTACAATTGTTTTTCACTTTACCGTAAATAAGAATTAAGTCTACTTTTGAATAGTTTTTAATTTGCACCACCTTGATTGCATTAAATCAGATTCTCAGTACAAGGTCTCCCGCCGTAGTTTTGCGAACCGATGGCGTAGCTTCTTGACTTTCACAAGTGCTTGTAACAGCCTAGACTGAATAAATGACTTTTCATTTCATTTCATTTCATTTCATAAATACCACTTATTTTAAAATTAAGATTCAGATAATAATCCATATTTTTATTGTATCGTGTAGAATCTTAGAAGGATTATGATTTGTATGGGAGATGGGTCTGTCAATGATGTGTTGAATGTTAAAGAGACCCCAACCCAAATGCAAGAATATGGTGGCGGCGGTTCGAGCAAGACGAACGAGTACCGCGACGGCGAGGGCAGGGAGGCGAGGAGTCACCAGGAGGGCTACCAGCAGCCAGGACAGTACTCCGCCCAACCCAAGAGCTATGGTAAGATTTGCAGAAGTAAAATATAGATACATTAAGAGAAGTAGGGCATAGCTGATTTACCGCTCGAATTGAAGCACCCGTCCGGGCAAGTAACCTCCATCTTACAAAAGACCACAGTAAAATACACTACTACTTTTGGTGGTTGTGTTTCTGTATCTTAATACACATTTTTTTTGTGTCGTTGTGTTTCTGTGTCTTAATACACATTTTTTGTGTTGTTGTGTGTTCTGTGTCTTAATACACATTTTTTGTGTTGCTGTGTTTCTGTTAATAAGTAAGGTTCCAAGCACCCCCGGGGTAGGGCATTGGGTCAGGATAGCCAACGTTACGAGTGATATCTTTGATATCGCAAGTGTCAATAGGCTATGGACCATCATTAGAAGAATTAGAAGAAGAATGGCTCTGGTAGTTAGCACGTTCGGTCTGCGATCGTGAAAGTTAAGTAACTTTCGCAATGGCCGGCTGGCAATAGGATGTGTGACTAAATATTTATTATATCGAGCTCCTCCGTGGCTGCACAGGGCTGGACCGCATCTTCCTATAGCATTCATAAGTTAAGGCCTGTACCCCAGCAGTGGGGTCATAAACTGGCTGATGATACAGGCGAAGAAGCCCCTCTGCGGCAGAATGACTATGAAGCAAAATCCCGGAATAGCAAAAGGACAGATTTGCATAAAAGCGGATATTGTACTATCGTCTTCAAAAATATACAAGAATATAGAATAAAACAAATGATATAAACCTTATTATCAATTAGTAACCTCGTTGCTTTATTTAACTTAATGGGCACTTTTAATTGTCATAAATAGTTAATGAATTTATTTCTAACACAAGGATAAAAAAATTATCAAGCTATCACGAGTTTATTCAATTTCTGCAATCTATTGCAGAAATTGAATAAACAAATGAAGTTGATTCTAATCAACGATATAAATAATGAAGTTGATTCTAATCAACGATATTTGAACGGAATGTTTGGATACCTTTGGCCAAAGTTTCACAGACGAATGCATTCGTCTTTATTAATTCGTCTTAAAGTAATAATATTTTCAATATTTTTTATGGTATGTGTAACTATTTCATTCTATTCATTTTTTTTGTTTTCTGTGTGGATCTGTACTTCTGCCTTTATGCAAATCTGTCCTTCTTCTAATCTGGGATTTTGCTATTCCGGGATTTTGCTTGTCTGTCCTTCTGCTGCAGAGGGCAATTGTCAACTTCCAAGCTTTCGAGGTGAGGATATTTATCCATCCATAGCAGATAACACTGCTGCACCAGCAATCGTCACTTTGGATTTAACTGTCACATAACATCAGGTGGAGTAGCCATTCGCCCAGACTTATATATATATATAAATTGGGATCATTTAATATGGATATAATACTAGGTTTTTATTAAAGGGATTATTTAACTGCTAATAAGTAATAACTTACAAATGACTAATGTCACAATCAGAGAATAGGAATTGTGAGTTTTGGAATAGAGGTTTCCAGTTTATCGGCCTTAATGTCTTTTTTTTTACTATTATAATACGTTCTTGCATAATAATAATAAAAATATAAAGAAAGTTTAACGGATATTGAATTTGAATTGCTGATTGCTGATGAATTTATTAGCTTTATAAAATGTCTTTTTAATTTACCAACAGGATGTTCCAGTAAGGAGATGTCTGATCAAAACATGGCAACATACTGCAGAGTTGCCACTGGTATATATGAAGCAACTACATCTAGCCAACAGTACCAGAATCCAAGGTATTGTTTTTAATATAATCCTCGCTTTTCAACAGGTTGCTTATTAAGATAGGTTTATTTATTCCAGATATGACAATCAATCTGCTCCTCCTACCTTTAGTTCTCCACCGAACTCTCCTCTGATCGGCTTGGTCTTCGATCCATCATCGCCTAATTATGGAGGTCCAATTGCCTCTGGAGAACGAAACTTGAACAGCGACCGGCGATCACAAAGTTCTTGGTCTATCTCCAATCAAGAACCTATTGGTACAGGAGCAAAAAAGAAAATTGTTAAAAGTCATGACAAACGTAATAGCCATAGTTCTGACTCCCGTTACCATGATAAGTACAAGGACGCAGGTGTGGAAACTGATCGCCAGAGGAAGGATAGAAATTTAACTGCAGAATCTACATCTAGTCTTGATTTCTTCGCTGAAGGAGAAAGAATGGTTTCAGAACTTTGCAATATACCTGATACAACTTCAAGGGGTGATATTGCTCAGAAGCCAAATTATAAACAAAACAATCAAGAAGATGACAAAAATAAAGCTTCAAGCCCTTCAGAGGCTCTGTTGTCTATTTTGGATAAAATAGTAATTCATGATCAAATTCCTAATCAAATAGTCCAACTAGCCATTGAAGCCTGTACCGATGCTGAAAATATAGCTATAGCACATCACAACAGGCCGTGCTTTAAAAATATACATTCTATATGTGCTAAAACTAGATCCAATGTACAGAAACCAGATAGCGCTGTTGCTAATTTACATTCTCAAGGGATCCCATGGGTTATCAAAAATTTTATATTCTCTTTTGTCAGAATATTGGACGGATGGAAAGGGGTAAAGGAACTGCTGAGCGAAAAACATGACACATTTTCTAGAATAGAAAATAAATATTACAGCCCCAATATAAGGGAATGTTTTGTACAATGGCAAGCTGTTACAAAAGAAATGCTTACGCATATCTATAAGACTTTTAAATGTCTCGACCATGGATTTACAATGGAACAAAAGAGTTTTACTCATAGTTATTATGTCACTAACACCTCAGCCCCACGGCACCAAAATCAAAATAAATTTCAAGGTATGAAATCCCATACTAATACTCAAAGACCCGTGAATGCTTCTCCAACACCTTTTAATGCAGTTCAGCCTCCGTGGGTACAAAATCAAAATCAAGCATCTTCTCAAAACTTCAATGACGGGCCATGGCCACCTAGATCAAGTATGAGTTATAAGAAATTTCCTGTAGTGCCACCACCCAACTCTCAAAATTTTTATCCATTGAATGACCAAAATGACATGGATAATTTCCAAAAGGCACAATATAAATGCGATCCCTGCATTGTTAGAGAGACCAAACCCCGTCAATCCTGGACTATTACAAATGTTCCTGACTTTCGAGCCCTTGAGAGCTTATGTCATTCTGAACAAAGGGAACTTTACAGTCAATTAAAGCACAAAATGGATGCAGAATTAGGAAAAGCACCTGGCCAACCCATTACAGGAAATTTGTCTAGTGACTTATTGCAGAGAAGAGAAATGGAGCTGAAAGCAAAAATGATACCTTTGAGTCACGTTGAGAAGAGATTAATACCAAATATTGCCGCAAATGCTGAAATGAGAGGATGCTATATGCAAAAAAACAATAGCTGTGGCGATACTAAAGAAGAAACAGATTTTTTTGCGGCGTGGGGTCAGATGGTCCAAAAAGAACCTAATGATTATATAACTCATCACTCTCACAATATTCCATTACAATCGAATATTGTGACGATTCCAAATAATATCTCTGGCCCCGTACAATTTCTTGATCCTGAAAATGATGAGTTTCACGAAATTTCTAAAGTTTATATGAAGCCCGGAAGTTACAAAGTGCCAATTAAGCCAGCCGACCCGATAGCTGTTTTTGTTCAAGGTACCTCACAAGATGTGATATTTGAAAATCCTGTTTTAGATGAAATTGCACCTGTGAAAATTAAAGTCCCATTTCCTCCGGTGACTTTGGCACCACAACCTAAGTATAATATTGAATCTTGGCCATGTCTAATGTCTCGACCCGTGGAAGATGTTTTTGGCGGAGAAACAAAATTAATGCCACGACATGGCTTACCTTGTATAGATATGAGAGTGACTGATTCTTTAGATATCTTAAGTTCTATGACATCAGATCGAGCTTGGGAAGCTGCTAAACAATCTGCCCCTAAACTAATGGATTTTATTCATGAAGGATCTAATAAGTCAGATGCTGCAAGATTATATGATGCCTTAGGATTAACTAACAATGAAGAATATTCCGATGGCCTAAAACAAGTGCACCTGAAGATAGGTCACAGTGATGCTTGGGCTACTGGAATACCATCAAACCAATTACTCACAACAAAAGATATGTCAAATTTATGGCCTACACAATCGTTAAATAACAATGATTACACCCTTGCTAAAGGACAAGAGCAAAGAATGTTTACAGAAGACATTATAAAATTGCTAGATTCTGATTCAAAGCCTACAATAACAGATGATAATGTAGAATTGCATGAAAATAAAACTGAGGCTTCTAAAGAAACACGATGCGCAAATTTTGACCAAACTGGTAATTACGTGAGAGATGAAAATCACAAAAAATCAAGTGGACGTACAAAAGTTGCTGCTTCAGGGATGTGGTATCATCCTAAAAAGAAAAAACCGTTACAAACTAACATAGTCAAGAAATTCGAATCCATAATAGCCCATCTATCGCAGATTAACGAAGCTGCATTCATTCAACACGATATGGATATAAAAATGGTAAATATGGTGCTTAATATAAAAACAATCATATCAAAGTAACTCGCATTTATTAAAAACTTCCGTTTCAGGCACCGAGATTTTACGAAGTTGTAAAGTACCCAATGTGTTTGCACGATATATCTACAAAGCTTAAGAATTCATCTTACACAGAATATGAGCAAGTGGTGCAGGATTTCCGGCGTATTTTCAATAATGTGCGTCTGTACTTAAAGGTATTTTTTAAAATTCTAATGCCAATTTTTATACGAGGCGCAGCAAATTACCACACCTTACCTGATTTGAAGTGTATAATTAGAGTTCAGTTGTAGTCGAAGCCAGTAGCTGATGCAAGAGAAAAGTGTACCGCTCACCATAGCCCAATCCTCGCCTATACCCCATGCAGACCTAAACCCAATCCTCGCCTCTACCCCGTGGAGACCTAAACCTCGTTCTCAATCTGAAATATAAATCAGAACAGAGTTATATTTCACTGTGGATTTCTGTAAGGTGGAAGTAAGGCTTCATATGGCGACGCCGTATATGCAGTGCTATCTTTGACCTATTGGAGGCTCTGGGCATATTCGGATAATGGGGACCCTATGACCCCTGTTTGGTGATCTAACAGGAACTAGATGGGCCCCTATCGATCGCGGGGCCCTGGGCACTTGCCCAAAGTGCCCACTGGGAAAGAGGAGTCTGCGTGTATGTGAATAATTTCATAATAAATGTTCTTAATATTCATTTTAGAACTATCCTGATACAACCATGAAGAAAAATGTTAACAAAATATCTGCTGATTTTGAAAAGATTTTAAGTGATGAATTTCAAAATAAGTGGGAAAATAAGACTAAAACATTGGAGAGTGCTGATTCTCATGTCGATACTAGCAAAGGAGCGGATGTCAACAGTTCGGAGAAAAAGAATGAAGTGAAAAATAAGGAAAATGACTCAAAAATCTGTGCCACTAAATGATAAGAAGTGAATTAGTTTAATAGCAAGCCCTAGTATACATTTGGCGGAACAAACATTTTGGAAAATAAGTTCTAAACGTATCTTTGAATTAAAAATCTTGATACGTAAGTATCTAATGGCATATTTTGTATTATTGTTTTTTATTTGTAGCGTTTTATTTATACATTAATTTAATTATTTCCATAACATCGCAGTTTGCTCAAGTACTGACTATGGAAAATGAGTAATAATATAACATCTAGTCACACGTGTCCCCTTTTTTTAACAAATGTCAGTGATGTTACCAGAACTATAACTTAAGATTTATCAATTTATTATTTAAGCGCTTGCCAATTTTTCGACTAGACATTTTTTAGCTTCCGTGTGGGGCCAAAGCTTCGTTGTTCTCTTGTCTAATTCTTGTCTTCTACTAGCTAGTTTGTAATTTGATTCACATAGGTAATTTGCTTTCTTAGTACTTCTTGCATTAATTTACTTCTTTCTTATGCTTCTAAAGTCTTAAAACAAATTTATGTTTTGTTACAATGATTGATTTTATCCCAATATAAATAGTATACATTCTGTTACAAACGCAATTCTAGGTAATAATTTTGTATGTCTCTATCTGTGATCTGTGATGTATGTTTAGGTAAAAGTTGATTGATAATTGGAATCATTTATCACACTTAATTACTAGGTTTACGATTCGAATGAAACATGTATATAGAGCGAGAAGAATAGAAGATAGATGTACACGCAAATTTTTAAATACGAAAGTCCACATTTCTATAAAATAATAGTTACGTAGATTTTTTAATACAATTAATTGAAATGCCGCGCATCGCGGGAAGTTTAACAAATTTCCTTATTTAATTAAATGACATTTGATTTTAGATTAATATTTGTTTAATTTTGATTTAAACCCGCCGTTAGACTTCTTTCGACACGCGGCGAGCCATCTTTACATAACTGCTGTAATTTTATTGTTCTGATTGTTACTGTTTGTTCAAAGTTGGTTCGTATATAAATATTTTTTTAATTAATTTTTGAGTCCGTTTTACCTGCCATAGAATAAGTGAATTGCCCACGACGACCCGTCACGAGATTCTGTCCAAGTCTAGATAATGCGAGATATTGCAAATTCCAAATTTTAAATTTGACGGCGTGCAAGTTAATTTTAAGTATTCATTAAGTTGTGATTGTATTATTTAACTTATTTACCTAAAATTATGGCAAAGTCACCCCCTATGATAATAAAAGGAGTTATTTCTTAAATTGGCCGTATTTCATTTTGTTTTTAGTTTTGCTGCGATGCATTCTGAAGGGCATTACTTTCACCAATTTACACACTGAATTGTAAAGAATCCAATTTGTATGCTTATTACTCCGAAGAGGTTCCGCTCTCCCTAATTTAAATAAATCTGTGTCATAACAACCGGTCGGTCTTACAGTATTTACATCATTATAAAATTATTTGTGGCATCACATTTGCATCGCTTCTAATCGCATTAGGCGTGTGAAAAGTTATTTTTATTAACAAATATTTATTTGTACAAATATTAAATACCGGGCGATCCGCCCCAAATATCGGAGACGGATCGCCTTCTATTTGATTCTAATGCAATATAAATAAATAAATATTTCCAACACTCGCACCAATTAGTCTAGCCCCAAAGTAAGCACTGTAGGCTTGTGTTATGGGACTCTATTACGTATATAAATATATTTGTATAGAAATACATATCAAACATCCATGAGTGGAGTACAAATGCTCGCGTTCACCACACAAACATCTGCCCCCAACGAGATTCGAACCCGGGACCTCGAGTCTCTGGCGTACAAACCACTCGGTCAAGGTCGTTTAATTAACGATTTTAAAGATTTCACTTGCAGCGTGGGTTTATAAAACCACACCTTTTTTTGTAATAGCTCAGAATGTGAAATTAATACCTTTAAAAGTATTAAAAATTTGAAAGAAGAAATAGCAATTAGTTATATTTTTATTTAGGGTTACCTAAAATGAGAAGGGATGGCGCTGCCTTGCGGCCTAAGAAGTACTAGAGAAAATTCGAGACGGCCATTAGGGCCGCGTTAGTATAATGGTCAGTGCATTCGCCTGAATAGCGTAGGGTGCGGGTTCGAGTCCCGTCTGCTGCCTGCTCGCGCTTGTAATTTTTTGTAGTAAAATTTTCTTTAGATTTAAACATTCAGCAATTAAACACTTTGGTAAAACTTAAAAAATATATCTACTAAAGTTACTAAACTACTCCATCTCCACTAAACTACTTCATCAAAGAAAAGAAGAAGTACATATGCAGGGCTGACTGCGAACCTTCGTTGTTCGGAGAGGAAAATTTCTTTTTTTCTTTTTTTCAATAGAAGAAGAAGAAGACCGTTTACTACCACAAGTTCCAAATTGGGAAACCTCCCTGAGAAGAACAGGTGAAACAAACTCAGAGGCTTTTTTAAGGGCGGCCCGTAGTCCGAATAATACACATTAGTTGTATTTTCTCACTTTTTAATGAGTTTCCAATGTCCTGTACCATGGGCAAAGCACGGGATGAAATACCAGTATCATTCAGACTACGATATCGTTGCCATCAATCTATAACTTAGCGGCAAAGATCTTGAATAAAACTATACACAATCTTAAGCATTAGACGCCTAGACGCTTTTGTGTGTAAAATTAAAAAGGCGCAGACTTTGTTGTCTTTGGTTCATATTCATGTTCAAAATGTTTGCCGGAATGAATGGTTATTTATTCTTATTACTTAAGTCTTTTAGTTTTTAAACTAAGTTTTTAAACTAGGCTTTTAAATAAGGAGAAATTGTTACCAGGAAAATTCATCTCGATTTTTTCCCAATAAATATAAAAAAATACTAATATTAAACAGAAACCAAAAAAGTTCGCCAAAAACTTTACAGCGTTCGAGCCTTCACGTGCTATGAATATTTATTAAATGTATTACTATACAATTTATTGGAATCTCTTTGAGTCCTACAAGGAATTTAAATTTCTGCAGCGATATAAAAACTTATTGCAACCGCATGCGCTGCATATTTACTTGCACGCTGCCAAACTGTAACCAATTCGCGGCTGCTCAATTTTGAGAGAAAGCAAATACAAATTGCATCTGACAGAGAAAGGGCACAATGCAATCGGAAAAAATGATTTTAAGTTTAGTGCTGTGGTGACCGCGGGATCACGCGCTATTACACCAAACGATAGAATTTAGTGATGCGAATGTCGATCAAATATTTTTTTTCATAACTGATATTTTAGTGATTTGGTTTTCATAGGTGTGCGTGATGGTGTATCTTAATAGATCGTTTTTATACAGCCTTGCTTGAGTGTTGATTGATATAGGAGACAGCGGCGAATATTTTTAAGCGGTAAGTTTTATTTTAGATGTCTAAACGGTAAAGTTATGTAAATTCTCATTGTTACTCACGAATTTTCGAAGAAAAAACCTTTAGTTAAATTATCTTTAAACAGGTACTTACTTAAAAGATACTAAATAAAAAAAAAGTTTTAATCAGGGATAATTTTAAGAATTATCTTATGAATACATAAGTACATACTTCTGCACGCTTTCTTTTAAAGAAGTGCGTAGTAAAACGCAAACAGCGGTATTTGAAATTGAAAAGTGAGTGATTAAAATCTTTATGAAAGTTGTTAATCGGCCTTTCGTTCTGTTAACTAAGCAAATATTTTTCTATTGCTTAAGCAGCTTCTTTCGAATTTAAGTAAGGTAGGGCATAGCGGATTAGTGAGGTAGAACAAAGCGGATTTTCCCGCTTAAATTTGGAACGCCCGCCAGAAGTCGTCTCCAATTACAGCAGTAAAATAACACAACTTTTTAATGGCGTTATGTATCTGCTGGTGAATAAGGTTGCCATGGATCCACGGGGTTGGGGATGGCTGGTACGGCACACTTTTCTGCCACTTGAACTATCTTCAAAACTGGACTCCGTTTATGGCGCTTGTTGACGATTGGTTTTCCGCCAGGGTCTAAGCATGGTTCCTACCTGGAGCGGTGTTGGCTGAGCTAGTTCACGAGCACAGTTTGTACGTTTGTACCGACTTCCAAATCTCCGCTAGCACCGGTGTCGATAACAGACCTCCGTAGTGCCCCAGTACGTAACTGACGCCCGGACGTAGACTAGACACGGTTTAAAACCGTACCTAGACCCGGAGAAAAAACGATCGTCAACAAGCCCCTCACTCTTAACATCTGGTAGGATGGAGTTATTTGCTGTGCCTTCGTAGGACTGATGACTGGGTAAAGTAAACAAAATTCTATTTAGTTCATCATCAGCCTATTAATGTCCATGTGCACAGGCCTTCCCTATGGATGGAATAGGCATATTGGGCCATGACCCACCACGCGGGCCCAGTGCGGATTGGTGGGTGCTAACGACTGCAAATGCAGCCGGGATCAACGGCTTAACGTGCCTTCCGAAACACGGAGGAGCTCGAGATAGTAAATTTTTGGTCACCCATCCAATGACCTACCACTGCGAAAGTTGCTTAACTTCAACGATCGCAACCGAACGCGCTAGCCACCTGCGCCATCGAGCTGCTCTCTCTATTTAGTTCGATTGTTAGTATTTAAAAAAATAATGGACACGTATTTTTTCTTTTGTCAAATTAGCCAAAACATTACAAAAATTAAGCGCATCAACGTTGGTAGCAGGAGCTCGTGACTTCACTTCTAAGTAAAAAATATACTAATCTTTGGATTGTTTCGATTGTGTGAATAAAGAAAAAATACATGTCCAATACTTTTTGTTAATATAACCCGAAGAAAATAGTGATCATCTCTATTATTAATGAATTATTTTTACTCTTGTTTATTAGTGGTAAGTTTTTAGCGGCTAAACAACGGTATTTTTAATATCGATGTTTGTATTTTGTACTAACCTACTCATCACACAAATGCCCTTTACGGGTTTCAAACCTCCATTCGCAAGGGTCACTAACTGCTATATGGGTCTCAGATCTATTGTGAAGACGAATTAATTAGCATTAATTTTAATATAGGTAGCACAGTTTTTGTTAAAAAATATTAACTAAAAATACATACAACAATGACTTTTGTAGTGTTGCTTGCGGTTTTGATTATAGTGAATCATTACTGCGCACTTGCGTACGTATGCCTCCAATCTCCATATTGATTCTAGGTCAATAACCATTTTTATAAACAGTGTCAAGTGTGAGTTTTACTAAATTGACACATTGAAGACTGCAGGTAACTTTCTTTGCAAGATAAAAGCAGTAGTCCCGACGCCGGCGCGGAAGCGACTAAATATCGGCTATTTTCTCGCTCAAGAAACGTATACGACCTCCGTGGCCAAGTACGCCGAGTTTCATGGTGTCGCCGTCTCGAGAGGTCCCGGGTTCGAATCCCGGTGGGGGCAGATGTTTATGTGACGAATACGAGCATTTGTACTCCAGTCATGGATGTTTAATATGTTATTCTATATAAATATACTTATATATGTACAGTATATGTATTCTATCCGTTACCCTAGTATCCCATAACACAAGCCTTATAGTGCTTACTTTGGGGCTAGGCTAATTGGTGTGAATGTTGGAAATATTTATTTATTATACAATAGATACATATATATTCCGTGTAAACAATAGAGATGCATATATTTATAGTTGATCGCTGATTGCTCACACTGCCGGCGAGAACTCGCTCCACTAGGGTTTCGCTGAGCGACAAGAGCTATCAAAGATAATACTTGCTCAGCGATGCTCACTTGTCTCAAATGCGCGCCATTGGTGTTCAGGATTGTCACCTCGAGTAGCGCGAGTAATCGCCCGTCGTAATCACACACTCGCTTATACCCCGGCAATAAAACATGCTGCTCACCAACATGCTTTCTAACTCTACCGCTTCTCGTTCATCGTCGGTGGTGAGACAAGTGCCTTATAGCTAAATAACGCAAAAAAAGGTGCAATTTCAAATCGTGTCACTCAATCACGAATTAACAATCATCGGTACCTAAGATATCGTACCTAAAAAGACCTAACGGGGCGTATCTCATGAACTGTAAATAATAGGTAAACAGTTATTTCAGTTTCTGTTGCCGATATGGTAGCACTGCTTTTTTTAAATGTCAACGTATTTATTTGTTATGGCCGGCACAGACAAAGGACTTTTGTCCGCGGAGAACAAAAGTCCCTCTATCGTGAAGAGAAAATGTCCACCGAGGACTTGTCGCGCTCTTAACGCACACGATTTGCTAATATTTATCCACCGAAAATTTTGAAAAGCGCATCCTATGAAAGTAAATATTCCCAGATTACAGTTTACGTACGTATAATTATCATTGAGTTTAAGAAAAAGGGAAGATGTTTTTAAAGAGAATACTAGGTCCATTTCTTTAAACCGGATCGAGCGCGCAATGCGTAGTAAAAGTTCGCTGTGTGCGAACTACGCTACGCCCAGCCACATGAGATCTATTTTTTCTGTACTACACTTCGCCTAGCCACATCAGTTCTGTTTTATCTGAACTACGCTACGCCTAGCCACATGAGTTCTATTTTTTCTGTACTACACTTCGCCTAGCCACATCAGTTCTGTTTTATCCGAACTACGCTACGCCTAGCCACATGAGTTCTATTTTTTCTGTACTACACTTCGCCTAGCCACATGAGTTCTTTTTTATCCGAACTACCCTACGCCTAGCCACATGAGATCTATTTCTTCCGAACTACGCTACACCTAGCCACATGAGTTCTATTTTTTCTGTACTACACTTCGCCTAGCCACATTAGTTCTTTTTTATCCGAACTACCCTACGCCTAGCCACATGAGATCTATTTCTTCCGAACTACGCTACACCTAGCCACATGAGTTCTATTTTTTCCGAACTACTCTACGCCTAGCCACATGAGATCTATTTTTACGGAACTACGCTACGCCTAGCCACATGAGTTCTATTTTTTCCGAACTACTCTGCGCCTAGCCATATGAGATCTATTTTTCTGAACTACGTTACGCCTAGTCACATGAGATCTATTTTTTCCGAACTACCCTACGCCTAGTCACATGAGTTCTATTTTTTCCGAATTACGCTACGCCTAGCCACATGAGTGCTATTTTTTCCGAACTAGACTACGCCTAGTCACATGAGTTCTATTGTTTCCGGTGACACTCACGTACCATTGTCCAGTCTGGTCTCTAACTCCCTTATTAATAAACATAGAATAAACTTGGATTAGTTACTCCATGTTTTGTCTCTGTTCATTGAATGACAAATGGTATTTATGTTATTCCTGGTTTATTAATAAGGAGTTTGGGGTCCTCGGTTATACGGGATACTTTTTGGAAGGGGCACTCTAAATCCCTCTCGTACGTTACCCGATGCGATCTCTTTTGGGTGACAAAAAAGTCCGCGGATAATTGTCCCTTGTCTAAGCAGTCTATTGAAACGACGATAGGTACCAGCTGTAAATAAATGTTATTTGCATGTGTAATTGAAAAGTTAATTGTAATTATAAGTGCCAATGAGCGTTTCAACGAAGAACACTCCAACGAAACGCATTAGATAAAGGCTCGCATACTAACCCACTCTTCAGCTGTCCGCCGAAGATAAGTCGATGGCGAGTTTGACAAAAATTATATATAAACAGCGATGGAACCGCAGAAAGTTTATTTACATTTCGTACATTACTTATAAGCCACTTACTCGCATTCGGAACAGTGATTTTACATTTCACATTTTTTGATATAGGAATTGGAACTGTGATTTTACGTTTAACATTTGTACTTGGTATCGGAACTCTTACAAGGTATGGTTAATAAGAAAAATAATAATTTTAAATAGTGCTTCATTGTAATAGTAAAAATCTTGAAGAAAAGTGATCAAACGATAAACAGAAAATAATAAAAATACATATTATAAGAAAAGATCTTTTTATTAATAATTGCATCCAAAAAATTACCGTTAATTGAATAAATAAAAAACGGAAATTTAAAATTTTATTGAATTTTATTGATAAAAGAGCGTAAGTAAAATAAAATCTAGAAAAAACATGTTGTGCTTAGCCGACTATATTAATATTATAAATGCTAAAATGTGTGTCTGTCTGCTAAACCGCTTAACCGATTTGTATAAAATTTGGTATAGAGATAGTTTAAGTTCCGGGAAAAAATATAGGATAAGTATAAATATAACATTTAATTTAGGAAACTTTTGTATGGGTTTATCAATGAAAACTTCAAAATGAGTATTTTTCTCTGCTTAGCCCTATAGTTGACTGGTAGAGAATGGATTATGGCATTAATTCCGCCATTTGTGGAAAGACAACGAATAGTAAATATATAAATAAATTAAGTGTTTTTTTAAAGAAACTGTTTTGAAGAAGTGAACAAATGCGAAGTTTTCTAGTAAACTTTTCTTTAGATTTGAACAAATGACGTTGACCTGTAGCTTAATTTCGGCCAATATTATTCTCAATTAGTCACACTCTTCCGTTATAGGTGTGATTCATTATGATATATAGGTAAACAAACAATTAACTGTTAAAATAGTATAAAAATCATTTGTTAAAATTATTAATAATATTTTGTTAGTATAAAAACTTATTGCGAATATTGTGAATTTCGATACGGTTCAAATCTCGCTCTTTGTCTCGCGTTGATATCTTTTGGGACCTAAAAAATACACGAAGTTAAAATTACGAATGTACTCACGAATGGACTATTTGTGTATTATTAAGGTAATTTTCTTTTTCAAATACTTGTGACACACTTTGAAGATTGTTATCTAATTATTATTCCTATCAATAACTTACCAGAATTATTACACAATATAACCTTGTTCTAATAGTTTTGTAATAGATATCAAACTTCTGATTTGTTCAATGTATGATAACTTTTTTTTGTGACTTTTAGTCATAAAACCTTTGAAAATCATTAATTAGAAGATGGAGACGATGATTATTAAGGTAACACAGTTTAATTTTTGTTTTCTCTAACGTCCTTGTTTTGTTTTTTAAATCTAAAGAGAATATGACTAGAAAAAATCTACGTGGACCAGGCAGCAGACGGGACTCGAACCCGCACCCTTGCCGGGCGAATGCATTATGCTACCGCGGCCCTAATGGCCCTGCCGAAATATTTCTAGCCTTTCTTAAGCTGCCAGGCAGCGCCATCTCTTTGCATTGTAGGTAACCCACAATGTCAAATGAATACCTTTACAAGTATTAAACATTTGAAAGAATAAATAGCAATTACAGATATTATTATTTTTCAAGTAATATTTTCTTTAGATTTATACATCGAGCAGTTACATGCTTAAAAAATAAAAAATATGTACGTTTTTATTCCAGTTGTGAATATAGAGAATACTTTCATAAACTAACAATGTAATTAATAATAATACCTACTTACAGACTGAGTTCTTAGCTCAAGATATTTATTATATTTAAAGACATTTTTACTACAAAAACTTTTTTTTTACTAGTAAAATATCAACTCGTTCAAGGTTTTAGGCAGGACTCGAAATCAACGTCTTCCGCTGTCCGGGCGGATGCATTCGAGTTCGAGTCCTGCCTCGCGCGGGCCTACCTGCGCACATCTGCGGGGTCCCCGCAATACCTCGGGAGACCCCTGCCGTGGAGCCCCGGCGAGGCCGGGAAGCTTCTGGGTGCGGAGTCGTGGTAGAATCCCTAACTGCTTAATGCGAAGCCGCGGGGTCCCCCACGGCTTCGCATTAAGCAGTGTAGAAGGTATTCGTAGGACTTTTTAGCGGATATTATGCTGTAAAGCGCCCGTAAGAGTTGCGGAGTCCTCAGTGGTCAGCCACTGGGGGGCCCGTAAGACTTGCGGGAGCCAGGTGTGAGGTCCGTTCGGCGGTATACCTCTTAAGGGCGCCGTCGTCTGTAAAAAGATTTTTTACCTGCGTTATAAAAAACAAAAAAAGTTCGAGTCCTGCCTGAAACCGTGAGCAAGTTGATTTTACTAGTAAAAAAAATCTTTAAATATTGTTACGGACGACTTCTGTGGCATGTACGCCACGTTTCAAACTCCAATCCTGGTGAGGCAAATGTTAGTATAATGTTTACGAGCATTTGAACCTAAGTCATGGATGGTTTTATGTATTTCTACAATTACACTTATTTATCAGTATATGTATTCTATCCGTTATCCTAGTATCCTATAACATAAGCATTGGGAGGATCGCGGTCCTCAGAATCTATGCCGGGTAACCGGTGCAGGAGTATTGACTGGTTTTTACTGGCCCTGTTCAGGGCGTTAGGTAGAGCCCTGCACATTTCAACCAGCCCTGGGGCTGGAATAAGTATAATTTTAGAAATACATAAAAACATCCATGACTTAGGTACAAATGCTCGTATACATCATACTAACATTTGCCCATTTACATTCTTCTCGCTCCCTCAGTGTTTGAGGGATGCATTTTCCAGACACAAAAACAGGTTAATTAGGTAGGCAAATTGACCAACCCACCTGATTTTAAGTGATGGTAAAGTAAAGACAGCTGTTAAATAGTTTTGAACTACCTGAACAACCCCTCACCTCACCTTGTCGGCATGAACAAATGTTTCTTCACGTCTTTTTGAAGGTCCCCCCGGATTGTAGATTTGAATGTAATGTCTGGTCGTATTACTGCCTTTAGACTGCGATCTCTTCGCGTGGCTTCATAGGCTGTGTTTCCACATTGTGTGTGTAATTTGATTTTAAGCAATGCCATTGGTAACATTCTTGAAGGTCCTGCTCAATTTCGCATTTGTTACTCCGCTTCTGCAGAAACGCATTCCTAGCATCACAATATTTGGATTTAATGAACTCTTCCGCAAAAAAAAGAAAAATTTACTATCTCGAGCTTCTCCGTGCTTCGGAAGGCACGTTTAGCCGTTGGTCCTGACAGCATCTGCAGTCGTTAGCACCCACCAATCCGCACTGGGCCCGCGTGGTGAGTCATGGCCCAATCTTCCTATTCCATCCATAGGGAAGGCTTGTGCCCCAGCAGTGGGGACATTAATAGGCTGATGATGATGATGGTGATGAACTCTTCGTAGATGTGGCCGGTCTTCTTATTGCTGTCTATTTGCGTGCCCGACGCGTGGGGTCACGGGCGAGTATGGCAGCCGCCGTCCCGCGCGACGGCGTGGCGGCTCGGCTATCAGACCGCACCGGACTACGACGACGATGGCGTCAACTGCGGCGGACTGTACTACCAGTGGTCGGTGAATGGCGGCAAGTAAGTACCCATTGATCTACCAATATATGAAAGAAGTCAACTCCCTATTTCTCTTTGCTGCTGCTTGTTAAGTCCCAGGGCCGTATTAACTCTAGGGCCAAAAGAGACCATGGCCTGGGGCGACAGGCTACGAGGGGCGGCTGCAAGAGCTGGGGTACGGACCTGACCTATTTTGATTTGATTTGCTAATAGTGGTGGCGACGGGGTAAAGTAAACAAAATTCTATTTAGTCCGTCAGTTAGATAATCAAAAAATACAAATCGTAAGTGGCCCGAGGTGCCAGATTTTCCAGATAATCCCCTGCTGAATCCTCTTTCTCCGGAATGAATGAGGATGTGACTTCTAACTACCTCTTCTGGCCTCTTGCCTATTGCCCGTTGGCCATTTATTAGGTCCCATTTTACCCGCATTATTTTTCATATCTATATTAACTGTAACTCCAACCACGTTTGATGTAAAGCGCGATATTACAATCCGGGCCCATTTCTCTACTCCCTTATAACAATAGTTTTACCTATATGGATACCTGTCACTTTGTTATTGAAAATATGGAGACAGCATTAGGTTAAAACCAAGATTATCATACTGGAGCAACTTCACAAAGGATATATTGATGATGTTTCGTGTCGAAGGATATCTTTGTTATCTGAGTTTGGTCACACCCAAATAATAGTAATGTTACCTTGTCACATTTGGCAAGTCATCAAATACAATCAAAGACCATTATTGCTACCCTGTGGCACACCATATTTCTGTTTCGCAATGGAACGTTCAAAACTTTCTAATATAGAAATCTGCATACTTATAGTTTATTATGATAGCGATTACTATTCGTCATTGTATGGGTGTACCAAAAAAATATTTGATCGTATCATTTTAGTGTCATCGGTTACTCACAACTTTATTCGTTCATATCAATGGAATAGGTAGGTAGGTACTTTCGTATAAGAACAGTTTTACTGACCAATTTACCTGTAATAGATTCTCATATTTTTGCACAAGTCGTTTGATAAAACTGTTATTTAGGCATACGATTTTATATCTGATACCATTTTCAGCTCCCATTATGACATGAACAGGAATTTCCTTTTCTTTCCAAATAACAATATTCTAATGTTATCTAGGTGATTTGAATGAAGAATATATATTTTATAGAGTTTCTCTAATCATAGTAACTAAAATACTTCGATTGAGAAAATTAAAAATAAACAACAATTCACCCAGACGGGAAGTAATCTAACTACCGGGAGTGGTAATGTGGATATTATAGTTATATAGTGGCGACACCTAACCCAGCGCCCCAGGCCACGGTCTGAAGTCATAGATATTCATCCATTTTTCTTATCTCCAGATGCGGCATATGCGGAGATGCCTTCGATCTTCGCGAGCCGCGACCCCACGAGCTTGGTGGAGTTTTCGGCGCCGGCGAGATCGTTGGGCACTACTTGCCCGGTGACATCATCTCCACCACTGTAGAGCTCACCACCTCCCACCTGGGCTTCTGGCAGTTCAAAATTTGCCCCGACCCCTTCGACAACGACCAGGAATGCTTCGACCGCCATCCTCTTCAGTTAGAATCCGGCGGCACAGTCTACTATCCTCGAAGAGGCAGTGTCAAGTACACGCTCAACTACAGACTCCCTCAGGGCTTAGTGTGTGAACACTGCGTGCTGCAATGGAAATACACAGCTGGAAACAACTGGGGCACCTGCAAGAACGGCACTCAAGGTTTGGGATGCGGGAATCAGGAACAATTCGGTGCCTGCTCCGACATATCCATCGGTCTAGCGACAGGGAACAGCATAGACGAAGATCTAGCTCCGGAATACAGCGAGATACCATCGCCTTTATTATATTACTTGAAGCATGGGTACTTCGAAAATCAACAAGGTAAGAATCTTCAAGAGGACCACTACGCATCAGTCAATATGATTAAAGATTACTGATAAGTAAACACGTACTTGTGAAAAAGTGATTATTTAGTTACTGTCAGATGACGTCATAACAGCAGTGGGGAACCTTCAAGCATTTCAATTGCATGTCTGCATATTGTTTATAATTCTAACTGTGATTTAGTTCGTACCTTACTTTATGGGCATGAATGTGAATTTTGGAATGTGCAGTGTTTACCATAATTTATAAATATTTAAAGTTATTTTGGGCGTTAAGTTGAATAAAGATGTTGTTACATCGAAGAGTCTGTCGGTCAGTTTACTTAGGATAAGATTATAATTATTATACAAATAAATTATTACCATAGTCTGTCATTATTTACGTCATTTGTTGATAGGATCCACTGAGACATTCTTTGTTCAGTTTTTTCTTTAAAACACAGTTGTTTTTTATATGAAAAGCAATTTTAATAAACGATTAACAACGAAATTAAATGCAGCTAGCCTTACACAGGTGATACAAATTTCTATAGGCTATGGTGATAGCTTACATTAGCTCTGCTCTACTCTATATAATTTACAAAAAAGGGCCTAAAAAGTATAGCGATGGCAGCATTCCTTTAATCCTTGCCAATATTATTTAAATATATCATTTGAGACAATAAAGCTACTTTTATTCTATGTAGTTCATCAATTTCCAATGTCGTTTACGCGACCAATGTAAGAGCTATTGTTTCATTGATCTGCTCTGAATAATGTATCAAATTCAGTGTCAACTGGTGTCAGCCATGACTAAATGCTTTCTAATTTCGACATGGTGATTACTTCGAGCATTAATTGAATCGGCCCGATCACGCTTCACTCACTCGAAGCCTCAACACAAAGCGAATTTCAATAAGGGTGGGACTCACCGCAAAAATTCTATTGTTTTGTAAATCTGACGCATCGTATTCGTACGTGATCCCCGCATTTATTGTTTCCTTGTAAATGATTCCATTATGCGCACGATTACATGATTTGAGTGTAGTGCTTATGGTAATCTTGATCGCATACGGAATAAACATCGCTCGGTCAATAAATGAAAAAAGTCTTGCTAAACTTATTTGTTTGTATTTACAAACCAAGTTGAGCGAAAACCATTTTAACTTACGTAGATGAAAGTAGTTGATCCCTTATTCAATAGTTTTACTTATAAACATGAAGTTCGCCCACATGGTAGCTTATTGCCCGTGACCCGTTCGCCTATGTGATTCTATCTATAGAATCCCTGTACCACAGAAATAGAATTATAATGATAACCATCTGGTATAATAATAATGTAATTATATCACAGGCGCTTTGTAGATTTTCTGTATTACATTCCGGCTAGCTTTATTAAAAATCCACCGTGCTCTTTTTTAGATAAGACGGATTGAATTTGAATGGAATTACGGCTAAAAGAAAGTCAGTCGCATTATAAACTAGGAACTTTTCATTTTAAACGAAACGGTTAGACGTAAGTGGCACTTTAAGTAAGTAGGTACTCAACAATTTTTAACAAACGGGGTGCTGAATGCTGAATGAGTTCTGCTCTTAAAGGTTCTGTGTTCCGATCCCCAATTGGGACATTTATTTGAGTAATGAGTATATAAATATTTATTCCCAAGTTATGGTTGCTTTTATACACACACACACTCTCTAGCATGAGCAGCACGATATGATATACCTATAGCTCGTTCTTATCACTTTATCATCATCATCATCAGCCTATTAATGTCCCCACTGCTGGGGCACAGGCTTCCCTATGGATGGAATAGAGAGATTGGGCCATGACCCACCACGCGAGCCCAGTGCGGGTTGGTGGGTGCTAACGACTCTTATCACTTACTATAGACATTATTATTTTGACAGTTAGACGCGATTATAAACGAGATATAACCTAAATTGTGGTGCTCATGCTACAGGGGTAGGAGAGGCGCGGCGAAGATACTGGCAAATAAAAAACTGTTAAAACCTAATTCCTATATCATAATATATCATATAAATATACATATAATTTCATGACAAACATTGAAAAGAGCAAGCGGGGCACAGCGCTGTAAAGCGGCTACAAAAGCCGGCGCACAGCGCTGTAAAGTGGCTACAGAAGTCGGCGCACAGCGCTGTAAAGCGGCTACAAAAGCCGGTGCGCGACTGCTCCCGGTTCTTGGCCGCACACGGAATCGCCGTACTGCGCTCTCAGTCGCTCTTAACCGCGTTCGGAATCGCCGCGTATCCTATCTTCGACACTCCTTCCTGATGTGTTCTGCGCCATAGACTACCATTTTACTCACCAAGGACGTTATGTAAGGCTACCATAGACAGAGAATGAACTGAGCGACACTGGCATGACATTGACGACTCCCTAGCTAGAAAGGGAAAAAGCGCTGGTACAGCCGCTTCGATTATCCCACACTTATCTGCCCAGTACTTGACAGTTGGCCATGGAAAGCTCAATCGTTTGGGCAACAACCGTCTCGTTAACGAGCGCCCTAAGGTTACAACCCCAATGCAGAGACGCTCGCCTAGCACCAAGCTACTTGCCTGGCGACTAACCATAGTTAAAGATCAAAACACGCAGAAGCCGAGGCAAAGCGGTAGCAACCGAAAACCGTGTCAGGCGTGGCGACCGGATTGCGGGTGTTTACGGTTTTTAAATATTGGCAGACGTGCAGGAGGACCTTAACAGCAACGATATTAAATACCCTAGATACAACATCACGAACAAAATCGTGGCTGAAACTTGTCCAAAACGTACATTGGACGATCCAGGGAGCTCCGTAAGATGATCGCGTTGTCAAAAACAATATAAGGCATTATTTAAACATTGAGAGTCACCTAAAGGTGACATATAATGCATAGGTACTATATAAAGTCTTAATTTAAACGCATGCGTCAGAGTTATGACACTTCGAAATGCAAGTAAGTAAAATATTACGACTTATTTCTATACGCGGAAGAATATAGATCTTATTTACTTAAGTGTGCGCGCAATTTTTAATTCTTCTAATGAATCAGTTTATAATAAGTATTTTAAATGCGTTCAATTAACAAACACACCTATCGAAAAAACGACACTTTAGATACTACAAGTATTTATTTCGTATTTTTTCACGGAGCTGTGCGGTATCTTGACTTTTCCAGAAGTCTTGTCTTGAAGTCTTAAACCCAGAAGTGCTTGCGTGGTGTTCAAGCACTTCGTGATTGGGACACAGTTTGAGCGCACGTGGTGTATCTAGGGTACTTAATATCGTTGCTTAATAGACATTGATAATGTCGTAGTTCTGCTTGTCTCTAACGGCCAGTTTCATTAATCAAACTGCAGAGAAATTTTTCATTTAGATTTTACTGATTATTACAAAGAAACTGAATCTTGACACTTAGTACAGTCATTTGGTAAAATATAGTGGTTACCTGGAACGTTTTCCGGGACTTTTCAAAATTGGTGATTTATAAATTTTGAAGTGCTCTTTCCGAATTTCGACTTTGTCACCTCGTATTTTTGCCGCTCGCGCCGCCATATTGGAAAAATGGCGCCTAAAAGCAGTTTTTAGACAATATCTCCTTTCCGATCATTTTACGATAAAAACAGTAATATACAAAATGAAACTAGAGACAATTGCCTACAATTTATATATCTACCTTTTTTTTCATAAAGACAATAATAGTTTTGGCGTTCAAGCATCGCAAAGTGTACTCCAACGCGCATTTTGGAAAACTTTCCAGGGAAAACTACCAAATGACTGTACTAACTGGCCATAAACTTAGTGTGAAGTTCAGCGTTTCGTAATAAAGATTAAGATTTACATAGATCTTAACACAAATAATATAGGTTTAACTGTTCTAGGCCTCGCCTTCGGCGTGTATTCAACAACTCAATATCTTTTTCAGGGCTGATGCAACTACTTAAGAATAAAGTAGCGGTCCGGCAGCGGCCACAGAAGAGCAGACTGAACAGCAAGTACACCCGACGGAAGAAGGGCAAGAAGAACAAACCTAGGAAGAGGAAGAAGGCTACAGCGTTTAGGGGAAACCGGATGTGATATTTGACCATAGTACCTAGGCCTAGACATTAATGATAAGATGATGGTGATAACATACAAATTGAGATTTAATTTACATAAGTTAAGTTTGCATTTAAAATACTGTATAAAGGAGAAAGTTGATCAAACAGGACTCATGAAGATCAAGTCATCAAGATCCCTAGCAAGATCACCGCAATATAATAAATAGCTCGTTTTTTTCACGCTCAATAGGGTATTTGACAGTATTAAAAATAAAGTGCCAATTGTTAGTATCTATCTTTAGATGGAATATTGGCCAGGGGTTTTTACTATTTTTACAAAAAAAATATTCATAATTTTACTAAAAACCCTCGAAAAAGATAAGTTTTCTTAACTATTGCCACGTGACCCAAAACGCTAGGGATTGGCGGAGCCTAAAATGACGTCACACGCAATTAAACTTCCGGTTAAAGTGACATTACATTGTATCGTTTGACGTTTTAATAACAGTCGTGTGACGTCACACACTAGTAAGACGCCATATTGTCCAGAGAAACGTTTTCGCGGCAACTTGAAAATGGAGTTTTTGATTTGGTTATTTTTTTGAAATGTACGCAACAGAATGATGAATATCTACTTTTTACGGACTCCATAAACATTATTATAGTCAATAACTTGAGATCGTTGCCTAAAATTTGTCAAATACCCTATTGTCAAATTATGTGATTGACAGTTAGGCGGGATAAAAACGTGATATAATGTAAATTGTGGTGCTCATGTTACGGGGACTTGAGGTGTATAATAGCCATATATCTCAAATACGATTTATTATGTCAGCATAAACACTTGATATTTTATTCCTTGGGATGTTCCCAAATTCAGTGATTTTTCTCTATTTTATGAGATGGTGTATAGACTTTACAGTAATTTATGTTATTTACGGGATTGATACCATATACCTCGTTTTTAACGAGTCTTACCTCAACGTGGTACCAATCCCGTAAATAACAAATACTGTAATGTTAGTGACCATGAAAGTTTAAAACAATATATGGTGTACCTTGCACAATTTGGGACATGTCATTCATTACCCTTCATGTAATTATCTAAAATTATTTAATACAAAATAAAACAAACGTATTTATACTTCTATTTACTTTTATTTACACAATAAATATAACCGCGTCATCAAATAACGACCTTATGCTCTTTACATAGAATTCTGAACGCGTTGAACGTTTATCAACCTTTAGGTTTTAAATTATTATTAATTTCACTTCAATTATCTAGAAAAGCAGTCACACTATTATTTAATATGTCTATCTCTTTCCAACTGATAGCATTGGTTAGGGACAGTTACATCGTTACGTCACTATTTATATACAATACTCAGAACTCACACCAACAACATCATATTAAAAGTTCAAATATGTAATATTTCTGAAGATAAATATTTAGAATCTCTCATTGAATATTTTACACCGAATACGATTTGCAAATATTTTCACAAAACTACTACCAATCGTCAGGTACGTAACGTTTCACAAATATTTATACATCTTAGTGTTTAATAAACTTTTAGTTTTTTTTTATTATAATACATTGAAAAATATGCAGAGCCGCAATAGTAGAATTAAGTGATCTTTGAGAAGAAGGAAATAAAAAGGCAAAAATTTAATCACAAATAAAGGTTTAACAAACAAACAAAATGGCAAAGTTCAAAATAAACAAGTTTGAACAAGCAAAATTTCAGACTAAAGATTGATTATACAATATTATGCAGTTAATATTTGGAGAGAGTAATCTCCCTTCACATTCTTTGGCATCGTTCCATCCTTTTCTTAATTTTGACAACATTACCATAAGCGCATACATAACGCAGTGGATCATGTAAAATTATAATTGAGGAGCTGGCGAAAAAAACGGTATAATTACGCATCTGGTCCAACTAATTTTTTTTACAGTCGGAGGTTTCGGGCCCGGTGAATTTGAATCTCAAAAATTTTTCAATCACAATCGCCTAAAACAGTGTCATAATTACTAAATTTATAAATTAAAAACTATGCCAAAAGCTCACTGGAGGTATCACATTAAGTTTTATACAGCTCCTGTAAAATTTATTTTTATGTAATTGTTTGTTCGCCAGCTCCTCAATTATTATTATACACTCCTTAATGCCCCCAATTCCGTGGCTATTCGTATTCGCTATTTGCCAACTTGCCAACAGTCTGCCCTTATCATGCTTTATGAAAATATATTTTTTTTATGAAAAGAACAGACTGATGTCAAGTTTACAAATAGCAAACACGGAAACAACAAAACGTATGGAGACAGGAAAAATAAAAATTGGAATATAAAAGAAATAGGCCGATGTCAATGAATGAAAAAATAGAAACAAATGAATAAAACTAGTTTTAACAGGTTAATGCACGAACTTTATTTATTTATTTTTTATTGCCTTTTCAGGTCTGCTTCGTCAGAATAATGATTTTTTATTTACTTTATCGAGCTACCTTCGAAAGACGACGTTTTTCGAAGGTAGCTTAAAGCCTGGAAAGGCTGCGAAACGTCAATAAATAAATAAAGTTCGTTCATTTACCCGTTAAAACTAGTTTTATTTAATGAGTGATGTGCGTGAAAGCCTAAAAAACAAATAGAAACAAATGATTATACGGCACCCCCTACGACCTATATCCATATTCTAATATAAAAACATTCACAGTACCTAATATATATCCTACATATAGCGCAAACTAATAACAGAGTTTTTAACCGTTAAATTTAAATTCACAATAAAATTAGCTGACGGTCGACATCAAATAATCGATTTTGAATGGAACTTCTTTAGGCACGCTTGACTTGGGGAGGGGGGGGGGGGGGTGTTACGATTATTGTCATCGGGGACTCATCGGCAAACAATGAACAATACCCGTCACAAAGTGAGTGATAACGGACGCAGTGCGGATTGGTGGGTGATAACGGACCCAGCGCGGATTGGTGGGTGATAACGGAGCCAGCGCAGATTGGTGGGTACTAACGGGCCCAGGGCGGATTGGTGTTTTTTTTTTCTATCAACAAACCTACAACAAATTAAGTTTATGATTTTCAGATCATTGAAGCTAAAGAAGTTTCACTTCAGTCGTGTAGTCATAAGCACACTCGATTTTTTTCTTTATATCAACATTGATACCTATTTTTATAAACTATATAATAAATAACCAAGCATTACCTAAACACCATCTAAATCCAATGTTTACATAAGTAAATAAATTTCAAAGCTAAATATATACATACAGCGCCATCTAGTTTCCTTCAAAGGAACTTAATAATTGGTCGGCGTACGAAAACCGACATTGGACGAATGGTACTAAGTAATAATTGCGCCGTACATGAAGCATATACGATTCGTGGAGTATTAAACCTTACCATGGAAGAAAATGTAGCTAATAGTCTTTCCGGATATGGAAATCAGCGACACCTAATATACAAAATGAACCCCGCACAAATTCCTTCAAAGTAAACCTAACTTGTATTTCATTAATTAAATATTTTGCTACAATCGAACTTTGGTGTCGACCGTCTCACAACTTAACAATTTTAGCACAGCCACCGCACCTATTGTAAACTTTAAAGCGCTCCTAAATACACTGATATCGATCGCGCGTAAGCTAATATACAATTATTGCCAAAACTAACAAATTTACATATTCCCCTTATCACAAGTTAAATAAAGTTAAACCCGGGTTCAATATGACACTGTCACCTTTAGGTTGCTACAAAAAGAGAAGGATAGCTTCATATCAAACGAAGTTTGGTTATATCAACGTTTTGTAATAAGGCTGTATGCATTTAATATATATATATATATATTAAATGCATACATATAGTTTTATATATATATATATATAAAACTAAGCAACTTGTAATTAAACGACTTACTGAACAAGATAACCACACACTACTTTTATGCTGACTACCCTCACTAAAAATTTCATCTCTTTCTCACTGTTCTTAATTTAGGTACAATAGTGTCGTCAAAGATTGCATTCTTCTTTCGTTTAATAAGTTGAATTGACATAAAAGAATAATACTTTGTGCAAAAATAAGACTGCATTAGGTAAATAAAGGATGAGTCACACTACGCTGTGCCGGGTCCAGTCCTCTTAGCACCGCGATATTATGAATATCGCATTTTTATCACGCTCAATTGTCAAATTACTATGGAGTTTGACATTTAGATACGATAAAAGACGTGATATAATGTAGTGTGGTACTCATGCTACGAGGACAAACCGGGCTACTATTATCTGGAACTAACATATTTTATACTAGCGGCCCGCCCTCGCTTCGCTTCGGTGTAGAGCTGAAGTGTAGACTACAGTTTTTGTTCTCAGGCTTGTATTATACACAATGACATTCATCTATGATTCTTCTTATACCTGCAGCCCGATCGGTTTAAAATTGACAAAGTTTCATACAAACTTTCATTCCCTATTTTATCCCCTTGGGGGTAGAATTGATCATAATCCTTTCTTATCGGATGCCTACGTCATAACATCTACCTGCATGCCAAATTTCAGCCCGATCCGTCCAGTGGTTTGTATAGATCACTATGTCACCTTTGAGTTTTATATATATAGAAGGGCACACGCTGCTCCGAGCGGTAACAGTATACATTGACTTCGAATAAAACGTTACGAATTTTGTATAAACAACTTCTTCAACTACAACTTTGGGTATCAATCAAATATGTTTTATTATCGCCAACAGCATTTTGAAGCTTTGAAAAATGAGAATGAAGTTGAAATAAAGACTTTTCAAAGAAAAAAATATTAATTGACTGACTTCAACCCGCTAATACTTCTAAATTTAACTTTTTTAGTGTGTAAATATCATTCAAACATTGCAATATCATTTGTGTAAATATCATTAAAACTTTGCAATGTGAAGTGTCTATAATGTCCTTCAAATGTCAAAGATATCGTGATAAGAGTTCCAGTTGGACAATCAAGAGTGGATCTCTTTAAGAAAAAGACATATTTTAAGAATAGAGATAGGTTAATGCAACCTATGGGAGTGTAGTATACACCCTGGCAAACTTTTTCAGCATCAACCATAGACAGCAATATTTCATACAAAAACTTCTACTGCGCAAGTGTATTTGTCTGTGGTTTTGCTAAAGAAGTTTGCCGCTATCTTTACACTATACAATCTAGAAGCACATCGTAGATAACATACAAAGTAACACAATATATTCTCATTGATATACAATTCGATCAATAATAGTAACAAATAAAGGAAAAAAAGTACATAAGCAAAGGGGAAAAAACACAAGAAATAGTTTTGACCATGTTTATAGTTCGACTGATTATGTACACTCGAAATTATTGGTGTAATCCAAAAAATATTTTCTTTAAGAATATTTTTAAAATGATTTCATTATTGAATCAAATTAAATACACATATATTTCTGAAATTATTACGCATTTGAAAATAATGCATGAATGAAATAGAGTGAAAATATAAAAATTAAGTCTGAAAACTAAATGAGTTGCTTTTTAAGAGGAATAAAGAACCTTATAAACTTTACACTTCATGTATAATAATTGTTAATCAGTTCTCCTTTACTCTATGGTTTTTATTTAGTGACTATGTTAAAGTGACTATTGGACATAACTAATACTAATGCTGCTTCTAAAAGATAGAACAGAATGAATATGATGTTAAAGACATCTTTTGTGTACCTTATTCTCTTTGGTGTAAGAGTGATTTTTATATACCTCTATCTAAAATAAATTAATATTTTTCATGTAGGACATGATAATAGCACGAATACAAGCGTGGCTGTAAGTAAAGCATAATTATACTAACTGAATTGTAATTTATAAGATAGCAAAGAAATTTTATTCTGTATTGTATTGATAATTTGGAAACGTAGGTAACTTAATGAGCATTTGTATTAAAAAATTCTTTTTTATACACAACTTTGGCTCTTTTACAATATTATTATATGATTTAAGTAAATTTCTAAGGAGGTAAAAATATATTTATTTCTTTTTTAATGAAATTTCATCTACCTAATTCATAGTTTGATTAAAAAAATATACCTATGGTGTTAAGTTGTTAAGTAGTCCATTTCATGTATTTTTTATATATTTTATATGAAGTAAAAAGAAATGTCTGCATTAAGAGTACACAGAAAAACCTTGTTTTATGAATACACAATACACTTCAGATTATCTAAGCGTAAGCCTTTTCAAGACCGATCGTTTAAAACAATAAAAACTTTTAAAATAAACTAATTCTACTTCATCAAAGTTAAAACATTATACTAATGGCCCGCCCTCGCTTCGCTTCGGTGTAGAGCTGTAGTGTAGACTATAGTTATTGTTCTCAGGCTTGTATTATACACAATGAATTTCTTTATATAATTATAAACCTTCCATGAAAAAATATTTAACTGATGGTGAAATTTTGTTGCGTAGTTTAGGACCCGTTGTACCGGATGCACCATTTTTTTGGATGAACGCGCAATTCTCACGAACTAATGGTCCGATTTGAAAAAAACTTTTTGTGTTAGATAGTGCATTTATTGAGGAAGGCTTAAGGCTAGATAATATTACGCTGCGACCAGTAGGAGCGGAGTATCGATGTAAAATGTTGCAAAAACGGGTAAAATGTTCCATTTGGGAGTATACAATAAGAATTTTTCATATCGGGCCAGAAGTTTCGGAGCCTTTTCAATACAAACAAACAAACAGTCAAATCTTTCCTCTTTATAATAATAATATAAATATATAATTTTCTCAAATATAATTACACCATAGTAGTACTAATGTTGTTTTTTATCTGATAGCAAATCAATTTCTATAAAAAATATGTACCCGAATATACTTGATTTTTCCGTAATAAATGGTTTATTTCACCCATTTGCAAAAAAAGTTATTTAACAGTGTAATATTTTAAATTTTTCTTTAACACTAGTAGCAACTGCGTTTGTTTACTTTTCTAAGTTTTAACACTTGAATAGATGAGAATGCTAAACAGTTTTCCTATGATGAATGACATTCAGAAAACAGAGATAAATAATAAAGTATAAGACATGAAATGGGTTGGATGATTTTTTTTAAGAGGTTATAATTTTGTCCTCTGTAAATAAGTATTTTCAATTTTTCAAGAACAATCTACAAAATATCAGCTTCTCTGTAACTTTTATCACTTCGACTATTTTATTATTTCATATAAATATAGTAACAACTAATAGCTGAAGTAGCTAAACCACCAGAATTCGAGAAAACAGACACTTTTCAATTTTAAAACGACCGGGAGCCGAATTCGGAACCTCAGATATTATTATGGCGACATCAAGTCTCGCGTTTGCTCGTAATTTAAACCGTAAAGCGCATGATATAAAGTACAATATCGATTATGGTAGCCTAAAATCTGGTAGCTAGTACTTTATACCACAAGTTAAATGTTACTATTACACGCAGACAAAAAAAAAGATATTATTATGTATTGTGCTACATCAAAGTTGTATAAAACAATTTAATAAAAAATAATAAAGCTGCCATTTCCTATAATTTTCTCGTCATGAACGCTAGTGAATTGAGAAAAATGCACTCTATTTCATGGCGTTAAGAGCATCGTAACGTTACTAATGATAGAACAATACTAAATTATGAGTTCATCAATGAAGATTCTACTCACAACCGATGTCACGATGCGAGTGCAGTCACGTAAAGTCCATGTTCGCTTGTATCGAAGCGTCTAATCTAGGTCTAATCGCATACTGGGTGGGAGAGCGCCGCATTGGATTTTCGACTCTTTGAGCTTGCTGAGGGACATCCTGAGATCATCCATAGTGATCGGTCGTACGGCGTCGACGTATTCGTCTTCCGAATCCGAATGGTTCGACTTTTGTGAAGCTTTGTTCTGAAATGAAAGAAATAATTTTAGGGAAATCGGAAACGCTACAGTTGCGCTCAGGCATTTGTACGGCCCGGAACAGTTCCTCTCTAGTGGCCAAGAGCCAACCCACTTATTCTATGGAAAATATTAGATTCATTCTTTTTGCTATCACAAAACATTCTTCATACATTCTTATATGAATTTGTAGAGGAAAATACAGGCTAGCTATCTAGCCTGTGATTACGTCAACTGCCATATGAAATATTTGTACTGTTGTGTGTGTAAGCCCGTCAGACAATTTTAAGTGTTTTTGAGTGGTTTTAAAGAAAAAAACACCATGCCTGGGTAAGTTAGATACATTTAGTTACTCTATTTTGATGTTCGTTTGCAGGTTTCCGTGAAATATTTTTTTTGATATGTATTAATGGTTTGAGATTTACTTCTGAATTTCATAAATTTTCAGTCGAACTCAATCAGAGACAAGCGACTTTTGTTCCAAGTGGCATACGGAAAATATCCATGTTCATATCTGCTGGTGTTGTAACGACGCTATTTGCTTAGGAATTCAAATGAGTAATTCCGTTACATTATAGTGTTACACCACAAATTGTTTATATTGTCATGCTTATCTGTTGCCGAGAAAAGTCTTGCACGCTGCAAATCCAGCTCCCAAACAGTATAGACCGTTAATAGCGCTCTATCATTAAATTTCACACATTTTCCTATAAAGCACCGAGTTTAAGCTACAAAGAATCATCGTCCTAAGTGGCAGGTTGAGTATTACATACCTATTTGTTTCTTATGTTTTACCCACACCACTCGGTATAGATATAGATGCACTGATTTATTTATTTATTGACGGTACGCATCCTTTTCAGAAATTGACCCTTACTACCGTAAACTTCCACCAGGGGGCCATTCGCCTTACGGGATTGCTTTGGAAAACGCTATCGCTTACGATTTCATTTTATTATAACTAGCCACCTGAGGTTTACAAATGCCTCGCACTCTTTTTTTTCTTTGCATTGGTAATAACAATATGAAAGAAAATGAGCGTGAGGTATTTATAAACCTTCGGCGGTCAGAAATAACTAAATGAAATCGGAAGCGATAGCGTTTTCCAAAGTAATCCCGTTAGGCGAATGGCCCCCAGTTCCAAAATTGGGAGACCTTTCTGAGACGAACTGGCGAAACAAACTAAAAATAGAAAGTCTTTCTGTGTTTGTTTCGACAGTTCTTCTCAGAAAGGTCTCCCAAGTTTGGAACTGGTGGTAGGTTACAAATGTCAAATAAATAAATAAACTCAAAATTATAAAAAAGAATGAAATAAAGTACTTTATTAATTCAATTAGCTGATAAATTCATACATAGACAATAAAGTTTTTTTTAAATCTTCCAATTTAAATATTCGAACGCGCAATAAAAGTCTTTCGAAGGTAGAACGACAAAAAAATAAAACTGGACCGATTTTGATGAAATTTTTTGTGTGTGTTCAAGGGGATCTGAGAATGGTTTAGATTCACAATTTTGTCCGCTGGACAATGCTTTTTTAATTAAATTTTTTTATGGCGGTACGAAGTTCGCTGGGTCAGCTAGTAAGTAAATAAATCAGTGCATCTACAGGGTTCATTTTAAAACATCAACAACCTCGTAAGGGGGTAATTCTACCCATCAACAGGAACAAATTTTATTATAGGACCAACGATGAAATAGCGAAAATAAATCTGCTGCTTCATACAAAAATGCATCAGCTAATCGACCGAAATTTATTTTTATTTATTTATTTATTTAATAGGTGTACTTACAATTAAACATATAAAACATTAAAAAATTAAAATAATACTTATTCTAAGACATATATGCAAGCCTTTACAAGCACATAGATCTGCTGCTTTTCGTGGCTCATTCAAGTACTCAGCTTCGAAGTGTTGGAATAATTTGCCACCCCCAATACGTTCACTGAAAACACATGACACATTTAAAAATAATTTTAAGTTGTTCTTGTTACAGACACAGGTGCAGCCCGTTTAATTATCTTTTCCCTTACCTTTTAATTTATTTTCAATAAATATATTGCTTTTTGTAACAGCCGAATCTTTTCTTTTAATTTTTTGTATTGCATACGTGTCACTGTCACTAAAACTAAGGGTCAAAGTCCATCTTTTTTTTTTTATTTTTTTTTCTTTGTAAATAACCACAGATTACCTCTGTTACAATATATAATTTCTGCCACAGATACTGCTATGTGTTCTGTCCTATACTGATTTCTTTTCTTTTTTGTTTTGTTATTTAGTATGTACTTAATCTGTATTTTACCTTTTTCTTTTCTGTGATGTCACTGCTCTGGGTATGGCAGAATACCAGTGCAGCAGGAATTTTTCCTGCTGTGTATGCTGAGTCATATCCAGTATTGGCATCACATAAAATACACATTTACCGTCTGTAGCTGTTTTTTGTTGTTGTTAATTTTACTTGTACGTTTTGTTTTACTTTTTGTTATATGAATTTTTGATTTTATGTGTATGTTATGTGTTGTCAGCAATAAAAACATTTTTCTTTCTTTCTTTCTTTCACACACAACATTCAATTCAGAATAGTACAATGTAATTAATAATCAATAATAATAAATAATCAAATGAAATGTATGAAACAGCTGATTTTTCTCTCTGATCTGTACCCTTATTACGAACCAACATCGAATTCGAATCGTTTGCGAGTCCAAAATGTCATTGTCAAATGTGTACTGATTTTTAGTTCACGTTACGCACTTTGTAGCGCTACTGTACAAGTTTCCATACAAAATTTGACATTGACATTTCGGTTTGCAAACTATTCAAATTCGATAATGGTTCGTGCTAGGGGTACTGATCCCATAATAAAAGTTGTTTCTGTTGATGGGTAGAATACACACCCTAAGAGGTTGTTGGTGTTTTAAAATTAACTCTAGATAAGGAAACTATACGTCTACTAACCAATGATATCTCTGTATCAATTGTAAACATGTGTGACTGTTTGTTTCTTACAAAAAAAAAACTGTATACCGGTGAAATTTGTTTTATTTATTTCATACCTGTTCGTCTTGCTTCATCTCCTGTCGCGCTAGATCTCTTACGCGATAAACGGCTGCCTGGCGACATAGTTCGTGCAGATCTGAGCCCGAGAATCCTTCCGTACAACTAGCCAGCCGCTTGTAGTCGATCTGTACAGAACATAATAATACAATTAAATAAATAAACCTTTCTAACACTCACACTAATTAGCCTAGCCCCAAAATAAGCACTGTAAGGCTTGTGTTATAGGATACTAGGGTAACGGATAGAATACATATATTGATACATAGATTAATATATTTTCTGATGAATATACAGGGTGTAACATATCCTATGACAAAGACTAAAACTAGGTACGCATTCTATACACCCAAACAAGTAATATTACAAAATATTTTATGTGGGAATCATTTTTATTTTTAAGCAAAAAAATACAAAAAAAAACCTGTGGCGCTACGCAAAGAATGTGCTTGTGTGTAAGTGTGTGCGTGTTTGTAAGTGCATCGATAAAAAAGTTTCTAAATAACGTTTTGAAAATATTAATGTAAAAGTCTTAAAAAAAATGTGACTTTGACCTTCAATATTTCCATAACCATAAATTTCCCAGGTATGATCCAGAAGAAGAAAAATGAATCATGATGTGGAAAATACGTGGCCTTCGACTTCGGATTTTCTACAGCCTTTATAAAACAGGCATAACTTTGGTGCAAGATTTGAACCCAAGACCTCAAAATAACAAAATAAATCATGAATTCGCGACTGTCATGCGAATCCGGGATGTTTAATATCAAATTCGGATTCAGGAAAAAAAAATCAGAAATAATACCGTTACCGATCCTTCAAGTCGTATTTTTTGGGTTTGCTGCCCAATTACTAAAATACAACACTCATATCTATTTGACAAGCATGGCACTCGGCCTTTAGAGACAATATTTAGATATTGTAAATTGGATTTTATACATAGTATTTATATGAAAATCAAATCATCATCTTCAATCATCAAAATCCGTCTACAAATCTCAGTTATCAGGTAAAAAATATATATAGCACTATTGAGTACCTCGCCCTTATTTTAAAGTTAGTTATTATAATGTTTCATTTAAAGTATGAAGTCTATTTTTTCCCTAAAAAGGTGGTGTTTACAGCTCCAGAATTTTAAAACTTTCCGCTCTTTTGGAGGGTCACGATTCATTAGACTTAAGCTTAAATATACTCGGATAGCTTTAATTGTAAGTTGTACGCAGTTCGCCGCGTCAGAAAGTTTATTATATTCACATCACCAGCCTATTAAAATCCGCCATTTACTGATTTTATGGTAATAAAAGATAAATAAATAAATAAATAAATAAAAGTTATAATTTTTATTATTTTTTAAAGCATGTAACTGCTTGATGTTTAAATCTAAAGAAAATATAACTAGAAAAAATTCCACGCGGACCAGGCAGCAGACGGGACTCGAACCCGCACCCTTCGCAATCCGGGCGAATGCACTGACCAATTATGCTACCGCGGCCCTCACGGACCGCGTCGAAATTCCTTCTAGCTATTCTTAAGCTGCAAGGCAGCGCCATCTCTTCGCATTATAGGTAAACCCACAATGTCAAATGAATACTTTTACAAGTATTAAACATTTGAAAGAAGAAATAGCAATTATAGTTATAATTTTTATTATTTTTTAAAGCATGTAACTGCTTGATGTTTAAATCTAAAGAAAATATAACTAGAAAAAATTCCACGCGGACCAGGCAGCAGACGGGACTCGAACCCGCACCCTTCGCAATCCGGGCGAATGCACTGACCAATTATGCTACCGCGGCCCTCACGTTATATTTTCTTTAGATTTAAACATCAAGCAGTTACATGCTTTAAAAAATAATAAAAATTATAACTATAATTGCTATTTCTTCTTTCAAATGTTTAATACTTGTAAAAGTATTCATTTGACATTGTGGGTTTACCTATAATGCGAAGAGATGGCGCTGCCTTGCAGCTTAAGAATAGCTAGAAGGAATTTCGACGCGGTCCGTGAGGGCCGCGGTAGCATAATTGGTCAGTGCATTCGCCCGGATTGCGAAGGGTGCGGGTTCGAGTCCCGTCTGCTGCCTGGTCCGCGTGGAATTTTTTCTAGTTATATTTTCTTTAGATTTAAACATCAAGCAGTTACATGCTTTAAAAAATAATAAAAATTATAACTATAATTGCTATTTCTTCTTTCAAATGTTTAATACTTGTAAAAGTATTCATTTGACATTGTGGGTTTACCTATAATGCGAAGAGATGGCGCTGCCTTGCAGCTTAAGAATAGCTAGAAGGAATTTCGACGCGGTCCGTGAGGGCCGCGGTAGCATAATTGGTCAGTGCATTCGCCCGGATTGCGAAGGGTGCGGGTTCGAGTCCCGTCTGCTGCCTGGTCCGCGTGGAATTTTTTCTAGTTATATTTTCTTTAGATTTAAATAAAAGTTGCTTAACTTAACGATCGCAGCCAACGCGCTTGCAAGTGATACTTGCGCCATCGAGCTCCTCGCTTTATAATATAAGCAGGATATATTCTCAATTGATGAGCTCGATGGCGCAAGTGGTTAGCGCGTTCGGTTGCGATCGTTGGAGTTAAGCAACTTTCGCAGTGGTCGGTCATTGGATGGGTGACCAAAAAATGACTATCTCGAGCTCCTCCGTGCTTCGGAAGGCACGCTAAGCCGTTGGTCCCGGCTGCATCTGCAGTCGTTAGCATCCGCCAATCCTCACTGGGCCCGCGTGATGGGTCATGGCCCAATCTCCCTATTCCATCTATAGGGAAGGCCTGTGCCCCAGCAGTGGGGACATTAATAGGCTGATGATGATGAAGCTTGAATATATTCGGATAGCTTTTATTGTAAGTGGTACGCAGTTCGCCGCGTCAGAAAGTTTATTATATTCACATCACCAGCCTATTCATGTCCGAAAAGTTGCTTAACTTAACGATCGCAGCCAACGCCCTAATCACTTGCGCCATCGAACTCCTCGCTTTATAATATAAGCAGGATATATTCTCAATTGATTAGTGGTTAGCGCGTTCGTTGGAGTTAAGCAACTTTCGCAGTGGTCGGTCATTGGATGGGTGACCAAAAAATTACTATCTCGAGCTCTTCCGTGATGCGGAAGGAACGTTAAGCCGTTGGTGCGGCACTGGGCCCGCGTGGTGGGTCATGGCCCAATCTCCCTATTCCATCCATGGGAGAGGGCTGTGCCCCAGCAGTGGGGACATTAATAGGCTGATGATGATGATGATATTCTTACGTCTTGCGCCGTGGGCTCCGCGTGCAGTATCAGCCTCAATATGCGGTCGCGTTGGGTCTCGCTGGGCATGGGCACGTGGAAGGTAGCCGGCATACGGCGTTGGATCGCCTTGTCCAAGTCTTGGGGGCGATTCGTCGCACCTGTACGACAAACGGATACAGTTTTCTATAATTCAATTATCGTTCAAAAAAAGTATCTCCGTATTATCGTAAATATCAGACAGCAAGTAAGTTGTAAACCGCATTTCATTAAAGAGAAATTGTTAAACCTTCCTTCACTTTATGTAATGGAAATAGCATTGTTTGTTCGTCTCGTTGTTGATTTTTAAAGATGATTTATATTTTGTGTTATATTAATGAGAACTTAATAAAGATTATTTGACTTATTTGATATAATTATAATTTAATTTTTTTTTAAAGCATGTAACTGCTCGATGTTTAAATCTAAAGAAAAATTAACTAGAAAAAAATCCACTTCTAAAAGTATTCATTTGACATTGTGGGTTACCTATAATGCGAAGAGATGGCGCTGCCTAGCAGCTTAAGAATGGCTAGAGGAATTTCGACGCGGTCCGTGAGGGCCGCGGTAGCATAATTGGTCAGTGCATTCGCCCGGATTGCGAAGGGTGCGGGTTCGAGTCTCGTCTGCTGCCTGGTCGGCGTGGATTTTTTTCTAGTTATATTTTCTTTAGATTTAAACATCAAGCAGTTACATACTTTAAAAAAATAAAAATTATAACTATAATTGCTATTTCTTCTTTCAAATGTTTAATACTTGTAAAAGTATTCATTTGACATTGTGTGTTACCTATAATGCGAAGAGATGGCGCTGCCTAGCAGCTTAAGAATGGCTAGAAGAATTTCGACGCGGTCCGTGAGGGCCGCGGTGGTATAATTGGTCAGTGCATTCGCCCGGATTGCAAAGGGTGCGGGTTCGAGTCCCGCCTGCTGCCTGGTCCGCGTGGAATTTTTTCTAGTTATTATTTGATATAACTTGATAACTTAAAAAGCTTACAAAGTCCGGACAAATCCAGAAAGATGGTAACCCTATGTATGACGTATCTATAACACATCAGAGATCTCACCCATAATGATGACGGTGCAGGAGGGGTCGGTGATGAGTCCGTCCCATAATGACATGAACTGTGTCTTCATCATCGCCGTTGCTTCATGATCGTGCGCCGTGCGCGTGCGCAGAAACGATTCGATTTCATCTGGGGAACGAAACATTATTTTAATGCTGTGGTGATGCTGTACTTCACATGGCTTCACATCGCTAAACCTACTTCGTTTTGCATTGAGAACATACCAGCCAAATTGTAAATGAGACATGTAGTATAAACGAAAATATTAACCTTCTTATTCTAAAACCAGGACTTAAGCAGTCTTGGCTTAAACCCTAATGTTGGATCAGTCTTCTTTATAGCAAACAAAATTGACAGCTCCAGTTTTAGTCCAGGATTAACTTTAACTACGTGCTGCAAGAGTAACACTGTAAATATAGTTAAAATATGTTATTTATTGATGTGTAAAATCTTCCCTCTCGCTTTCCTGCAATTTGTGGGAGTGATTTCGTGAAATGGGACGGAAGTGTGTAACAGGAAGTCGCGAAAGCGCGCGCTATTTGATTTGATTTTAGAACATAATGTTCAAATGGCTTATTCCTTTTGTAGTAGGTTTTATTTCCTTTTTACTAAAATAAGGTGAGGTTTCAATTGTTACACATCATACACGACTACTGTAAGGCTCGCTCATTTTTTCTAAATAACTAGTGATTGCTAAATGTATTTTTTTTGCAGCAGCCAGCTAGCCTACTACATGTTTGACGTTAACTCTTATACAAATGTTGTAAAAATATAAATTTGAGATTCAAGTAGTAATCTAAGTATTACCTCGAGGCACTCGATGGTGCATTTGAATTTAAGCAACATACGCAGTGTTCACACATTGAATGGGTGACCAAAATTTTACTTGCTCTTCCGAGCTTCGGAAGGCGCGTTAAGCCGTTGATCCCGACTGCATCTACAGTCGTGAGCACCTTTTTTTTTGTAACGCAGGTAAAAAATCTTTTTACAGACGACGGCGCCTTTAAGAGGCACACCGCCGAACGGACCTCACACGTGGCTCCCGCGAGTCTTACGGACCCCCCAGTGGCTACCCACCGAGAACCCCGAAACTCTTACGGGCGCTTTACAGCATAATATCCGCTAAAAAAGTCCTGCGAATATCTTCTACACTGCTTAGTGCGGAGCCGCAGGGTCTCCGTTAGGGATTCTACCACGGCTCCGCCCCCAGCAGCTTCACTTCAGGCTCCACGGCAGGGGTCTCCCGCGGTATTACGGGGACCCCGCAGACGTGCGCAGGTAGGCCCGCGCGTGGGGGCTGGGTACGCGGCCTACTGCCCACCGTACCGCCCCCCATCCGACAGTCGTGAGCACCTACCAATTCGCACTGGGACCGCGTGGTGGGTCCTTGCCCAATTTTCCTATTCCATCCATAGGGGAGGCCTATGCCCCAGCACATGACTATTCATGTCCACACTGCTGGGGCCATCAGCCTATGCTGATGATGATTATGATGATAACTTACCTATGTACACAATAAAGGGCTGCAGTTTAACGGCCAGACTAAACACAGCTCACGCTCACGGTACCACTTTTGGTGAGCAGAGACACGTCCAGAGTGTCATTTGCCTAACGGATTTCTATGGCTATCGCTATCGCTTACGATTTCATTTTGTTACATCTGACCCTCTGGTTTTTAAATACATTACGTTTATTTTCTTTAACATTGTTATTACCAATGCAGCTGCCAGTTTCTGGGTTTCACTGTACCACTTGTCGGTGAGAAGAGACATGTCCAGATTTATGAAGCTCATGTTGGCTTCCTTGGTATAAATAAATCTCCATGGCTACATACCTATGAACACGATGCAAGGCTGCAGTTTGACAGCCAGACTGAACACAGCAGCTGCCAGTTTCTGGGTTTCACCATACAACTTTTGGTGAGCAGAAACACGTCCAGGTTTATGAAGCTCATGTTGGCTTTCTTGGCATACTTAAATCTCCATGGCTACATACCTATGAACACGATGCAAGGCTGCAGTTTGACAGCCAGACTGAACACAGCAGCTGCCAGTTTCTGGGTTTCACCATACCACTTGTCGGTGAGCAGAGACACGTCCAGATTTATGAAGCTCATGTTGGCTTCCTTGGCGGTCGCCTTAGCTATGAGCGTTTTGCCGCACCCTGCAAACAAAAGCCGTCCATATATTAGTTATGGTATTGTTAACATTTTCCGATATTTCGGCACTGTTGCAAGCGCCATGATCACGAAGTAAAAGATTGCCTTATGACATTCAGAAAACAATTAGCGTAACTGGATTAGGATTAACGAACACGATTGTCATTGAACAAAGCATCATAATAAATAATAAAATAAAATAAAATAAAAAGCTTTTTATTCCATATCCATTGGTTACTTCTACATTTTATTTATGTTAGTTTGTTAGTAAACCTAAGTATTATGTTGGTTTTTAGTATTTGTTAGTACAGTTTCAGACATGGATCCCATCTGGGTAAAAGCCTCCTCCATTGCTTTCCACTTTTCTCTATCTTTCCCCGCCTCTAGCCAGTCCCTGCCTGCCACAGACACAATATCGTCGGACCATCGTTTTCTGGGTCTGCCTACTTTTCTTTTGCCTTTTGGTCCGGACCATCCAGTGGACTTGAGGGACCACCTTTTGTCGGTATATCTTGACAGATGACCCGCCCATTTCCATTTAAGTTTAAGGGCCTGTTCCAGAGCATCTGTTAGTCCAGTTTTGCTCCTTATGTCTGTACACCTTATTTTGTCTATTCTCCTTAATTTTAGCATGCTTCTTTCTATTGCTCTCTGGCATGTAGTAATTTTGTTTTTTATTTTATTTGTATAAACCCAAGTTTGACATCCGTACAGTAGGCTTGGTAATAGGCATGTGTCTACTACTGTCTTTTTTAGTGATATATCGAGATTGCCTTTTAGGATTTCTTTGTGTGCCCAATATTTCTTCCATGTAGAATTTATTCTTCTATCCACTTCTTCTTCGTTACTGTTTGCTCTGAATGATACCTGTTTTCCTAAATATATATATTCATTTACATATTCTATATCTTTTTCTTCAATTGTTATTGGTTTATTTTCTGCATTAGTCATTATTTTCGTTTTGCTAGGATTCATGTGTAATCCCACTATTTTACTCTGTGTGTCCAGTGATTTTAACATATTTTCTATTTCTGGAGCTGTTTCTGCAAACAAGGCAATATCGTCGGCAAATCTTAGATGACTTAGGTGTTGATTTTGTATTATTATACCTTTATTCTTCCATTCTATAGATTGGAATATATTTTCTAGGACAGCGATGAACAACTTAGGTGACAGCGGATCTCCCTGTCTAACACCTCTTTCTATTTTGATTTCTTTCCCATAGTTTTCTAATCGCAGTCTGCTTACACTGTTACAGTATATGTTTTTTAAAATATTTATGTATTTATTATTTATTTTACATGTGTTGAGTGCTTTCCATATTGAACTGTGTGTAATGCTGTCGAAGGCCTTTGTATAATCTACAAAGGCTATATATAATGGTCTGTTGTATTCTTTATACTTTTCCATGATTTGTTCTATTGTGTGAATATGATCTATTGTTGAGAAATTTGAACGAAATCCAGCTTGTTCGGGTGGTTGGTGGTTATCTATATTAGCAGCTATTCTTGCAGTTAGTATGGATGTGAATAGTTTGTAGGTGCTTGATAGTAGACTTATTGGTCGATAGTTCGAAATATCTGTGGGATCGCCTTTTTTATAAAGTAGTATGATGTCTGAGTGAAGCCATTGTTTTGGTACTATCTCATATTCTAGAATTAAATTAAACAGGTCTGTTAAGAAGGTGATTATGATTGGTGCACCGAGTTTTATTGCTTCATTACTAATGCCGTCTGGGCCTGGGGTCTTCTCTGATTTTAGTTTCTTTATATGGGTTAGTACCTCTGTTTCTGTTATGGGATCTATTGTGAGATTTTCTCTTTCTGTTGGGTGTTCAATTTCTACATTTCCTATGTCTTCTTTTGTTTTCCTATATAATTTTGTATAAAATTCAGTAGCGCAGTTCATAATGTCATTTCGGGATTTTGTTTCTTTTTTTCCTTTTTTTAGTTTTTGAATCCATTTTTCATGTGTTTTAAGGTCTTTGTACGCTCGTTTTAAGCTTCGAAATTTTGTTAGTTTTTCTTGGATTATCCTCTGTCTGTAGTTTTTGTAGTCCTCTTTAATCGATTTGTTTGTCTTTTTGAATAGATCTTTTAGTTCTTTTTGTTTTTTGCTCTTATTTTTGGTTTTTATTAGTTCTGTGCGTTTGGTTATTAAATTTATTGTTTTCTCACTCATTATTTTGTGTTTATTATTTTTGTGATTTCCTTTTTCCATTTTCAGGCTCGTTGTTATGATTTCTGCTAGTTTGTTAGAGTATGTTTCGACTTCTTTAGAGTGTTGTAATATTTCTAGGTTCATTTGTATGTTTGCTTTTAGATTGTTAAGGTATGTTGTTATTTCTTCGTCGGTTTTCGGTATTCTCGGTATGGGTTTAAATGACTTTCTACTTAGTTTGTTTGGTTTTACTTGGAAAGAAGCTCTTACTGGTCTATGGTCAGATGCAAAGTGTATTTGGTTTAGGACTTCAACATTTGTGATTCTTTTAGGTTTGTTACACATTACAAAATCTATTTCATTTTTAGTTCGTGTATCTGGTGATTGCCACGTCCATTTCCGACTCTGTTTCTTTTTGAAAAATGTATTCATTATAGAAAGTTTATTTTCATTGGCATATTCAATTAATTTTTCACCTCTTTCGTTTCGACTTCCGTATCCATATTTTCCCATTATAAGATCTTCATGGGCTTTTGTGTGTCCTATTTTTGCATTAAAATCGCCCATTACCAGTGTGGTTTTTTCTGACATATCGTTTGCTGTTTTTAAGTCGTTATAGAACTGACAAATTTCTTCGTCTGTTGATCTTTCTGTCGGGGCGTACACCTGGATCAGTGTTATAGCCTCGTCTCCAAGTTTAAGTTGCAATACAGCCACTCTTTCCGATATGCCTATGAAGTTTACTATGTTTAGTTTAAATTTTTTCTTTATTAGAAAACCGACCCCATATAGACCTTCTGTTTCTCCTATGTAGAGTAAAATGTAATCCTTGTACTCTTCAATACTACATCCCATTCTCCTTACCTCTGCAAGTCCTAAAATGTCGCAATCTATTTTTTTCATGGCGTGTGTTAATTCAAGAAATCTTTCTTCTGATGAGAGTGTTCTTACATTGTAGGTACATATCTTTATTAGTTCTTGTTTTTGTTTTTTGTTTTTATGTTCTTTGTTTTCCTGTTCTTTGTTTTCATGTTCTTTGTGTGGAGGGTAATGGTCTAATTCCCCACGGTGACCAACCGGATTGGGGAATATTGTTGTGTTTTTATTATGATTTATTTTTGTACTAATCTTATCTATTGTATTTTTTCGGCAACTATTGTTTTCTAGTTTTTTGAATTTGCTATATTCTTTACTGTTTGATTGGGATTAATTTTGGAGAATTTAGTGGGTTGTTTTACAATGTCTTCTTCTTGTACTTTGCTGAAGCTATTGGGGGGTGTAGAGGGTGGCGAAGATGATGCTCTCTTGCGTTTTTCCGATTCTTGCTGGTCTTTAATTATAAGTTTTCCATGCTTTATGTAGGCATATTTTCCTGATACTCTTGCTTCCTTAAGTTTCGCATATAAAGATTTCCTTAGATCCATTTCCTCTTTAGTGAGGTCCTCTGTTATGTAGATGCCCTTGGGAAGGTGTTTTTTGTTTGTAAGTATTTCATTTCTACGCCATACTAGAGTAAATACTATCTTTATTGGTCTATTTTTGTTTTGAACCTTTTTCCCAATTCTGTGCAATTTGCTTATCTCCCACTTGTCCCATTCATGGGTTGCATTTTGGCTTTTGTTTAAGTCGTTTAGTAATTCCAGCACTTGTTTCATGAGTTCCGTATTGTTGGTTTCGTTTTCTTCTACTCCGTGCAAAATTAAGTTTGTTTTTCTAGCTTCAATGTCTAAAATTTTCACTTTAGATCTCAGAGTTGCAACTTCTTCTTTCAACACTTCATTTTCCTTCCTTATATGCGATAATTGTTCCTCAATAGTTTTGCTAATAGTCTCCTTAATGATTTGTGTTTGTTTTTCTTGTTGTTTTTCCATTTCTTCTTTCATTTTAGCCCATAACAATTGCATTTGTTTATCCATCTTGATATTATATGTTCGGTTTGATTGAATGTTTAAACCGATAAATAGTTGTTTTATTGTTGGTAACACCAATTGCCCACGTACGCGAAGTTTGTAAAGCTCATGATCTGCGGTTGGACGGACCGACCTTCCGACCAAGTCGGAACGTGTGTGGTGTGCCTTCGTCTCTAAGTAGTCTGTCACGCAAGTTGTTTTGTCTATGATAACATGTAATAACCTCAAAATTTTTCTTCGGGTTTTTGGTTGTTTTTAAATTGTTTACACTTGTCTCACTTATCTGATTGCTGAGATGTTGCACACATTTGTTTTTTTTTTCCACAATAACTTCACCAAAGCATTCGATCGATCACTTTAGCACCAAAATTGAATTTAAAATAGCGGAGGAGCAATTTCGCGATGTTTACACTTTGAGGGTTGCCAGCCGAAAAAAGCATCATAAAATAATATTAATGTCAATTATATTTTATAATCAAAATCATGTAACACTCGCAAATTAGGCTATAAATAAATAAATAACACAAAGCTTATAAAAAATTCTAAAAAATTCACTTATATTCTACTGTTACTTTTATTTCTGATTTACCTGGAGGTCCATGCAGCAACACGCCCTTGGGTGGCTGCGTTAGTCTGCTATCGGCGAACAGGTCTCGCTTCTGTATCGGTAAGATCACTGTTTCACGCAGCTCCTGGATCAGGTTGTCCAGCCCAGCTATGTCTTTCCAGCTAACCTATATTTTATTAACACACTTTGTTAAAATCATCTATGTGACATACTTATATATGTGTATGAAAATTATTGCAAGAGCAATTAATTGCATTTCAATATCGGAATGCTGTACTGACAATGCAGGAAGAAAAAATATGAAAAAGATAACTGCATACCTTCTCTCATCGATTTATTTATTCATTATATTATAATATTCTTTCCATTTAATATAGATATGCAATAAAAGAAAAGCAGCTGCATTAAGTTTAAAATGCATGAAGCTAATCTGACAGTGAAAACTATTTTTTAAGTTCTTCAACAAGGGAGGTTACCTGTTTACTATAATAAATTATCATGAAAGATAGTACTTACATTAATCTCATCTGGCACAACGAGCTGTGAGGCGATAATCATCTCATGGTCTGTGAGTTTGTCCAACGCCAATGCCTGGTTCCCACTGAGGCCGGCTCTGCAAGATACCCTTCACACATGCACATTCAATGTAGTGGGTCCTTACCTCACCTTTTGAACATACTTATCACTAAATTATATATATTTTGTGTAAAACAATTTCTGCATAAATATTGTAAAAATTTCTCATCATTATGCCTGTATATTTTGATTCCTAGGATCGCTTAAGATACTAGTTTGGATCAGGGTGGTTTTTTAATATTTTCATACTTAAAAAAACAAAAAATATATAAAAATAGGTAAAACTGTACTTTCTGGTGATACTTCTCTTTTTTTGGGAAATGCCTCTATTAACCAATTTATTTTTCTTGTGCTTCTTATAGCCAGAAGGGTTTTCTTAAAATATTACAATCCAGCAGACCTTACAAATACCATTATAATATTTATTATTAATTTATTTGAGAGCCAAGATCAGTGTTGCCAGATGTTTAAACCAATGCTCCCGTGTTTTCATTGCTAAATTCACTATGAAATCTGTATAGGAAGTTTCCACAAAGTCTCTAGTGAAATTCATAAAAAACATACCTTTGATTGATATAATTAAGAGCACTTTTTAAGCATTTGTATATTCATTTGTTACAAAACGAAAATAAAAAAACTGGAAGGACTGATTTTAAGTTAATATTATTAAATGAAATTATAAAATCACAACAAGCTCTAAAAATGGTTTATATGTAAACATCTTTAGTAATTTTTCCAATAATTTTGTTAATAAATTCCAGACTTATTAACAATACAAACACACCACAATAATATCAAAGTCACAGAGAAGTTGAGACAATTATTTAATTCATAGCAAAAACATGTTTGTTGTCTTGCTTGCACTAATAGTAAATGTCACTATTAACTTTTTCTTTCTCTCTTTGTCAAAAACCTCTTACCAATATATCATAAGGGAATTCCCCTAACATAATCTGTACCTAACTACTATATTCTGTACTATACCAGTGCTACATTGCTTTTGCTATAGTCCCAAAAAAAACTGCAAATTGCTACTTTAAGCAGGTTCAAATAAATATACCTATATCATTCCTTTTTATTTAAAATAATTTTCCCCTGAATGTTAAAAGAGTGACTACTCTTTGCATTTTTGTGACAAAAAGGATGATGACTAATTTTTTTTCTTCGTTTATCAGGTAGACTATCAAAAAGTATTGGACATGTTTTTTTCTTTTTTCACATAATATAAACATTGCAGAGATAATATATTGATTTGAAAAGTTGCAAGACGTCACGTTTTGGTACACTTTTAAGTGAAAATTCACTAAAAAATGATGTCACAAGCCCCTACTCCCTATGATGCGCTGTAACTTTGTCATTTTTTGGTTGATTGCCCAAACAAAAAATATGTGTCCATTATTTTTTGATCATCTAACTGACAGACTAAATAGAATTTCGTTTACTGTACCCCGTCATCACCCCTATTCCATATAAATGTCTGTATAGTCTTATTATCCGGTTTGAAAGTTTAAATTCTGTATGGATATGGACAAATCCTTATAATGGATGGTGATTTCAGAATTATCCCTGAAGTCATTTTTCAATTTTGACTACAGTGTATATAATACAGGGAGAGAAAAACAGCCCTTGCAGAGTATCTTGCCGGTTCTTCCAGTACAAGGTTTCCAAACATGTTTTGCAAACTGATGGGGTAGCATCTAGACTTTCACAAGTGTTTGTAATAGCCTAGACTAAATAAATAATTTTTGATTGATTTGATTGATTGATTGATGGACCTGACTACACTGGCTAAGAGACAGTAAAAAATTAACAAACTATTCAATAATTACTTACTATGGAACACTGATGAATGGAATATTAATAAAATTTGGATGTATTCATAGTTACTAGAAAATTTAATTGAACAGGGGTTAAAATGCAGCACGTCCTAGTAGAAATATTCTACATGATGTTGGAAAAAATAAGATTGAATACAAAATAAATTAAATATTGCAGGAATGTATTGGTTCATGTTGCGGTACATTGTTATCCACGATCGATACTCACTTGCGTAACTGTTCCCTAGCTCTTTCTTCAGCCTTCTTCCGACTCTTCGAAGTTGGGTCAATTTGATTCACTAGCCACTTTATCGAGAAATATGTAACTGCAGATACAAATGCAACACGTATTGCCATTTGGAACACATCGTTCCGAGTAAATGCTGAGCCTTCCACCATCATGCCGTTGGAAAAATAATATTAGCGTCGCAATAAAAATACGGTGCAGGTGCTGACAATGACGTTCTTTTCAATTTATTTATAATTTTCTATAATTTGATCAAAATTCTTGCATCACGTTGTCTTGCTGCTTTTGGAAATTTTGGTACTTTTTTTACCACAGATAAAAAAAAATGAGTGAGGCGATTGAGCACAGATGATAGATTAATAAAAGAATGGCTCCATTCATTCAATCGTTAGTTTAGGGCAAAGACTTTAGTTTATGGTTTAAAACCGAGACAAATTACCTCTGTTAAGACTATCTCATTGTGTCCGAATTGGTAAAAATGGGACAAATTAGATTCAAAATCTTTATTACATTCATTAGTCCTGTAAGTTTTATACGTAGACAGAGTAACAAATGGACTTAGACATATTTACATTTCTTTTACTCTGAAGCGAAATAGATTTATATTAAAATCACATGCCAGTATGAGAAATAAATATACTTTTTTATCTTCGTCGTTGTAACCGCTTGATTCCAGACAATTTGGTGTCAAACAATAGAGTTGTTAAAGGTGGTTGGGAGTGTCTCCAAACCGATACGATCCTAAAACTTCCAAAAAAAGAGCGTACTCCTTGTTTAAAGGCCGAGATCACATTTGTAAATGCCTTTAATCACAGATGTCAATGGGCAACGGTGATCACTTTCCATTAGGTTCGCCGTCTGCTAATATGCCTATAGTACAGAAAATAACCGTCTTATATATTATTTTTGATGCCTCTTTTCATGAAATTCAAGAATCTTTTCACAGACATGGAAGCTGTATCTTACCGATGATGCGTTGAATCACGAATTTTAGCTCAAGACTTGTTAAATAATCACAAAAATCAAAGAAAAAAGTTTTATTTGTCATTTAACCAATGTTTACTTACAAAATTAATTAAACATTTCTCATCAACCTCAGAAAATAAAGGAGAGACTAATGTTAAAGGAGACGTCCTATTGGGCGTCCGTATTGGGCTATAGTAACTAACTTGCATATATTATATGTAATTAATTAAAGGGCCCTAAAAGTAACTTATTTCTGCAAGTCATTTAATTTTCGAGATGACCGTTTTTTATAAATTCGTAATTTAGTTTCATGAAAATGAAATTGCGTTTAACGGTATAATGATACATTTTCTTGCAAAAAATGATCAATAATCAAATAAAAAATCTATGAATACACATATTTGAAGAAAATAACCTAATATTCTTTTATTTTGAGTAGTTTTAACTAACAAAGTCTAGGGAGTTAGGCACTGCAAGTAACTAAATTCATGTGATCTAAAGCCAGTAAAAAAAAAAGTCAACTGACAGGTGACAAACAAGTCTTTACTACTGTCAGTGTCATTCGTCATAGTTTTGAATTTAAGAATATGTGCATACCGTACATACTTGGTACATAATAATTTCTAAATAAATAATTTATTGATTAATGTAATATATGTGCGCTTAGAAATAAACCCATGTTACACGCATTTATTTTCATCAATGCATTTATATCAATTAGATACATATCTAATTAGGAAAATTACCTGTTTACATTAGGTATTAAAATTATTTTTCAAGGAATGAAAAGTCTATAGGTGTTTATTTTTACCGTGCTTAATGAACTCATAATGCAAAGCTTATTTGATAAAAAAGGAGAGATATCTAGGATAATTATCTAATACCAAGAATATTAATACAATACAACAATATGAAAGGACATAGAAATATTTATTTGATAATAAGTAGATACATTAAAATAAAAACACTTTATTTTCTGATTTGTTTATTCATAATCTTCATTTTCAACATCTTCTCTTATTAATATATAGTCAAGAAACTGTGCAGGTGATATATCATTTCGATGCCGAGCCCAACTAAGATACCAGACCATAGTCATCACATGAGCACAGCTTCCAACTGTTCTCTTACCAATTATACAGCTGCAATAATGTCCACAAATACAATCTTGCCAATCAGTGGCCCGTACTTTTAACAATATATTTGTGTATTACACTTTATTGCTCTGGTGCCGTGACTTAATTCTTCCACACGCACGAGAGAGCAGAAAATTCAACTCAACGAAAAATGCTTGACAGTGACAACCACTAGCCATAGCCACAGATTAGTACAAAAACATGTTTATAGTGCTGCCATTAGTAAAATTTTTCTTTTACCAAAGTAATACGTTTTATTTATTTAAAAATAATTAGGAATGGCTAAAATAATTTGTGCATTGGTTTTATACTTCATATTTAATATGAAGTATAAAATTATATTAAATTATATTTATTTATTTTTTTATGGCTTTTAATTAAATATAATTTGGTGTTCGTTAGTTTACTCTTATAACAAAAAACCAAGCTCCTTGTAAAAAGAGGACATCTCCTTTAGTTTTACATTTAGAGAATTATGCCAGAATGTACGGCAATAAAGAAAAAAAAGGACAGTACAGAACAAGAGATTTTTATACTACTATACGCAGACTTAGAATAGGTCATTGCCTTTTTAAAGATCACCTGTACCTATACCTGTACCGGTTCAAGATGGTCAGCTCACCTGTTTGTAACTTCTGCAACATAGATAATCAGTCCCTGGACCATATCTTTTTCTTTTGCGGTTCATTTCAAGTACAGAGAACTTTGCTGCTTTAAGACCTTCGAAGTACTTTTGGCGAAGAAACCATCCCGCGCGACTTTAGAAAATTTTTACAAAACAAAGACACTTACATTCTTTTATACAAATTTTAAAAGCTACAATCAAAACACTTTAAGAAAGAATAGTTAACAGACAGGGCTGTATGGACTTAGAATCCTTTGCTCGTCGCAACAGGGACAAATTCACCAAAAAAAAAGTCACTGTCAGCTGCCAATGTCAGCTGACTGTCACATTCACGTATTTCACGTGTGATGGACTAATGGCTAATGGTGGTGGTTGTTGGTACTTTGGTACTTTTACCACGAAACGACAAATAAAATCTTTATTCCTGTATTGTAACAGTAAATAGCGAATAAGTGCAATGAAGAAAAACAAGGGACAAATCCGTCAGAATGTTACTAACTCCAGAAAAGCTATTCGAAAACAAAAGCGACTACAAAAAAAGGTTCACCGTCAAGAACACTACATGAAGAAGAAAAGCAGTGACGAAACTCCCACTTACGTCGCCGGTAGATTTGTAAAACGTCCTGCTGATAGCCCTGAAAGAGAAACAAGAATACAGGTATGTACCTGAAAAGTCACCACCACACTATTGCATTAATATAATAAAAATACCCTAGTAAATAATGTTGTTTTGTTAGTCCAAGCTCTCACGATATATCCTTTTTTATGATACTGTATGATTGCATTGATGTTTTCAGACCATATCCAAATGAGTAGGGGTAAAACTGTACTTCCAGGGCCCAAAAGGTGATACTTGTTTTTTTTTGTAACAGATTTTTTTTTCTGGCGCTTCGCCGGCTTCGCTTTGCTCGCTCGGCTCGCGCGTTATGGTCACAACACTAACCTAACCTAACCTAGTGTGAAGTATCACCACTTGATAAGAAAAGTAAAAATTTTCAAAATTTTTTCCTAAATACTACCAGTGCATAAGTGTGACATTTTTTTTAATATTGTGGTTAGCAGAAACCTTTTTAACAACAAAAATGCGAAATTACAACCAATAAAACTGAAGTTTTTACTTTTGGGCCCTGGAAGTACAGTATATCCTGAGTGGGTGTTTATTTATAAGTTGATTTTGGTACAGATACAAATGAAAGACACTAATCCAAACAAGTTGCTTGTCTGGACAAAGCTTACATAAAATGCTTTTGAAAATCACACAAATGTAGCTGCATGATGGTGGTTGTAAAGTAGGTAAATAGTTTGTGCCCAAAGATTTTTTTTATAGATAGGTCTGACAAATGACTCCACCCCACCTGATGTTAAATGACGGTGAAGTTCAGACGTGTAGATGGCTGGTACAGCCGTTCTACCTGCCACACTTGTTAATAAAATTTGATTTCTGTCTTGCCTAGAAGAAAAAGAAGAAGCCTCAACTCAATCCTCTAGATATTCTCAGTAAAGAAAGGCAAAAAGATATCAATGAAACTAAAAGACTTCAATCACAAATGGAAGAGCAGCGAAAAAAAGTTTTTCTCCAAGCAAATGAGGAAGAAGACAAAATTATTAAGAAATTAGAAAAGCAATTGGGACTTAAAAAAAGCAAAAATAAAAAGAGCTATTTTGCTGATGATGGGCTTGATTGTATCCTTTTTTATAATATACTCAAGAAAACCATACAAAATTCACTTTTATTAAAATATTTTTTTGCAATTTGAATAAATAAATAAATATTTCCCACACACAACAATTAGGCTAGCCCCAAACTAAGAACTGTAAGGCTTGTGTTATGGGCTGCTAGGGTTATGGATACAATACATACACTGATACATATATAAGTATATTTTAACTAGAAATATATATAAACATCCATGACTAACGTACAAATGCGTCAACTGTTTTGTAGAATTGAGAAAGAGTTTTGTGACACAAGATACTGTTTTACATAGCTTTATTTAGTTTTCATAATATTTTAAGAAACTTTGACATAAGTACTTAATTTATTCTTTCACTTAAAAAAATGATTTGTACTCAAATGTGGTAATTCAGATCTCTTAGAAATATGCGACAGGGCCACTAGTGAGCAAATAGTAGCTGCTGAAAAGCATTTGGCTGATGTTGATGCGGAGTCTGACTTTGAAGAAGATCTGGCAGTAGTAACTGGAAAAGAAATTTCCAGTAAAAAGAAAAGCAAATCTCAAGAAGACAAAAATGATGAATCCAATGATGATTTGAGTGGTAATGATAGTGAAAATGAATTAGACACTGCAGGCAGTGAAGATTTTGAAGATGGATCTAGTATAGATAGTGAAGAAAGTGATGATGGTGATGAAGAAAAGTTTAGTGATGATGAGGAAATGTCAGATATAGATGAAAAAAGCGACCTGAGCGATGAACCTGAAGGTATTTTGTAGTAGTATATATTAATTTCATAAAATAAGTATGAAATGATTATGTATTTTACTCAAATAAATTGACTGTCACTATTACCACTTGTTTATAGTATAAAAGACTTGAGTATATTACTTAAGTATAAAATTATTAACTTCCCTTATTTTCCAGAGCAACCTCCTAAGTCAAAGAAAGCCAAAATTACCAGAGAAAATGATAATGGAAAAAAAATAAGTATTACAGAAGTAAAGAAAAACAGCAAACCTAGAATAATCAAGGAAGATGATTTAAGTAAAGTATTCAGTGATGATGAAGTATCACACCTGTCTGGTGACGATGATGATGATATGGAACATTTATTAGATGATAAAGATCCGGAAAAAGTCAGTACAGCAGAAAATTCAGAAAAACCAGATGTCTGGGAAGATATTTATGGTAGGAAAAGGGATAAAGAAGGAAACATAATCAAGGTACACAAATATTACTTGTCACAAAAAAGTCTCTCTCTATTTTACTTATTACTTACTGCAGTAAGTTTTTTTATCTAATATTTCTTACTGAATTATGGAACGTGATGATATGTTTCATAAAAAGAAATCTTGAATATATTTTTTTACAAATAAACTCTGTCAACTTTTTCAGGAAGTAAAGGGCACTTACATTCCACCACATTTAAGAAATAAGGCTACAGATAAAGATATGACACAATTGAACCGACAAATCAAAAGTGAGTGTGAAATCTGTTTGGTACTTTTAGATACTCTTACTTCCTTCCTACTAAAAACAAAATATAATATTATATAATTGAACATATACACCAGAAGAGCTGTAAGACGTTATTCGGCAGAATGAAAAATAATGCCATCCGTATGTAAAATGTATATTGGCAGCAATCTTAGTATTTTGTCAAAGAAAAATATTTACAATTTAGCAATATTTTTTGTAGTGGTTTTAGGGTTCCCTAGCCAAATGGCAAAAAACGGAACCCTTAGGGATTCGTCATGTCTGTCTTTCCGTCCGTTCGTATGTCACAGCCACTTTTTTCCGAAACTATAAGAAATATACCAGTGAAACTTGGTAAGTAGATGTATTCTGTGAACCGCATTAAGATTTTCACACAAAAATAGAAAAAAAAAACAATAAATTTTGGGGATTCCCCATACTTCGAACTGAAACTCGAAAAATTTTTTCATCATCATATAATCGAAAATGCCTACATTTGGCCGAATCGAAAATTACGTCACATATTTGTAAACTTACCGCGAGATTGACATTACTCTGTACCATATAACTTTATAATGAGAACCATGTAATGTCAAATACTTTCCCATACATGTCAAATACCCTTAGGCTGCAGGATTTCCATAATTGTTAACTCGTATAATCCGCAGATCGTTAAGGCTTTGATCGACGGGCGAGTAAAACCGTGGTTTTATGACTCATCGGTAAAGCTCGTCGCTGTGTCCTTGCAATACCGACAAGACTGTTTGCTATAATTTCTACTCGGCTCGTCGTAAAAAACTGCTTGTCGATCGCTTACCTTTTTAACAACTTTCAACTTTTAACCCAAACAAGGTCGTTTACGCTTTTTTTATAATTTCGCAATAATCTATAGCGAAATAACACATCATTGCTTCAGACTCCAACTAAGTAAAAACGTCATTCTTTAAAACCGCAGTATAAGTCTTAATTATATTGCTTTTTTGCGCCTATACTACCTAACAATACTTAAAGATGACATCAACACATGTTTTCAATTTTTAATGTTATCTTACAATTGACGACACTGTATGAAACATAACAGGGAGAAAAAAATAGCCCTTGCTGAGTTTCTTGCCGGTTCTTCTCAGTACAAGGTCTCCCGCCGTAGATTCACGAACCGATGGCGTAGCGTTTGACTTTCACAAGAGCTTGTAACAACCTAGACTGAATAAACGAGTTTTAGTTTATTAATTATAATATCATATTGCATTTCTATGAATAAATGATTACTTTTTCCCCATATTCTCAGGTGTTTTAAACAAATTAGCGGGTGCGAATCTCCACTGGGCGTGCCGCAGTATAGAAGCTCTGTACGGAGCTAACAGCGCTCACGCCGTCAACTCCTCCTTATGGCAGGAATGGGCTTCTCGGGCTACGCCTGTGGAACGTACCCCGCCAAGACTGTTGGCAGAACACGCTGCCCTTATAGCTGTACTGCATGCAGACCTGGACAACGAGATAGGTGAGATGATACACAGAAACACAGACACAGAGGAATACAAAGATGTCATACATACATACTCTTTAGGTAGACACACCGCCAAGACTGTTGGCAGAACGCGCTGCCCTTATAGCTGTACTGCATGCAGACCTCGACAACGAGATAGGTGAGATGATACACAGAAACACACACACAGAGGAATACAAAGATGTCATACATACATACTCTTTAGGTAGACACACCGCCAAGACTGTTGGCAGAACACGCTGCCCTTATAGCAGTACTGCATGCAGACCTGGGCAACGAGATAGGTGAGATGATACACAGACACAGACCAATACAAGGATGTCCTACATACACACTGTTTAGGTATAAACACCGCCAAGACTGTTGGCAGAACGCGCTGCCCTTATAGCTGTACTGCATGCAGACCTCGACAACGAGATAGGTGAGATAATACACAGAAACACACACAGACCAATACAAGGATGTCCTACATACACACTCTTTAGGTATAAACGCCGTCAAGACTGTTGGCAGAACACGCTGCCCTTCTAGCAGTACTGCATGCAGACCTGGGCAACGAGATAGATGAGATGATACACAGACACAGACCAATACAAGGATGTCCTACATACACACTGTTTAGGTATAAACACCGCCAAGACTGTTGGCAGAACACGCTGCCCTTATAGCAGTACTGCATGCAGACCTGGGCAACGAGATAGATGAGATGATACACAGACACAGACCAATACAAGGATGTCCTACATACACACTGTTTAGGTATAAACACCGCCAAGACTGTTGGCAGAACACGCTACCCTTATAGCAGTACTGCATGCAGACCTGGGCAACGAGATAGGTGAGATAGTACACGGAAACACACAGAGACAATACAGAAAGGTCATACACACATTGTACAGCGCAGGTACAATGTAGAAACGCAGCTAATTACAGAATGATTACTGGCAGAACATGCCGCCATTATAGCCGTGTTACGCACAGACCTTGACCATATCAAATGGGTGAGATTATACACAAGAACACAGACAATACATAGAGGTCATACAAGTAACATACTCTGTAGGTAGAAACAGAAAATTACAGAATTTAGGTACTCTGCCAAGACTGTTGGCAAAACACGATGCCCTTATAGCATTTTTGATGACGATTTCATTTTGTTATTTCTGACCGACGAAGGTTTCCAAATGCCTCGCCCCCTTTTTTTCTTTTGCATTGGTAATAACAATGTTAAAGAAATTGAGCGCGAGGCATTTCAAAACCTTCGGGTGTCATAAATAACAAAATGAAATCGTAGCGATAACCATAGCAATCCCGTTATGCGATTGGCCCCCAGAGAACAGACGGGACTCGAACCCGCTTTATGTAATGCATCCGCCCGGATCGGGTGTGTGGGTTCGAATCCCGTCTGCTGCTTGGGCCGGGTGGAATTTTTTCTAGTAGAATTTTCCTTATAATATTTTCTTTGTTTTTCAATTACAGGCGCCTACTTTTTACAAGAATTGGCCAAAAAGTTCGATGAACTTATGAAAGTTCCGCAGCCAATGGAGGACAAGACTTTAGACAATCTGGTGTGCGGCTTCGCTCACCTCTATAGTTTTAAGGTTAATATCATTAATTTTTATTGCTTTTTATGTTTAAGCAGGTAAATGAGCTGACGTTAAACCTGAAACCCAAGCATGAAATTTGACAGCACCGTAGTCGGATCGCATCGTCGAAGGACATGATTCAAATTTGTATGAAGGGTCACTCTCCAACAGACTCAAAGTTTCTATAACACATAGTGTATTGAATTGTAAATCGCTTGACAACAAAAGTAGAATTTATTTAATCCCCGTTTTTTAGGGTTCCGAAGCCAAATGGCAAAAAACGGACCCCTTATAAATTCGTCATGACCATCCGTTTGTCCGTCCGTATATCACAGCCACTTTTTCCGAAACTATAAGACTTATACTGTGAACCGCATTAAGATTTTCACACAAAAATAGAAAAAAAACAGTAAATGTTTGGGGTTCCCCATAGTTGGAAATGAAACTCAGATTTTTTTTTTCTAGTATATTTTTTTTCTAAACTGAATAGTTTACGCGAGAGACATTTCCAAAGTGGTAAAATGTGTCCCCCCTTCAACTTCAAAGTTGATTCTGCAACTTCAAAATATTTTGAAGTTGCAGAATCAACTTTTCTCAATCACTAACTAGATTGACTGGAATTTTAATCCTCATGAAAAATCTGGTATAGGTCGCCGCAAATTTCTTGAGCAAAACCACAGACAAATAAACTTGCGCATTATACGTTTTTGTATGTAAAATTGCAACTGCGCATGGTTCCTTGTCAATGGCCGGCGCTCAAGAATTTTGCCGGGATGTTTACGAAATGGTGATATAAAAAATGTCGCTGGCAAAATACAATAGAAAAACCTATTTTTTTTTCTCAGATCTTCCACGCATCATTACTCTACGATGTCTTAAGTCGTCTTCTAGAAGAATTGACAGAGAAGAATATAGAATGCGTAGTGGCAGCATTAGGCTGCGTGGGTGGAGTTCTGAGGAAAGATGAACCTTTAGCTTTGAAGACTTTCATACAAGACACTCAAGGAAAGGTTACTGCACTCAATATAGCGGCTTCTGAAGGGTGAGGACATAGCAATAAATAAATCTTCAAATTTTTTTTCTCAAGTTCTATTCGTTTTCGTATAAAAAGATTTTGTGTACGTGTTCCTAAGAATTAATACTTTCCGTGACAAAAATCTCAGCTCGGTACTCAACCACAACTAATGGAAAGCTGAGCCAAATCTTTTACTATATCGAGTAAGGCGGGTCGTTACGTTCCGTAAAATATGGTTGAGCGAAGCGATGCTTCGTTCATGCGTCATGCTCGTGAACAGGTGCCGCCATACGCCTCGTTTCCACCAAGAAACAAGTCATATACTAGTTTTAAATAAAACTTGTAGAATACTTGTTGTGGCTGTTTAAAACATTATTTCGTTTACACTGCATAGACAACTAGTATCTTACAAGTATAAATCACTGATCTACTTCCCATAATCATATTTTGTTTATCCAACAAGTTTGATGCAAGTATTGTAAACTACATGTTTTATACATGTATACATATAAGAGTGTAAAAAAATATTAAGATATTGTATAAAATTTGTTTAATACATGTATTATGCTTTGGTGTAAACGAGGGAAAGGGGATGAGTCTGCTCTATACTGCGTTACTATTGAGATGTTATCTATTATCCTCTATAATATAAAAATGAATCGCTGAATATGTTGCTAAGCGCAAATCTCGAGAACAGCTGAATCGATTTCGATAATTCTTTTTTTAGCATATTCCTTGAAGTACGAGGATGGTTCTTACGCAGGGAAAAAATAAAAAAATTGCCTGATACACTCCAAAAACAACACTTTTCTATACTCCCATATAGACGATCCTTAATAATATTGAAAGTCAATTTAAACTTTAATACCACACCATAAATTTTAAATGTTAGTGGAGAGGTTCCGGGAAGGCAAAACAATTGAGTGACGTGATGTCAAAAGATGTTTGGAAAAGGCAAATATACCATTTTTTGTTTTTTTTATAATTATGTGAAGAGTCATTTTTGTCTACACTACAGCTCTACACCGAAGCGAAGTTAGGGCGGGCCACTAGTACCTAATATAAACACTATTTGTATTTATATTGTATGACACAGCAATCAAAATGTGAGCGGACATTGTATCGGTAGCGACATGATTTTTTTGTAAATATTCCTACTTCTGTTAAATGCTGATGAGTTTCTTGGGCCCATTCTTCTCATCAGCTAAAAGATGCCCTGAATCGATAGGAAAAAATATTGGACAATTCGACGAAAGAGCTTTCAATAAATCAATTTGAATAAATTATAATTTCATATAAAATTCTTACGCAGGTCTCGCATAAAGTTCCTACTGGAAGTGTTAATGGCGGTGAAGAACAACAATTTAACCAAGATCCCCAACTACGACCCCTCGTACGGGGAACAACTTAGGAAGCAAATACGAAGCGTTATTAGACGAGGGAACTATGTCACGCCTTTACATATAAGACTGGAAGATTTATTAAAAGGTAATTATCTCTTATCTATTAGACAAGTCCGTCCGTCTATCTGTCTGTGGTGCTGTAAGAGATGGATAAAGAGAATATTTAAGTTATAAGTTAAGAATAGTCTGATAAGACTACAAACCGAATTTGAGTAACGTAGCACTTCCGGTTTTCGTGAAATCACGAATTTCAAACGAAACCACACAAAATCTCCGAAGTTCTCAATTAATTAAATACATTTTTTTTTAAATCAGGTTTTGGTGAACATTTGGTTCACTTGCTAGTCTAATATAATAGGTTCTTCAAATAATTGGGAAATTTGCCCCAACTGTCCTCCTGTTGCTTTGAAACCCCCCAAATTTGAAGGGAAACCCCCGATTCCAGCAGATACGAACCGTTATAAGACGAGAAAACTATTTCACGCCCTGTACTTAAAGGACTGGAAGGTTTATTAAAAGGTAATTATCTTACTTGATAAAATAGGTTCTTCAAATCATTGGAATATTTGCCCCAACTGTTATCCCGTCGCTTTGAAAAACCCCCAAGTTTGAAGGGAAACCCTCGACTCCAGCAGATACGAACCGTTATAAGACGAGAGAACTATGTCACGCCGCTGCATATAAGACTGTAGGATTTGTTGAAAGATAACAATCCTTCTTTAAATAGGTTGTAAAAACAATGGGAAAATTTTACTAGAAAATGTGCAATCAGTTTAGGCGAACATTTAAAATGCAGCTATTTTTAAAGTGATAAACATACCCTTTCAACTAATTCGACTTTTGTTTTAAATATAAATAAAATGCTTTTATTTTAAGGCATGGTCTCATATATGTTAGTTACAATTTTCTTAACCTATGTTAATATTTAAATGTGAAGCCTCATCCCACTACTACGTTAGCAAAAGGCAATGACAAATTATTCTATTTTTTTTTAATAACTGTACTTCAATTACTGGGGGTAGATGCCACCTCTTCCCGGGGGGTGAAAATTATTTTAATTAAATAACTTGAGAAATCGATAGAAAAATAAATTCTAAGCAAAATTTGTTATAGAAAGATTTTGGAATAAATCAATACTTTCTGAGTTATTAAAGACCAAAGATTGTGATTTTTCGTGATAAAAATACATGTTTTAAAGCAGTTTTTATAAATAACTCAAAAACTATGAGTTTTTACAAAAAATGTATTATTACCAAAATTAAAGCTAATAAAAAAGGAAACATACCCCTACTTTAAAAAACCTTCTAATATTAATTCAAAGTGAGCTATAGGAAATTGTATGTATATTTTTTTCGGCGAGTACTTAAATCTAAGTATTCAAACCTAAATAACGGGAAACCGATGCATTTTATGACATATACTTCCTGAACATTTTTTAAGGTCCTCGGAAATACCTTTCTATTGAGCACTGTCAAAAGTTAAAAATAACAAAATTGAGCAAGTTATGATAGAAATAAGATGACACTTTCGAATTTTTTTGGAAAAAACCAAAGATAAAACCTTTACCATTTCCACAAAACTTCAAATTAATGGTTATCCCAAAAGGACTTACTTATTTTTAGCATAAGTGACGACCTCAAAAATTTTACCTGGTTTAAAATGCTTATTTTTCAAAAAAATGTATGATTTAATAAAATCGTAAAAATTTTTCTTTTGAAAATAACTTCAAAAATATTTGATTTAGTAAAAATGGTAAGTAACGAAAATTCGGTTCTTTTTTCAAAAAAGATTTTGGTTTGTATTTTATTTTTATAGAATGTAAAATAACCGAGATAGAGACGTTTGAAGCCTAACTTTTACTGCGAAAGCCATGTAACCGGGACCCTTTAACGCATTATCTTTTAAAAAAATAAGGGCTTGAAACCGGGCAAAATTTTTGAGGTCATCACTTATGCTAGAATAAAAAAAAACTTTTAAGGATGACCGTAAATTTGATTTTTTTTGGAAATGGTGAAGGTTTTATTTTGGGGTTTTTTCAAAAAAAAATCGAAAGTTGATCTTATATTTATCATAACTTGCTCAATTTTGGTGCTATTAACTTTTTACAGTGCTCATTAGAAAGGTATTTCCGAGGACCTTAAAAAATGTTCAGGAAGTATATGTCATAAAATGCATCGGTTACCCGTTATTTAGGTTTGAATACTTAGATTTAAGTACTCGCCGAAAAAAATGTACATACAATAACCTATAGCTCACTTTGAATTAATTTAAGAAGGTTTTTCAAAGTAGGGGTTTGTTTGATTTTTTATTAGCTTCAATTTTGGTAATAATATTTTTTTTTGTAAAAACTCATAGTTTTTGAGTTATTTATGAAAAACCGCTTTAAAACATGTATTTTTATAATGAAAATTACCAACCTTTGATCTTTAATAACTCAGAAAGAATTGATTTATTCTAAAACCTTTATATAACAAATTTTGCTTAGGATCTGTCTCACTATCAATTCCTGGAGTTGTTTTTTTTAAATATTTTTCACTTTCGAGAAGGGGTGGCATCTACCCCCAGGGCAAAAGCGCAAGTTGGCAATATGTCACTTTTGTTTCTTAAGGTATCCCCCACCTACTTACCAATTTTTATTGAAAATCGATGGAGATTCAACGAAATCGAAGGAGAAAACCTTCATTGACTGGACTACAATCAAGAAGTGCTCTAACTCCACTCAAGCACTTCTTGGTTAACAGTCACGCGCGGACCGTTGAAAAGACAAGATGCTGCACAGCACGATTTTGTTCGTGTTGTTGTATCCAGTGCCGGATTTAGAGGTCCAGAGGCCTCGGGGCAACAGAGGAGCGGAGGCCCCCTCACCCCAAATTATTTTCCAAATCTCTATTGTGGGGGAAGGGAAGTCTCTATTGTAGGGGCCCCCCGTTTGTGGAGGCCCCAGGGCTTTCGTCCCGGTTGCCCTCCCCTAAATCCGACAGTGGTTGTATCTAGGGTATTTAATGTCGTTGCAATAAACCGTTAATTTTGTTTTCAACTCCATAGCTGAAGAACGCGGTAAATGGTGGGTAGTTGGGTCGGCGTGGGAAGGAACGAGAAGGGAAGAGAACATACCGGCCTCTCAGCCTCTTCCCCTTCCTTCTGCGGACCAGAAGCTTCTAGAACTAGCGAGGAAACAGAGGATGAACACTGACGTCAGAAGGAGCATATTCTGTGTCATTATGGCTGCTGAGGTAAGTTCTAGCTCTATGAAATAATTTTATTAGAGACTAGTGGCCCGCCCTCGCTTCGCTTCGGTGTAGATCTGTAGTGTAAACTATAGTTTTTGTTCTCAGGCTTGTGTTATAAACAATGACTTTATTTATATACACATGTTATTGTGAGTCAACCATAAAAAATAGACATATTCTGTTGCGGGATATTTTTTAGACAATTTTATGTAGAATATTTCCGTCATACATGATTTCTTTTACCACTTTAACCATTAAAGCTGCACACACGACGGAAGCTTAAAAAATGGAGTAACTTCTCCCGTTTTTCCAACATTTCCCTTCACACTACTCTGCTCCTATTGATTGTAGCGTGATGAAAAGTATACTATAACCTGCCCAGGTGTATGAAGAATAATTATACCCAAGTTTCGTTAAAATCCGTCGAGTAGCTTTTATTTCTATAAGGAACATACATACAGACAGACGGACAAAAATTTTACTGATTGCATTTTTGGTATCAGTATCGATCACTAATCACCCCTGATAGTTATTTTGAAAATATATTTCATGTACAGAATTGACCTCTCTACAGATTTATTATAAGTATAGATAATGTTGTCGATTCTGGCTGATTCTCGAAACCTAATCTAAATTTGACAACAGTGTATCCTTGTCATTCTCCATACAGAATAAAAAGGATAGACTGGTGATAAATTTAGTTTTAAGTTGATGCCAGAATCGAAACTTTTTTTTCGCCAATCAGGTACAATATCAAAAAGTATTGGACACGTATTTTTCCTTTATTCACATAATAATCAAAACATTACAGTACCATATTGATTTGAAATGGTGCATGACGTCACATCTTGTTAAAACTTTTACTTAGAAGTGACGTCACGAGCTCCCACTCCCAAACTTTGACGCGCTTTATCTTTGTAATTTCTTGGTTGATTGACAAAAGAAATAATATTTTTGATAATAGAATTGACTAAATAGACGAAATTTTAACTAGAAAAAATTCAACGGGTCGAATCCCGTCTGCTGCCTGGAGAGTGTGGATTTTTTTCTAGTAAAATTTTCTTTACATTTAGCACCTAGCAGTTCAATGCTTAAAATAAATATATAATAAATAACATAAGTATCAATTATATTATATAATACGACGAGCTTGATGGCGCGGGTGGTTAGCGCGTTTGGCTGCGATCGTTGAAGTTAAGCAACTTTCACTGTGGTCATTGGATGGGTGACCAAAAATCTTCTATCTCGAGTTCCTCCGTGCTTCAGAAGGCACTCTAAGCTGTTGGTCGTGGCTGCGTCTGCAGTTGTTAGCTCCCACCAATTCGCACTGGGCCTGCGTGGTGGGTCATGGCCCAATGTCACTATTCCATCCATAGGGTAGGCCTGTGCCCCAGCATTTGGGACATTAATAGACTGATGATGATGAAATTATATAAAAGCAAGTCATAAGCGCGCACGCTATGAAGGCTCGAAAACCGGCCAATTGGAGCGTCTTGTATATTAGTCTACGTCTGGCGCTTGCATGAGCTACAGTTAAATGCTTAAAAATTAATGAAATGAAATTATACTTTATTCAAATTGGCTTATGTTTTTTATTTTTTTAAGCATTTAACTGCTAGATTTTTTAAATCAAAAAAAAAGTTTTACTAGAAAAAAATCCACGCATTTTTCTCAGTTAAATGCTTAAAAAAATAAAAAACAACTATAATTGCTATTTTTTCTTTCAAATGTTTAATACTTGAAATAGTATTAATTTGACATTGTGGGTTACCTACAATGCGAAGAGATGGCGCTGCCTCGCAGCTTAAGGCTAGGAAAATTTCGGCGCGGCCATCAGGGCCGTGGTAGCATAATTGGTCAGTGCATTCGCCCGGATTGCGAAGGGTGCAGGAGTTGAGTCCCGTCCGCTGCCTTTAGATTCAAATTGACTTATTGAAAGCTCTTTTGAATCGTACAATATTTTTTCCTACCACCCGACATTCAGGACATCTTTTAGCTGATAAGAAGAATGGACGAAAGAAATTCATCAGCATATTTTAACAGACTACTTCTGTTAAAATATATAAAATATAAATACTTACAAAAAATCATGTCGCTACCAATACAACGTCCTCTCACATTTTGATTGCTGTGTCATAACAGTATTTAAATACAGTTAACATTTACCTATCTAAACAAAATTTTACTAGTAAAAATTCCACGCGGGCCAGGCTGCAGACGGGACTCGAACCCACACCCTTCGCTTTCCGGGCGAATGCTGACCATTATGCTGCCACGGCCCTGGTGGCTGCGTCGAATTTTCTCTAGCCTTTCTTAGGCTGCAAGTGCCATGTCTGTATGGTTTTTTTTTCTAGTAAAATTTTCTTTAGATTTAATGTCTAGCAGTGAAATGCTTATAAAATATAATATACGAAATTTTCGTATCACGATGTGCGTAATCGAACTACACCGAATCGGCTCGACCGATTTTCGTGAAATTTTAAATGGATATACAGTAGGTCTGAGAATTGGACAACATCTATTTTCATCCCCCTAAATGTTAAGGGTGGTCCACCCTAAATTTTTTGTTTCTATTTTTTTTAAGATACATCATATAAAAATACATACAATCCTAAATTGCACCCTTCTACCACCAACCCCTATTTTTTTATGGCGGTACGAAGTTCTCTGGGACAGCTAGTTAAAATATAAAATTTACCTATGTTTAGGATTACATGGATGCTTTTGAGAAACTCCAGCACCTGGGTCTTCGCGGGCAGCAGGAGAAGGAAGTTGTTCACGTATTGTTAGCGTGCTGTCTTCAGGAGAAAGTTTACAACCCTTACTACGCAGTGTTGGCGTTAAAACTGTGTAACACTGATAGGAAGTACCAGGTATACATAAATCAAACATCATACTAATATTAAAGGGCATTTGACAGTATGAAAAATATAGCACCAATGAGGATCATTACTAGTTCAGAAAATCAACGAAAAATCATCAGTATAATGATCTAATAATAATAAGCTTTTTAATATATATAGTTTTTAAATAATCGAAATCGGTTTATTCGTTGCGATTTTATAACTAATTTTATGGTAGCCGATATTCACCGGCGGCAGAAACGTATGACGTCACAGAGCCCGATCATGGTTTATGCGCGTGTTTTTTTTTTTATTTATTGATCAACCATAAAAATGTTTTTTCTACAGATCGTTAAGACTTTAACACTAATAGGGCCAATAGATGTGTCCGGAAGGATATAACGATAACTTTATATTTGCAGCTCTCTATACAGTACTCCACGTGGGACAAGATAAAGGAATTGAAAACGTTGGCCAAACACAGCGTCACCAACCTAGCGCAGTTATTGGTTCATTTGATACTCGCCAAAGGACTGCCTCTGTCTGTTCTCAAGGTAATTACTATAAAACAGTATGAGTTTGAGTTCAGGAAAACTATCATAATTTTCGTAATTGTAAATTATATTTTATGTCCATTTTGGTGAAAAGTAACAAAATATACTTAAAATTTAAGAAGACGCAAATGATTTAATGATGGAATTTAAACACTGTTTATTTTTATTGAAACGAAAACAATAAAATCAATACCATTAGTACGAGTGCGAGCTCGCGAAAACTATCATAGTTTTCGTAATTGTAAAACTCGTACTAAGGGTACTGTAGTATTGTTTATTTTAGGGCATAATTATTTATATAACATCAAACGATTGCAAATAAAAATTAAAAAGAATAATGCAAATAGCTCGATAGGGGAGCTCGATGGCGCAAGTGGTTAGCGCGTTCGGCTGCGATCGTTAAACTTAAGTAACTTTCGCAGTGGTCGGTCATTGGATGGGTAACCAAAAATTACTATCTCGAGCTCCTCCGTGCTTCGGAAGGCACGTTAAGCCGTTGGTCCCGGCTGCATCTGCAGTCATTAGCACCCACCAATCCGCACTGGGCCCGCGTGATGGGTCATGGCCCGATCTCCCTATTCCATCCATAGGGAAGGCCTGTGCCCCAGCAGAGGGGATATTAATAGGCTGATGATGATGATGCAAATAAGAATAAAAATTGAATGTTTCTTTTAAGTAGCATATTAGCTTATTCTTCTTCTTATCTTCAAATGTTTAATACTTGTAAAGGTATTAATTTGACATTGTCGGTTACGAAGAGATGGCGCTGCCTTGCACCCTAAGAAAGGCTAGAGAAAATTCGACACGGCTGTCAGGGCTGCAGTAGCATAATGGTCAGTGCATTGACGGGGAAAGCGAAGGCTGCGGGTTGGAATCCCGTCTGCTACCTCGTCCGCGTGGATTCTTTTCAATTAAAATTTTCTTTTGATTTATACATCTAGCAGTTAAATGCGTAGAAAATAAAAAATATAAGCATATGAGCTCTTTAGAATTTAATTGAGACACTTTTCAATAATGTTTGAAATACCCTATTCCCAGGTAATCCAATTCTCCGACCTAAACAAGCATACAGTGAAATTTATGCGACAGATTCTCCTCGCCATAATATTAAACGCTGACCTCCAAGCTTCCCTCGAAGTCTTCCACAGGATATCGAAACCGCCCAAACTGCACATGTTCAGGGAAAGCGTCAAACTATTCATACAACACTTCTTACTGAAGAACGCCAGCAAAAGTAATGTGCTCAGCGACCAAGAGATGGCGCTGTTGAAAGAAAGATCCGTCGAAGTTGAAAAGATTCTGACCATGCACGAATCCAAGTTAAGGTTATAAATAAATGTTGTTGAATTTTAACCGGTTTGTTTTATTTATTAAAAGTGCTTGTGTTTGTGTTTTTATAAATCAACTAGTGGCCCGCCCTCGTCTCGCTTCGGTGTAGAGCTGTAGTTTAGACTGTATTTTTGTTCTCAAGCTTCTATTAAACACAATGACTTTCTTTAAATACCTAATTACTAAAGACACGACCTTACATTAAAAACCTCTAAAATTATCAGTGTTTCTCTACTATATTATACATGTATTATACATATAAACCTTCCTCATGATTCACTCTATCTATTCAAAGAAACCGCATCAAAATCCGTTGTGTAGTTTCAAAGATCTAAGCATACAAAGGGACATAGGGACAGAGAAAGCGACTTTGTTTTATACTATGTAGTGATACAGAACCCATGGTTAAACATGTCTTTTATAGTTTATGTTAACGGCCAGTTTCAATAATTAATTATTCTACAGTAAAATGTAAGGATACCCTACTATCCTATTCTATACTATTACTATATGACTAGTTTTTGAAAACTATCTCACGTTATTTACTAATGTTAACAGAGTTTATAAAACGTTTCTCTGAACATTAAGGCGCCTCACTAGTATGTGACGTCACATGACGTTCATTAAAATGTCAAACGATACAATGTAATGTCTCTGACCGGAAGTTTACTAGCGTATGACGTCATTTTATTCTTCGCCTTTTCACATAAGAAAGTCTTTTGAATTAAATACTCATAGAATATAAACAACGATGTATAAGAATTAAACATTAGCTGAATTTCAATTAATTTTCGTATCAAAAATAACTTTATAGTCACCTACCGCTAAGTAGTCAGTAAGCACGCTATCAAATATATGTAATTAAATAAACAAGATGGTTATTAGGATACATAAATTCATTGCACCGCACCATAATAATACCCTTGTTTTATGCAGTCGTTATGATGACTTATGTTTATAAAGAAGGGTCGGAAGTCCAGTTTACGAGCTTTAATGGTTATGGTAAGTAGTGCCGTAGTTGTAAATTAGTTAACATGTAATCGAATTATACATTAGAAATTAGCTTAAATTAAAATTTTGGGGGTCCTGATTAGGGTTGCCAGATTCTGGCTTATCAATTCTGGAACATTCTACATTCTAATCCCCCCCCCCCCCCCCCATAAATAAAACATCACATCAAAATATAGGTCAGTAACGAATGCTTTTATATGGCATGATTCTGTCGCCCCTCGTAGGTAGGTGTGGGTATATTAATATTATGGAAAAAACTGATGTTTGGGGATTCCGGGACAGTAAGGTCTAATTTCTGGACACGGGACAAGACGCAAAATTCCTTGACAATTCCGGATTTCCCGGCCATCTGGCAACCCATGTCCTGATATAATTATTAGAAAATAATATACGTATCACGAAACGTAAGGAGAAGGTAACGTACCTACATTGTGTTTTGGTTTTCTTTTTAAGTGTGGCATAGAGGCTTATGTAAGGTGAGCGCACATATGTCAGCACCGCATGGTACTTCCCATAGAAAACAGAAAGAGGTTAGAAGGGCCTTGTGGGCGGGGCAGGCGCGCCCCAGCTGTGTGTGAGCAAATGCTCATAACTTGACCAAAACTTGTTTCTGATTGCGTCGTTGCTCTCGGGTGTGAGCGCTGATTGGTTCGATTGTTTGATGTCGCATCGTCTGATTGGCTATTATTTATTAGGTGGAAGTGTAGTAGGGGCGAGCCGGCGAGTGGACCCAGAACACAGAAAGAGGTTAGAACGGTGATCATAGACTGTTTGTGCGAGAACCGATGTCGCCGACTCGCCCCACTCGTCTGCGATACGTATAAGAGAAGAGATACTCTGATCCTATTTCCTGCGTAATTATAATTGGGGGCATACTCAGATTACAGAACAAAAGGCAGATGGAACGTGGCTGGCACCATAGCAAAAAGCGAATGTCTATTTACGTCAGTACTCTACAACGCATCGTTTTCTGTGTGTAGACGTATTCCCGTCCTGTGAATATAAAGTTTTTAACAAAGACAAAACAAATCTCTGCTTTTGACTTCTTATGTGTTTCTTTACTCGATCAGGATTCGAACTCGAGACTCAATCGATGCACTCGGCCTGATAGTTTATCCGTTGCGCCACTAGAAGCTTTGACTTCTTAAGTACTTTCGTATCATGCATTGCGTGTTCCGTGCGATACATCTGCCTTTTGTTCTGTAATCTGAGGGTGCATACATAAAATGGAGATAACGTACGTACGTTTTGTTTTTCTAGTAAACTTTTCTTTAGATTTAAACATCTAGCAGTTAAATGCTTAAAAATAAATAAAATCATAACGTACGTTATATATTCTGAGACTGTAACTTATATTTACCAGTAGTAGTATAATTTCGTCCATTGGGACAGGCGAAAGTACTAAGCCATACTGCCAAGTCTTACGTCCATAATTCTAGTTGTTTGTATTTTCCGCGACTGTGTTTACGAGCTGTAAACAGTTAGTTTTTTTTAATCCCACAGGATCCTAAATGGTTATAAACGGAGAAAAAGATTAAATACCTTACAAACATACTACCACATTTACAATATTTGTATAGCCGACTTTAGATGCTGTGTGCTTTTCAGTCAATGTATTGTGCTGCTAGCCTGCATTGTAAGAAAGAAATAGAACATAATATCCGGCTTTTGGCTTTAAAAAGATAAAAAAAACCCTTTGCCTCAAGAGTTTTTTTTTATCATGAAATATTTATTACCTTTACCCACTAAAAGATCACTTTCAACTGTCGCAAAAATTTGCGGCAGAAACATGTCTTTGTTTGAATTGATAAAAATAGAACACTAAGCATTGGCGCAATCTATCTTTTGTAGAAATACGCGATTAATGACCCGAAACGCCCCTTTGTAATTATTTTTTATGACGATGCAGATAAGATTAAATTTGATTAGGTAGGTATTAGAAATGTGCATCGGTTTTCGGGCATATTTAGAGTGTATGTATGTAGATTTATTTCTCTAAAATTATAACAATTTATCGATGTTGAATAGGGCAAAGACCCATTTGCAATTGAAACAGTAGGTGTCGTTTAAGTAATTATATACTTGAACTTTCGGCTTATCAAACATTTATCAGTCAACGGCGTATCGCAAGGATTAAAAGTAATTAATATACTTAAAATGGATAGCATTTTATGTAGGCACCTATGTTAATCTGTATTATATGCCATCTCTATATCATATATCAAAAACTAGGCACATTTAAAATGGTATAGTCTTGGGTCGACTCTAGAGTCTCGGCAAAGTGAATTTCCGCACGAATGAAAGCGTTCGTCTGAGGAACTTGGGTAAGCAATCTGCACTTTCGAGTGGGTGTTCATGTGATGGATGACTAAAAATGTATTACACATCTTCAGTTTCTTCGTATTTTGGAAGACACGTCAAGTCGTTGGTCCTGGCTGCATCTCTAGTCACCAATGTTACCCTCCAATCCGCACTAGACTTACGAGGTGATTCATGGACTAATCTCTGTATAATGTATTCAATCCATATAGAAAACCTAGGCCCAAGCAGAGGCCTCTCTGGATTTTGATGCCCCTATGCTTCGGGGCTTCATCTTCGGGGTGGATCCGTTCGCGGATATACACTACGGATGCGCGGCCAGGCAGAGACGGTTTCCGCAACATGGACCACACTTCCGACACGCTTTAGGAGGACCTTGATCCTCAGACAGAATAGGTGTCGTAAGAACGATGCAGTGCAGGAGTATTGTCTGGTTTTTACTGGGCAGGGTGGAGTCCACAAATACCTTCATCTTGCTCCCCCCCCTGGCTTATGGATACGTAAGATTTCGCAGACGTAGACAGCCCTAGCGACATTAATAGACTTCACTCATAGCCAGGGCCGTCTTACGATATGCACCTTACCCCTACTGCCCTTGTAGGAGACCTTTCGACATCTTGTGGAGGCGACAGACCGTCCGGCCCTGCTCATAGCTAACATCGGAGTGTCAGAAGTGTATTGCTTAACCTCTTATAAAAAAATAAATGGTGTTGAGCCCTTAACGCCTGCTGCCATGAATAGAACACCTACTCACTATCTTATCTGAGCGATCCGTCTGCCAGGGTTTATCGGAGCAGTTTCATCGATAATGTGCACACCTTTCGATAACGGACAGATGATTATGTGAAACGATTTTTTCATTTAAAGCTAGCTGTTTGTTCTTTTGTCAATACATATATAGATAGATGTGGTAGTATTAATAGATGTAAGTACAGTCAAGAACAGAGGTCGAACCGTCAAATTGTGAAAAGTAAGCAGCGCTCCTACCAGTAAGAACAAATTGGCGCCTACAGATCTGTCAATGTTCATGCTTCGGCCTCGGATTCGCTAAATAAATATAAACAACTTACCTAAATCCTAATATAAAAAAGTCTTAAATGAAAAAAATGGGATGATTTTATGAATCCACATTGCAAGTGAACCTTTTAAAGTGTTTAAGATAGCCTCAAATAGTTTTTGAAGATAAAAAAGTCCTTCTTCGGCTGAGAACCCGATTTTCTTTCTAAGGACTTTTTATCTTCATTCCGCCTGCGCAGTAGGCTTTCTACCACTGTATCACAGTCGCTTGTTGATAAAGTCTGGATTTTACAATCAATAGCAATTAAGAATGTTATGCTACATGCTAAAGATAAATGAAAAATTAAGGCGATTTAATAAAAGTTTTACTTTGAACATGTGTTAGGTACTGTTTCATAGTTGGGAAAGTAATCACAGTTTATACATACATATGTTTGACACTTTGAAGAGGCCCAGGGTCCCCAGGCCTATAATTACTAGGATTTTTTATATAAACCGTTGTAGATATTTGTAATGATAATAATCAAAATTGTATTCATAAGGGTTCAATGTGCGATAATATTAGAAATATATAAAAACTGCTGTACCGAGTCTGATAGATTTTGGAACGGAGGTAAAAGTGACGCAGAGAAAGCGAAAGAAAATTTATATAAGACTAGCTTGACCCAGCG